TGGTCTCAAACTGCTGGCTTCGAATGATGTTTCCACCTCCGCTTCCTAATGTGCTGGGATTACAGGCGTGAGCTACCATGCCCAGGCAACCTTTTTCTTTCAAAAGCAATTTATGGAATGAAGTGCCAGCCAAGCACCACGCTCAGAGCTTTACACGTGTTACCACATTCAATCCTCATGATAACCTCGAAAGAGAGTGTTATGGGTCGAACTCTCCTGCTAAAAACATATGAAAAACGTGTGAATGCCTAAGCCTCAATATCTCTGAATGGGGCTTTATTTGGAAACAGAGTCTTGACAGAGAGAATCAAGTTAAAATGTGGTTGGTAGGGTGGGCCCTAACCCAATAAGACTGTGTCCCTCTGAAAGGGGAAAATCGGTGCCAGACACTGGCGTGCATATCAGGAAGATGACGGGAAGGCACACAGGGGGGACACCATGGGAGGGCAGAGGCCGCGGCTGGGTGATGCTGCCACAAGCTGAGGCACATTGGAGCCACCAGAAGCTGCCAGAGGCAAGGAAGGCTCCTTCCTCTGCAGGGTTTGGAGGGAGCCTGGCACTGCCAGCACCTTGACTGTGGAATTCTAGCCCCCAGAAGTATGAGCCCACACGCTTCTGTTGTTCTAAACCACCCAGCTTGTAACACTTTGTCATGGGAGCTCCTGGAAACAAATGCAGAGGGGATTGGCCCTGTTTTGCAGATGATGACACAGGCTGAATGGGATGGTGATGGGGGGCTGAGGGGCTTGCACTCAGGAGTGGTCCCAGGGTTAGGGGTAGAAAATAAGCCTGTCTAGAAGGTATGCTGTGACAAGGGGTGTGTCGTTCAACGAGATGCACTGACAGTCAGATGCACCCTGCTTTGCTGACGCCCCTGCAGTGCTCCCATGTCATGCTGGTGACTGTCCTCGCAGGTTCCCTGCGATCTTCAGCCTGGGGAGACAGGTTCGCTGCCCCGAGTGCACCTGAGTTTCCTACAAACATCAACCGCGCAGCCTTAAGCTCCATCTTTCAGCTCTAGGAGGAGCCAACGGCATCCCTGTGGATCTGGAGACACACATCCCAGTTAAGAGTCAGAAAAATGGGGCACTTCATGGCTGTGTGACTTTGGGCAAGTTACTTAACCTGTCTGAATCTCAGTTTCCTCATCTGAAAATGGAACCATGATCCGACTGAGAGGGCTGTTGTGAGAATCCAGTGGGATAATGCGTGGGCACTCAGTGAGCCGCGGCTGCTATGTGGGGATGATGTCTCTCGGCAGCCTGTGACTAGAGTGTCACGGGATGTGTTTACCAGTCACACGCCCAACTCCTCTGTATGAGTGTGCGTGTGTGTGTGTGTGCCAGAATGGGGACCTCGTCCACATCCACAGAGGCCCGGGGTCTCAGCCCTCACCCAAAGCAGGGAAGGCGTCTCCCCACACTCCCCACAAGTGTTCTCCAGAGCTGTCACCTGCCCAGGGCCCTGAGGAGCGGCCTCATCTGCCTTCTGCCTCAAAGGCTCCAGGGACATGGCAGATGCTCTCCCCAGACCCCAGTGCAGGGCCCACTGCACTCACTCTCCTCGGGGTCGGCTCCTCAGCAGGTGGGGCAGGAGGGCTGGGGGGCTCCACTGGCTTTTCTAGGCCAGAAGGCAAGCTGAACAATGGCCCAGCAGCCCCTCACAGTACAGCGGGGCAGGGCCGAGTAAGCAGTGCCGAGAGACTCCACAAAATGGGGCACTTGGCGACAATGCAGACAACACCAGGCAGAGCTTCAGCCACAGGGAGGAGCTGCCAACAGGCCTCATTCAACACCACCCCTGCAGCTCCCAGGAGAACCCCGTGGTGACAAAAGCTCGTCAGCTGGAGCAAAGCTCGTGTGGAGAAGGGAGGGTTGTGAGTGTGTGTGCGTGTGTGTGACTGTGCGTGTTTATGGATGCGTGTCATCTAGCCCAGGTTTCTTCCTCATTCTCATTTAAATGCCACAGCCTGATTGAAAACAAAATATTTAAATGTGTGAGAGTGCATGTGTGCATGTGTGTGTCTGTGAGAGTGTGTGATAGTGTGTATGCATGAGGTGGTGTATGTGTGTATGTGTGTCTGTATATGTAAGGGTGTGTGAGTGTATGTGTCTGTGTGTATGAGAGTATGTCTGTGACTGTGTGTATATGTGCCTGTGTGAGTGTATGAGAGTGTCTGTGTGTCTGTGTGTGATAGTGTGCCTGTATGTGTGAGGGTATGCGTGTCAGCGGACATGTGTCTGTGAGCATGTGTGTGAGTGTATGAGTGTGTGTGTGATAGTGTGTGTGTGAGGGGTGTGTGACAGCATATGTGTGTGTATGCATGTGAATGTGAGTGTGGCGAGTATATATGTGAGGGGGTGTGTATATGTGTGTGAGTGTATGTGTGTCTGTATGTGTGAGGGTGTGTGTGAGTGTATATGTATGTGAGTGTATGAGTGTGTGAACGTGCATGCGTGAGGGTTTGTCTGAGTGTGTGAGTGTATGTGTCTGTATGAGGGTGTGTGTGTATGTGAGGGTGTGTCTGAGTGTGTGTCTATGAGGGTGTGTCTGTGTGAGAGTGTGCGTGTCTGAGGGTGTGTCTGTGTATGTGTGTGTCTATGAGGGTGTGTGTGAGTGTATGAGGGTGTGTGTGATAGTGCGTGTGTGTGTCTATGAGGGTGTGAGTGTATGAGGGTGTGTGTCTGTGTGTGTGTCTATGAGGGTGTGTGTATGAGGGTGTGTCTGTATGAGGGTGTGTGTGTGTGTGTCTATGGGGGTGTGTGTGAGTGTATGAGGGTATGTGTGTGACATAGTGTGTCTATGGGGGTGTGTGTGAGCATATGAGGGTGTGTGTATGAGGGTGTGTCTGTATGAGGGGGTGTGTGTGTGTGGGTGTGTCTGTATGAGGGGTGTGTGTGTGTGTCTATGGGGTGTGTGTGAGTGTATGAGGGTATGTGTGTGACATAGTGTGTCTATGGGGGTGTGTGTGAGCATATGAGGGTGTGTGTGTGTGTGTGTCTATGAGGGTGTGTGTATGAGGGTGTGTCTGTATGAGGGGGTGTGTGTGTGTGTCTATGGGGGTGTGTGTGAGTGTATGAGGGTATGTGTGTGACATAGTGTGTCTATGGGGGTGTGTGTGAGCATATGAGGGTGTGTGTGTGTGTGTCTATGAGGGTGTGTGTATGAGGGTGTGTCTGTATGAGGGGGTGTGTGTGTGTGTCTATGGGGGTGTGTGTGAGTGTATGAGGGTATGTGTGTGACATAGTGTGTCTATGGGGGTGTGTGTGAGCATATGAGGGTGTGTGTGTGTGAGATAATGTGTGTGTGAGTGTATGAGGGTGTGTGTGAGAGATAGTGTGTGTCTATGAGGGTGTGTGTGTGAGCGTATGAGGGTGTGTGATAGTGTGTGTGTGTGTATGTAAGAGAGCATGTTGGGATTGCACAGCGGGGCAAAGGGCTGGGGAAACAGGTACTTCTTTTTTTTTTTATTTATTTATTTTTTTTTTTTGAGACGGAGTCTCGCTCTGTCGCCCGGGCTGGAGTGCAGTGGCCGGATCTCAGCTCACTGCAAGCTCCGCCTCCCGGGTTCACGCCATTCTCCTGCCTCAGCCTTCAGAGTAGCTGGGACTACAGGCGCCCGCCACCTCGCCCGGCTAGTTTTTTTGTATTTTTTAGTAGAGACGGGGTTTCACCGTGTTCGCCAGGATGGTCTCGATCTCCTGACCTCGTGATCCGCCTGTCTCGGCCTCCCAAAGTGCTGGGATTACAGGCTTGAGCCACCGCGCCCGGCCAGGTACTTCTAATATACCCTTGGGGCCACTTTTTGGTCGGGCAACTTAGCAGTGGCTGCAAAATGTAAACACATATCTTATATTCAACAGTTTCTCCTTTCAGAATGTGTTCTCTGGATAGAAGCACACTTGTGTGCAAGGATTTAGATTCAAGAGTGTTCATTGCAGCCTCTGCATAAGAATAGAAACCTCATCCAGCAAATTCAGTGGGGCTCAAATCCCAAAGGGTGGCTTTCTGCACCTGATGAGGAGCTCAGACTTTACAGCCCAGGGACAACGGAAAGCATGGAAGGTGTGAAGCTGGGAAGGGACATGTCCCAATTTGTGTTTTGGGTGGATCATTCCAACAGGGCAGAAAGAGCAGAGACCAAGGCCAGGAGACCAAAGGACAGGAGACAAGCTAAGATTTCAGGCTCAATTCTCTCTCCTTTGGACATTTAGAAGTTGTGGTGGCTGATGGGGTGTGGAGTGAGGGAGAAAGAAGGGATAAAGATGATGCCCAGTTGGTACCTTGGAAGGCCTGTCCCTTTATCCCCTGACCCCCATCATCCTGCAGCCTCTGGAACCTTACGCCTCCCACCATACCTCCCCCAGAACCCCACCTGGGGAATAACTGGCATGGCGGAGAGGGACCTGGTACTGGAGTCATGGGGCCTGGGTTCAAATGCTAACTCTCCCAGTGTGACTCTGAGCAACTTAGTAACTGCCCTGTGCCTGTTTCCCCATGTGTAAAACAGAGGTAACCAACCTACCTTGCAGAATTCTTACAAGGGCTAAAAGCAATCATATGTATTTGTTTTTTTGTTTGTTTGTTTTTTGAGACCGAGTCTTACTCTGTTGCCCAGCCTGGAGTGCAGTGACGCGATCTCAGCTCACTGCAACCTCCGCCTCCCAGGTTCAAGCGATTCTTGTGCCTCAGCCTCCCGAGTAGCTGGGGCTACAGGCATGAACCATCACACCCGGCTAATTTTTGTATTTTTAGTAGAGATGGAGTTTTTTGCCATGTTGGCCAGGCTGGCCTCGAATTCCTGACCTCAAGTGATCCATCCGCCTTGGCGTCCCAAAGTGCTGGGATTACAGGTGTGAGCCACCGTGCCCGGCCAGCAATCGTATGTATAAAGCACATAGAAAAGTGTCTGACGTGTAGTAAGCACTCACTAAATGTGAGCTACTTTTATAGCTATTCCTACTCCTACCAAACTAGGCACTTGGTAGACACTCTGCAGCTATTTATCAAATATTTGTTATTAAGATCAGCCTGAAGTCCGATCAAGGAGTGAGTTGGAAATCAGAGAATGGAAGTTCAGAGCAAGCCCCCCATCCCCATTGAACAGATGGAGAAAAGGGTTGGGCTTTCCCAAGAGGGTTCTAGATGACTTGCATCGGGGCCAGGGCTGAGTCTCGGACCTACGCTGGTTGAATGAATGACTTGGTCAGGCCTGGTAGGTTTGTTAGGGTTCCCCCGGGCATGGGAAGCCCCTCGCTTCTTTAATATGGACCCACACCCTCCGGCCCAGCCCTGCTTTAAGACCCCTCTGAATTAAATTGGCCAATTTCTCCCAGTGGGCCGGTTTACTGCTCCCATGCCCTCCCAGACTTGGGCGGCTCCCTGGAGGGCTGGAGGTCATCTGCGATGCTGGAGAAGGGCTGGGTCCTCTGGAGGCTTTCGCATGTCGGTCTGAAGAGGAGATGAGTTGTGGGTTCCAAGGAGGCACCACAGTTGCCAAAGTCCTCTTGCCTCCCTGGCAAGCCTCTCCCATCCACTTCCGCCATTACCACTGCCCTGCTGACTCCAGGAAAACCAAACTAGAAACAAAAGGAAGGTTGGGACTAGGGATGCCATTGGGATAAAAGAGTAAGAAAGAGACGGGTAAGGCCAGACGCAGTGGCTCACGCCTGTAATCCCAGCACTTTGGGAGGCTGAGGCAGGTGGATCACCTAAGGTCAGGAGTTCGAGACCAGCCTGACCAATATGGTGAAACCCTGTCTCTATTAAAAATACAAAAATTAGCCAGGCATGATGGCGTGTGCCTGTAGTCCCAGCTACTTGGGAGGATGAGACAGGAGAATTGCTTGAACCGGAGAGGAAGAAGTTGCAGTGAGCCAAGATTGTGCTACTGCATTCCAGCCTGGGCAACAGAGAAAGACTCTGTCTCAAAAAAAAAAAAAAAAAAAAAGGGAAAAAAGAAAGACAGAGGCGGGTAAGTGATGGGGGTGGGAAGGGCTCTGGATAGATGGGATAGGGTTCTTGTGCAGGGTCTGAAAATCTTTTCTCATGCCACAAATGATATAAAAACAGGTCAGGCTGCATAATTCGCAGGGTTCAATGGCAAATTAACTCGGGGGGTCCTTGTTCAAAAATTAAGTATTTCAACACAGCAACAGCCAAGCATGCAACCAAGCCTGGGACCCTTCTGAGCCTGGGACCTTGTGGCACTGCAGGTTACACATCTGTGGAGCTGGCCCTGTCCACAAATCTCTGAGGGCATATATAGGAGTGAGTTTTCCTGGGAAAAGGGCCCTCAGTGGTCAAGGTAGGACCCAAAAGGCTAAAAATCACTACAACTGAGGTAGGTGAGGGGCCCTTCTTCTCACCACCTCCTCCCTCCACTCGGGCAGGGTGGGGGCTAGTGAACACGCTGCATGAACCAGCTTCAGAGTAGGGCAGGCTATGGTGGCCAAGGGGACAGAGAAAGGTGGACACATGAGAGATGGAGATTAGAGTTGCGAGAGAGAGGCGAGAAGGCTGGCTCCCAGGTTTCTGACTTGAGCAACAGAATCAGTCCACAGTGGTGCTATTCACGGAGATGAAGAAAAGCTAGCAGAAGATCAGGGTGCTGTTTTGCTTGGCTGGGTGGCAGTGAGAATCAAGATTCCTATTCTAGGCATGAGAGGGTGTCAAGCAGACAGATGATAAAGCTTGGGAGGAGATGAGATGAGACACACACATTTGGGGGCCATTGGTATAGAGATGGCATCTAACCCTACTGGAATGGCTGAGGTCTCCTAGGAATTCAATGGGTGCAAAGGCTCTTGGGTACAACATCTGATTGCCCTGACACCTCACATGAGAGTATGTGTGTGTGTGCCTCATTTGTAAATGTTCTCATTTGTAAATGGAGGTGAGAATCATATCCCCATCATAGGATTTCATAAGTAAGCTTGTGGAAGGGGAACGCTTAAGACAGGCCTTGGTACCTGTTGAGCCCCCAAGGATACCAGCCATTGTAACAATAATAATCACACCATGTCATCCTTCCACAAATATGTACTGAGCCTCCAGCGTGTGTCTGGCAGTGTCTTGGGGCTTTGGATGCAGCCATGATCAAACGTGTTAGAAGGCGGTAAGTACTATGGTGAAAGGAAAGCAGAGCAGGGTAAGAAGCACGATGAGGAGGATGGGGCGGGGACTTCAATATCGAATAGGGTGGCCAGGGGAGCCCTGCTTAAAAAGTGACATTAGAGCAAGCCCTTGGAGGTGAGGGAGTGCCTCATGCAGATGTCTGAGGGAACAGCTGGCCAAAGACCATCAGCAGAGCGGTGGAGGGTGAGGCCCTAGGGTAAAGGGTAGGGGACCTTTGTAAAGGCTCCTTGTGGCACAGGGGGGCTGGTCCTCCAACAGGGCAACACCAGGTCTGTCCCACAATGAGGCAGAAGGCTCTCACATGCTGGAGAGAGCCCGTTGTCCAGCATGGCCAGGGAGCATATACCTCTAATACGGTAGAGGCAGCCTCTTGCCCACATAGCAGCTGCCCAAGCCTTTGGGTGGGCCTTGAGGCTCCCCTTGGCCCATGGAAGGGCCTCACCTGGCACAGCAGGCTCACCAGCAGGGCCTCTCCTTCTCTTGGCCGTGGAGTGTCCCCTTCCAGCAAAACTCGGCCGGGCCTTTGCTCCAGGGCTCCCAATCGAAGCATACATCGGAGTCATTTTCCTCTGAATCTGTGGAGACACGAGGCAAGGCCTCTTGGCTGATCACATGCTGTCTCCCACCCCTGACCCAGGAAGGAGTACCCTGGCAGGCCTGGGTGTCCCTGCAGCCTTGTCTGAGGGTAAGGCCAAGGCAGAATCCTATGAGCCAGCCTTGAAGCCTCAGGAAGTCTTCAGGGCCTTAAAGGGTGACTAGGGACCAAGAAAGAAGGCTGTTCCTGTAACTCAGAAAATGGCCATATCCATCTACTAGAGGGGAGGACACATAGGTGAGCAAATGACATACCGTACTGGGCATGGGCCAGGAGGAGGCAGTGAAGCAACACAGTTATTGACCCATCCAGGCATTTGTCCACTAGTTCATTCATTAACAAGTATCTGAGTACACAGCACAAGGATCTCCACTGTAGCACTGTTTTGTGGTGAAACACACACATGAACAATAAAACACCTGGGAACTGTGTCCACGTCCACAGATCACAAGAGGTCTGGGTGACTAAGCTGTGGCACAGTCACACCACATGGAGACCCAGACCTTCCGTCTGACGGCTTGTCGTGAAGCTGTTAAAATGTTTGCATCATATCTGTATCTTCTGATTTGCAGGATATCTATGGTATATTATAAGCAAATTGAAGAGAAATGTAGTATCTTTTTGTTTAGAAAGGCAAATGCTGCCCCCTTCTCCAATTCTTTTTGAAAACCTGCACACGTTAGTAAGCATGTGCACGAGTTTGCTGACAGACTCATCTTGGGGAGGTAAGGTGAGAAAAAGGAGGGGATGGGGAAGATTATTTTTCTTACTAAACTCTTGCATTGTTTCACTAGTTGCAGGGAAGTAACAAAGGTTGTTTGTACAATGGGCATAATATCAGCATCTTCTAGGATGAGGGTTAACTGAAGACAGACATGTAAAATTCAGCACAGGACTTGGCACAGGCCTTCAACGGTGTTGGCAGTTAGCATGTCTTACAAGTCAGTAGGGGCTGGGCATGGTGGCTCACGCCTGTAATCCTAGCACTTTTGAAGGCCAAGGCGGGTGAACCATGAGGTCAAGAGATCGAGACCATCCTGGCCAACATGGCGAAACCCCATCTCTACTAAAAGTACAAAAATTAGCCGGGCATGGTGTGGACCTGTAGTCTCAGCTACTCGGGAGGCTGAGGCAGGAGAATTGCTTGAAACCAGGAGGCGGAGGTTGCAGTGAGCTGAGATCGCACTACTGCATTCTAGCCTGGGTGACAGAGTGAGGCTCTATGTCAAAAAAAAAAAAAAATGTAGGATGGCGTGAAGTGACTGTTCTTCACTAGAGAGAGTATTTTTTGAACATAGAGTATGTGCGAACTGTTGTTACATTCATTTTCTCATCTAATCCTCTTAACAACTTCCTGAAGTCAATTACTAGTATTTTTTGTACTTTACAGATGAGGATGGTGAAATCACTTGTCCAGGCTCAAAGCCAGGGAGTGGTGCTACTGGATGCGAATTCAGCCTCCCCACTCCACAGTTCCCACTGGGTGCGTTTGGACTCAGGGGATTTAAAGGCAGCTTTGAATTGAACACCTTGCTCCAAAGGCCACCATGAGGGGCTGTTGCACCACTCTTCTGTTTCAGCCCCAAACCCATCTCTTGGAGATTTCCCTTCATCCTTCTGCAAACTCCTGTCAAATCGCAAAAGTAAAATACTGGCAGCAGGGCATCTTCCCCTTGAAGGGTGTGTGTGGCTTCCTCCACCTTATGGCCATGTCATGGTCAGACAGTAGCACTGTCCTCCACTGACCAGCTTCTGCAGGAGTTGAGCTGCCCATTATCATTTTTGCCTCAGTGCCAGTTTCATCAGGCAGCTCCCCTTTCCTCCCCACTTGCTCCTCCTTCGACTTGGGAAAGTGCATCCTATCGGGTACTCCACACTTAACGCTCTGTCTTCTGAGGCCTGAAACTGCCCTGAGGAGCCAGCAGGAGTGTTGTGGGGGTGGGTATGGGGAGGAGGCAGCAGAGCTACTCCTGTCTGCTTTTCAAACTGGATTTCAGGCAAACTGATTCCAATAAAAGAATCCACAGCAGAATAGAAAACCACAGGTCTGGGTGGCCTGACCCCTCTTAGCCCTCCAAACCCTGACATTGGGTCAGTTCCCAGCACAAGCGCAAAACACACACAATAATATCGGGGATTTTAGAAGATGAAGAACCTGAGGGAGGAATGCCCACCTCACTTTAAGGATGGTTTCTCTTCATTGCAAAATTAACAAAGGACTTATTTCAAAACGCCACATGACACCAAGGAGTAAACAGCCTCTCAGGAGAAAGTCTGCGGAGGACTTGGGGTGGGGTAGGTTGTGGATGGTTTTGGAGTTGGGCCTCCAAGCAGAGTGAATGCCGGAGGAGATTCACGCCGCAGGCCTTGACCTGGGTGGTAGGAGAAATGTCTCCACTCCAAAGAAGGCATCCAAAGCCACGCTACCTACATTTCCTCCCACATTGACAAAACCAGCATTGGTTGGATTATTTTCTCAGCCTACAGGAACCTACCACGTGCCAGGTGTGTATGTGTACTGTGTGCCCTGCCCTGTAAGCACCTGATATGTATCGACCACTGGAGCCTGTCACAACCCCAGGGGGCAGGTACTAGTGTTGTCTCCATTTTGTAGATGAGAAAAGCAAGGCTCACAGAGGTGCCCACCGTCACGCAGCTGGTAGGTGGCAGAGTCAGGATTTGAAGGCAGACAATTGGCTCTCTTAAGTTCACAGATGTATGACCTTGGACAGGTTGCTTCTCCTCTCCAAGCCTCAGTTTCCCCAATTGTGATATAAGTATTATTATGCAGGGTTATTCTGAGGATTAAATAAGATTATGCATGTCCAGTGTTGAGCACAAGGCCTGGTACATAGTCAGTGTTGCAAAAAGGTTCACTATTATTAGGAAGTATTAAGCAAGGATGACTTTGGGAGGCCGAGGCAGGTGGATCACGAGGTCAGGAGATCTAGACCATCCTGGCTAACATGGTGAAACCCCGTTTCTACTAAAAGTGCAAAAAATTGGCCGGGCGTGGTGGCAGGTGCCTGTAGTCCTGGCTACTCGTGGTCCCAGCTGCTCAGGAGGCTGAGACAGGAGAATGGCGTGAGCCCGGGAGGCGGAGCTTGCAGTGAGCCGAGACTGCACCACTGCACTCCAGCCTGGGAGACAGAGCAACACTCCATCTCGAAAAAAAAAATAATAATAAAAGCAGCAAGGATGAGGCCAGGTGCGGTGGCTCACGCCTGTAATCCCAGCACTTTGGGAGGCCGAGGTGGGCAGATCACCTGAGGTCAGGAGTTCGAGACCAGCCTGGCCAACATGGTGAAACCCCATCTCTACTAAAAATACAAGTATTAGTCAGGTGTGATGGCACGCACCTGTAATCCCAGCTACCCAGGAGGCTGAGGCAGGAGAATCACTTGAAGCCAATAGGTGGAGGCTGCAGTGAGCCGAGATCATGCCACTGCACTCCAGCCTGGGTGACAAGAGTGAGACTGTCTCAAAAAAAAAAAAAAAAAAAAAAAAGGATGAAATCTGAACCTGTGTCTTCCAGAGTCCAGAGAGACAGCTTTTATCACCAGTAGCAAACAAGTCTGACTCCCCACCAGCTGTGGGGCCCAGTGCCTGAACTGTACCCCTCAGGGAGAGCTATGGTCTACCCTGGGACTATGAGGAGAATATACGTTAAATAAACATTTTCTAGAGACAAGAGGGCATCCCAGGTTCTTGCTAGGAACTCCCAATAATTACACAATTACAAGTCCCTGCATTTGAGATCATGGGGCTAGTGGGGGTGTGGGGAGGGACTTCTCACCCCGCCTCAACAACATCTGACCATTGCTGGCAACATGTGCTGCGCCCTCCCTGCCTAGCTGGCCAAAGGTCATGGCGCTCAGCAGCAGGAGGTGGAAGATCAAGTGGTCCCCACAAAGAGGCCTTTTTTTTGGGACACAGGATCTCATTCTGTCTGCTGGAGTACAGTGGTACGATTTCGGCTCACTGCTGCCTCGACCTCCCATGCTCAAGCAATTCTCCCACCTCAGCCTCCTGAGCAGCTGGGACCACAGATGCATGCCACCACACCTGTCTAATTTTTGTATTCCTTGTAGAGACGTTGCCCAGCCTGGTCTCAAACTCCCGGGCTCAAGCAACCTGGCCACCTTGGCTTCCCAAAGTGCTGGGATTACAGGCGGGAGCCACTGTGCCCAGCAGCAAGAGACCTCTTGCTGAAGGGGATGCTCAGGGAGACACATGCCAGAGGACCCTAAGTCCCACTCCTGCCACACAGCCAGGCCATATCCTGGCCCAGCCACCCCTAGCTTCCTCCACAGCCAGCTTGGTCCCACCTCTTGCTCCTCTTGCTCCCATGCTGAGGTCAGGGTGAATGTCAGTTGGCTTCCATGAGCCTGCCTCCCAAAGAAGCCAGATCCTTTCTGATACATGACCTAGGCAGAAAACAGTGAGTGGTCTGCAGGTACCTGAAAAATGCCTAAGGCTGCTGTATCCCATTGTACAAGCTGTTTACTGCACAAAAGCACCCAATCGAGAGGGTGAGCAGTGAGCTGAAATCCAGCCCACGCTCTGCTCACAGAGCCTTGTGCCCCAGCTGAAAGGGGCACCTAGAAGTTCATCTCCTGGATTATCCCTCCTGGAGGGATAACCTCTGTCTAATTTGTTCAAAAGATCACTCTCGAACTCTAGGTTCAAACTCTAGGACTCACTCTCGAACTCTAGGTTAAGAAACCCTCAACAACCAAACCACCTTTCCACTGAAGAGTTGACTGCTTGTATCTAAGCCAGCACTTAAAATGACTGAACGAAGCCCCTTCTGCAGTTGTTTCAGGGCACACTGGCCTATTCGGCCACCTGCCCAGCTCCAGGATTAAGGTCCTGCCTGGGCAGGGTAAGAAGCTCACCTTGGCTAAGTAAGAAGCGTAGCCAGACGATCAGTAAGAACAGCAAACCCACAGGGAGGCAGAACCAGAAAACCAGGAAAGAAAATGTGAGGTCGTTCACCAGCGGCATCAAAGGGTACCTCATGGTGCATGTGTGCCTAAGCTGGGCCAGCCTGGGCTGGCCTGGCAGGGCTGCCCCAAGGGACCTGGCAGGCTGGGCCATGCTCTGCTCTCAGCCCAATTGTGACTGAGCTGTGAGGTAACAAGGAAGTTACAGTGTCCTTCAGGCAAAGTACGCAGGGGACACTCTGAGGGAGAGGTGTTCTGGACGAAAGGGTGGGAAGCGAGGCAGTGAGACAGAGTCTGGCTGAGAATTAAAAAGCCCAGGTTTCCAGGCAGGCCTGGGTTTGAATCTCAGCCCAGTAGCTATTGGGTTCATGATACCCCTCTGACCCTCTTTCTTGTAAGATGGAGATAATTTTGTTAAATTAGAAACACAGATGGGACAAAAATTACCCTCGAGATTGGTGTTCATATACCTGAAGTCACAGAGCCCCTCCAGGAGCCAGCCGGGTCCCCAAGTCCTATAATACCAGCTGTGTGTGCCCACATCCACACTGTGGGAGTGCTGGGGACTGCGGCAAACTGGGTGGAGCTTACTGCATCCTAAGCATGCAGTGATGGCAGCTCCCACCAATAACTGCTATGAATGAAATGCAGGTCCATTATTGCAGGACTCCTAACTTTCCCAAGCCAGGCAAAAAGTCTACATTTCTATGTGACATCTCCCAAGTTTAAAATGTTGGGTCAGACCTCGTTAAAGCACTGTTGGCTAAACCAAACGTCTGCCAGGCTGGATTGGTCACTGGGCTGCCACTTAAAACTTTTAAAATCTAACACATAGATTATTCTAATGATTACTAAATGACTATAAATGATTATTACTTAATCTGGAAGCTTCTGTGCCTTTCCTTATTAGGGTTTTCTGTGAGGGGCTTCTAACGACTTGAATCTTGTTCCTTGATCTCCTGAGTGGCCAGAACACTTCCACATGCCATCCTCATCTTCTCATATCTGTCATCCGTTCACTCATGAAGTATTCAGTAAACCTCCATGCGCCAGACCACGGCAGAAAGGCTGCTTCGGACTTCCCACTGGAGTGGCTGCTGCACGGTATTCTCCAAAAGGACCCTTGGACCACCTGCCTAAAGCTGCCAGCAGATGGGTGGGTGCTGGAGTGTATTTATTAAACATGCCAATTCCCAGGCTCACCTTCGTCTCCTCAGACCTCTTGGGGGTGGGGGTGTGGCTTGGGATTCAACACACTGATAAGCAACCAGAATGATTCCGACACAGGCTTGATTTTGAGACCACGGCGTCTCATGACTTAAAAGCACCTGTTGAAAAGGCAAACCCAGGTCCAGGCTGGGGGAGCAGCTGCAGGAAGTGGGCGGTAAACCTAGGGAGAAACATGGAGTAGAAAACCCGCTTACAGGAAAAGACACCAATTCAAGGAGAAGGGCGCATGGGGCCAGCAACAGGAAAAAATAAGAGCATGGGAGGGGCTGGGAGAGCTGGGACATGGTTTCGAGAGTCCTAGCCCAGCTGTGGGATGGCCAAAATTCCTACAAGAGGAAGTCTGGGAAAATGGACTAGAATGCATGACCAAGAGGGGCAGTGCCCTGGCAGGGGGCACCTGATGCAGGGCCCAGAGGCCAAGAGGAGGAGGAGCAGGTGGTATGGGTTGGGAGTGGTTCCCTGGCACTGGGTCCTGAAGGGGTTGGGGTCGCAGAGAGCTGAGCAGCATAGCTGGGAAAGGCTTGAGCACACATTTTTTTCTGGTTACAAAACCTTTCCAGACACCAAAACAGGGATATTGTGGTCAGCTTCCCTGGCCACTAGGCCCCGCTGGAGGTCCTGTTGTGAGTGGGCAGAACAGACACTGCAAGGTAGGCAGGTCCCAGGCACAGTTCAGAGGGTGGCACACGTCAGCAGCTCTTGGCACAGGCATGACCACAGTGGTTCTCATGGTTGTTTCAAGTGGTCCATTCACTCCTCTATGTGTGATCCAGGCCTGAAGGCGCTCATCTGGCTCCAAGATGCTCTACACAAAGGGGGCAGTGGGCAGCAGGGGATGATCTCTGCATCTCCCCACTTTGCTGACTGTCTAGCCCTGGTAGGGCTCAAATTTTCTGCAAGCAGAGGGCACAGCCGGCACTTTCACTCCCATAACGTAAGTATCTATCTCCTCAGCAATTCCCAGCCTCTGAAAGGTGAGCCTCTATTGGCAGTGTTTTAATTATACAAGCTCCTTCCAGCAGAGAAGGCCAAATATTTTTCTTAAAAATTAATCAAACTTTGAGTATTTCATGAAATACTCATTTAATGTTCAATTAAACTACAGATCTAAATTATAAAGGGCAGCCAAAGCCGAGCAGACATCCCCTGGAAGGGTAAAATTCACAGCACCAGTGTAGGAGTAAACCCCCAGCCTGTATCCAAAAGCACACACACAGTTATTAGATAAGAATCTCCTTAAAATTTAATTGACTAAATGTATTACATTCAATATTCCATGGGCTTCTGGACAAAGGATCGGCATAAATACAAACAAACCTCTGGACCTTCTTCCCTAACCGACAAAGATGAAACACAGGAGGCAAGGGGCACGGGTACACCTTCATATTTACACTTTGCCTTTACTTTACAGTTCAGTGCCAGAAATATTTACAGAAAATACAATAAGAAAAAGAGCATGTCTTGGCAACATACTGAAATTCATACAAACTGTATATATGATTTCAAGCAAATAATGACACTGCTTATTTTTTAGCCACAACTGCCAACCCCTTCAGAGGAGAAAGATGTCTTGGTCACTGTAAGAGATGAGGACTTGGGAAACTTGGTTTGCTTCAACAAGTATTTATTGGGCGCCTACCATATGCAAGGCACTGTGGAATCCCAAATTACACATTTTCCCTCATCATTAAAAAAAGAAAAGCATCTGAAGAACATGAGTTGATATTCTGAGAAAAACACTGTAAGTACATGGCTTCTTTAGCTACTAAGAAACCCACCGTTTGATTCCACTTCGTACGGATGGACCACCTCCAATCTCTCCAACTCAGGAAAAGAGGCTGTCATGGAAATCTTTAAAACAGACCATCTGACTCCAATCAATCGTCATTTCATGTAAACACAGCAATCAGTTCTTTTCAGGAAGACAGAACCTGAATGGGCTTTAAAATGGTGAATAGAGAACTACTGCCAGCAGGAGTGTCAAATTACCTCCAATACGTGTTTCTTTCTTTCTTTTTTACCAACTACCACAAAACACATCTTTGAGCAAGGCTAACTTTCACTTTGGGTAAAGCTCCACCTTCCAGAAGAAATGACTCTGCCTCTCTAGAACCCAGTCTGAAGACTGACAAATGCTTCCCTAGTGTATGGAGAAAGTAACCATTCATGAAGGCCTCATACACAGAACCTGCAGGTAACCAACAATACTGGTCAAAGGTGTGGGTATTTGTATTTATCAATGAATCCAGAGGAAAATGGGCTGCCCTGAAATAAAGGATATGGAAATGAAGGAAAATGTGCATGAGTATGTGTATGTATGTGTGTGTGTGTGTGTGTGTGTCTCATTAGTTCTTTCAAAGGCCCAATGGATGGAAGAGGGTCTCAGGAGGAAGCCCTAGACAAAAAGGAAAGCTAGCTAAATAAGGTAGCTAATAAGCTAATTAGCTAGCTAATAAGCTAGCTAAATGATTAACAAGGTAAAAGCCCTCCTCACTGTCCTCAGTGCTCCCAACCAGAGAGGAGCAGAAAAGCTCCCTCCTGCAACTTAAGAAGGCAGAAGGGCAACCTTACTTACCACCTTCCTCTTCACAGAATGCCACACTCATCCACCCCCTGGCACACCCAACAGATACAGCAACTGAACTGTTTAAGCCACAGACAAAAGTGGTCCTGGCTTTCCCCCAGAGGCTAGAACATATGCTGGCAAATTTATCAAATGGACTACAAAATATTAATATTAGGTGCTAAATATGTTCCTCTGGTGCTATTCTACTCAGTGACTTTTAACACAGGCAAGTGGGTGAACACAGTGACCATGAACTCAGATCCATAGAGATGGGACAAAAATTACCCCCGGCATCGGTGTTGATATACCTGAAGTCACAGACCCCCTCCAGGAGCCAGCCGAGTCCCACTGACGAGTTAAGCGTTCTTAGCACTCCCTCTTTGGGCAGATGTTATTTTGAGCAGAAGGAACCAGCGCCTGGTAAGGTACGGTACGGGTATCCCATAGTCCACTGGCTCTGTACACACTGGGAGTTTCATGCCTTCAGGGGCTGTACATCCCTCCTTCCCTGGAAGACCAGGGAGTCTCCCAGATCACAAATGCATTCAACATCATTGTTTACGTATCAAATACATTGGAATTACAAAGAGTTGCCAGAAATTAGACCTAACTGAAGGATCAGCAAGTCCAACCCTCATACACACACACAGCATATTTTTCTGAAATTAACTATGCCAAAGGTAAAAGTCTGATCTGAAGAATCATACTGAAGAAGTACATCTACATCAGTTATTTTTAACCTCTGCAATGTTGTAAGTTACATGTTAATTTATAGCCTTCTCTGCTCACTTCAACTAGAACAAGAGCCCATTTTCCCCTCAAAATGTCAATCTAGAATTACCTTGAAAGTTATTAAACCTCATCTTGTTCCTGTGAACCACTAGAACATTTTTTAGGGTAGAATTGGCTCATCTTTATCCCGAATGCCCTCTCCCACGCTACCATCTGGAAACATCAATTTATTGCCCAGCTTAAAAAGAAAATCAACTATTGAATAATAATACTATAACCTGAATGGAAACTGGAGTCATAGAAAGAGGAGGTTATCTTTACCTGAGCTTAAAACAAACATGAAGAACAGGTTATGGCAAACTTTAAACCAAGAGCTGCTATGCCCATATTTCTTGCTTATAGATGACAAAATGCATACTTCTGGAATAAGAGACTTGTGCACAGGGAATTAGGTCCCACACTATCCCCGCCCCCTAAGTAACCCACCGTAACATCAAACCAAACAGATCGTCGCAGCTCTGACCCACAGTCTACTGACATCAGAGTTCAAGGGGGGAAACACCCCTTACACAACTGTGATCATTTCTCTTTGGACTTTAAATATCACTTATTTTCTTAACATAAAATAATCTTACTAAAGAAGAAAGCAGATGAGAATAGGATAAATGAGCAGTGTATACTGTAGCACTGTAACAGGAATCCTTGTAAGGATGTTCTGGGTCTGGCCACCTCAAAAGTTTTATCCCTGCAGAAAAGTAGCAGCGAGGTAACAGAAGTATTTCCAAAACCTGGCAGGGATCTGTTGGCTGGCAAAGTCCAGAAAACATGACAACAACAGCCATTTCTAACAGTAGCCACCCAAAGAGATGGTCACTCATGTTTGTCAATTATGAGGAAATCCAGTAGTTCTCTGGGAGATCTGAATTAGTAGCGCTGAGAGGCTATTCCTGAACCCCATTTTAGAATCCTTCATAAACTACTGCAGTTTGCTGCTTGGTCCTGAAATAAGAGACAATGGATGAAACCAAATAATTTTCAACCCTTATTGTGAATTTACATTTCTTTAAATGATATTTAATGAATGAATCACAAATGTTTAACCTGTCATTATGTCACCCCGCTGGACAACAATGGAGAGAGTGGGGGTATCACTGCTATCTTAAAACTTTTAACCCCACAAACTTTATTTGTATCCCCATTAAAGGACAAGGCCATGCTCCATTTCTGATCTGTTCCTGGGTGGCCCAGAAACTGAGGCTTTCAGACAGATCTGTGCAGTGATGAGAAGGACAACTTTTTGAAATATGGAGAAAAAAATATGACATATTTTAATGTCAGGCTTCTTATCTGAGCAAAAAACATGTATCATCTTTTCTTTTTGTCAGTGTGACAGCTGGATGACAAGACCTACAAGTGAGTAGAAGGCTGTGACTTCTTTCCTTCTCCTCCATGCTATCAACATGAGTCTTTAAATGTCCTGGAAGATTCTGAGAAAGATTTTAATTTTGAATACAACCTCCTAAAAAGTGAGGTATAAAACTATCTTCAACTTCTATATTGCAAATTTGTTGATACTACCAATGCACGTGTTTAACTGAGATGCATAAAAGCCTTTCTCCTCAAAAGGCTTATGTTTAACTAAAATTGTCACCTTTAAAAGAAAGTTTATGGCTAAAATGTATATCATCATGATCAGCAGGAATATGATTGTGTCTGGGAGCCCATTTCACTAGACAGCCCGAAGTCTTCTATCAAATGGGTTATAATGTGTTTCTTCTATTCTGGTGATTAAACAGTAAGCTCTTGGGAGTGATTTGTTTTTATTTATACAGTGATCACCTATCAAACTGTTCTGCTGTGTTACAGTTCCCGAACTGGAGTTCAACAGTCTTAGAAATTCAGGGGTCTAAGAACTGCAGTTCTTGAGTCCAACCTCCTGGAAAAGTGAAGTATAAAACTCTGGCTCCAACTGTTTGTTCCGGTACTTGTTGACAATGTCGGTGATTTTCTGTTTCCGGCGGACATGGGGTGGACTGTAGGAGTCACTCTCCAGTCTCTTCCTTCTACAAATGTTAATTACAGTCTGCCTCACCAGAAAGCCTTGAAAATAGAGAGTTTTAAAATAAATGTTAAAAACTAGTCACTTAGGTAGGTGAACTGTAAGTATTCAGGTGAACTACCCTACGCATACTCAAACTATTTCATTCAACTTGCAAACTTCCCATCCCCAGAGAGATAGACATAGTGCCAAGATACAACTGCCACAAGAAACACACAATGACAGGAAAAGGAGAATAAAAATCTAGTCTAAGAACCTATTTTCCGTCCTGGATGACAAACAGCTGTCTTCAATATTTTAATACTAGAAGTTGGTGAGGTTTTGCTTACACTTACTAGATTAAGGACAGATTAAAAAAGAACAAAACATGCTCCGTTTTTAACAAGAGCCAGACCATTTCCTACATGTGGAAACTATTAAGTAATTATCACCATTTCCTTATATTGACTTCTTTTTGGTTTATAAAAATGATAAAGAGAAAGAAAATGTAACTCTTCAGCCACATATGAAGACCTTACCAAGAGCTCGCCTGCTGACAATCATCCCATCCACAAGAGGGATGACCATGTTAAATTTTCCAGTGGCTCCTTGAATTTTTATCCGGAATAATCCAGTGTTTAAAGGGTGGATGAAGATGACAGGAACTTCTTTTTCAAGAGTCGTAGATCTTAAGAAAAGAAAATTTTTATCTCAGACACCCAAGAGTTGAAGTCCCCCACATACAGCCTAAGATTACTAAAGGGACCTGTTGCTTGGCAGTGGTATGAGAAAAGCCAAGGGGTCAGTCTGCTCAGAATGTGCTTTCTGGGAATCTATGCTGCTGCCCCCTATAACACCTGGTCCTAAAGGTTCATTACTGGCTCAGGCTTTCTAAGCTAACAGAAAGGGGCTGAAAAAATATATATACCTGGAAAACCACTAGGGACACTGGGTGGAAGGAGAGGCCAGAGAACTCTATTGCATGGAGTTAAGAATCTAGCAACCACCTATGGGACTTTCACTTTAGTTCCTCTTCTTGTAGGGAACAAAAATGTGGCCAGCCAGAGTACAGGGAATTCCAGCATAGTCAAGGCTGGTAATCCCAGAGCAGAAGCAGGAACACAGCTTTGGCCCATTACAGGAATCCCTGATATAATTTTTTTTCAGGGTGGGGAAGGAGGTTGGGAGAGCCATTAATCCAAGCCAGCTGCAAGTGTCCTTCTCGGCTATGGTGATAAATGGCCACATTGTGGCAGGGCCAAAGCCCTCACAGCCTCTGGCCAGGCAGCAGATGCTAAAGTCGGCAACTGCCTCTATGGAGGGGTGAGTTACTCATTACATACCAGGGATCGGCCAACCCATCTAGTATGACATGTTATTTGTGATGCCACATGTTGAGGTCTTTTTGCAACCCAATGAGTTTTCTTTCTATATAGGTAAGGTGATTTTGGCCAAAGCAACACTGAATCAGTGTTTCAAGACATTAAAAAAAAAAAAAAAGAAAAAGAAAAATCAATCCTCGAGTAATTCTGTCCCCAAGATAAATTATAAACTTTGCTAATCTACCAATAAAATATACATTTTACTGTCAAATTGTATTACAACCTTTGACCTAAAAAGATGAAAACTTGAGAGGCCGAGGTAGGAGGATCGCTTGAGCCCAGGAGTTCGAGACCAGCCTGGGTAACATGGTGAGACCTTGTGCCCAATTTTTTTTTTTTTTAATTAAAAAAAAAGGTGAAAACAACAAAGACAGTATATGATAAGTCTCTTCTAATTAGTTCTAGAAAAGTCTACTCATAACTATTCTATAGTCTCTTCTTTAGCAAGTTAGTGTCATAAAGAAAAAAGGACTGTTCCAGATTAAAAGAGATGGAAGGAATTAAAACCAGGTATACAGTCCTGGAGTGAATTCTTTACCAATTGTGAAGAATATTTTAGTAAAAATGAAGAAACTTGAATGTTGCCTATTAGATAATATTAAGAAAGTATTAGTAACTTTATTATTGTGATGTTATGTTTAGCTATCTGACTTTTCAGATGCATACTGATGTATTTGGAACATAAAGATACCTGTAATTTGTTTTAAAACACCAAAGCATAAAAAGCATGGAAGTTTTAAGAATGACTTGCCCTCTTTTAGAAATTTAAAATGATAATGCTAAAATAAATCATCTTTACTGACTTCATTTCAACAACAATCATCTAACAATATTAGAATAAATTCATCTTATATGCAATTTGAATCAGCTCACATAACTAAAAGGAACTTAAAAATATCAAGTTTGAGGGTATCTCTGTGATGAGAGAGATGCAGGGCCAATGCATTTGGGGTCAAAGGCCTGGATTCAGGAAACTTTCTCCTGCATTTACTGGATGTGTGATACTAAGGAATAACCTCTTTGAACCTATTTTATCCCACAAATAAAACAGGGAAAATAATTGTTAAACTCTTAGTTGTAAACCAAAAACAAGCAAGCAAACCTTGAAAACTACAAAGCCTACACAACTACATTGTTACCATTCTTAGAATCAGATTATTCTCTTTTTATCCTTCTTGTGAATGGGCAGGTAAAACAGAAATTTTAACCCAATTATAAAGTTAGTATTACATTTCGCTTAGAAACATTTTTCCATTAATTAGCTCATATGATTTAGGATATTTTAGCTGCTATTTGGCCACATTGTTTTGGCCAATTTAACTCCATTATTTCAATCTAATATTGCTACCCTATTATTACGGTCTTTATTAATATTAAATTGCCTCTACTTCTCCATTTTTCTTTTTGCTCTAGATAACTGTAAAATAGCAATTAATTTTACTATTAAAACTCTTGCTAAAGCACCCAACATCACTAATCATCAGGGAAATGCAAATCAAAATCATAATGAGATAGCACCTCACTCCAGGTAGGATGGTCATTTTCAAAAAAACCAAAAGAAAACAAGTGTTGGCGAGAATGTGGAGAAAAGGAAATCCCCTTGTATGCTGTTGGTGGAAACGTAAACTGGTGCAGCCACCATGGAAAATAGTATGGTTCCTCAACAAATTAAAAACAGAATGTTCATATGATCCAGCAATCCCACTTCAGGGTATATATCCAGAGGAACTGAAACCAGGATCTCAAAGAGATAGCAGCACTCCCATTTTCACTGCAGCATTATTCACAATAGCTAAGACATGGAGGCAACTTAAATATCCATCAATGGACGAATATATAAGGAAAATGTGGTGTACACATACAATGAAATATTATTCAGTCTTAAAATGGAAATCCTGCCATTTGTGACAGCATGGGTGAATCTAGAGTACATTATGCTAAGTATAAGGCAGGCACAAAAAGACAAATTCCACATGATATCACTTATATGACAAATCTAAAATAGTTAAACTCAGAGAAGCAGAGAGTAGAATGCTAGTTGTCAGGAACTGGAAGGAGGGAAAAAATGGGCAGGTATTGGCCAAAAGGTGGTACACAGTTTCAGTTATGAAGGATAAGTCCTAAAGATCAACAGTACAGTGGCTATAGCTAATAATACAGTATTGTATACTTAAAAATTTGCTAAGAGGGCAGATCTTATGTTAAGTGGTTTTTATCACAAAATAATAATAATAATGAATTAAGTGGGCAGGAGAAAACTTCTGGATATGGTAGAAGTGCTCAGGAACAGATTGTTGTGATGGTTTCATGGAGATATACTTATCTCCAAACTCATCAAGTTGTATACATTAAGTATGTATAGCTTTTAACATGTTAGTCATACCTCAATAAAGTGGCTTTTAAAAAGTCCATGCTGGCCGGGCGCGGTGGCTCAAGCCTGTAATCCCAGCACTTTGGGAGGCCGAGACGGGCGGATCACGAGGTCAGGAGATCGAAACCATCCTGGCTAACACGGTGAAACCCCGTCTCTATTAAGAAATACAAAAAACTAGCCGGGCGAGGTGGCGGGCGCCTGTAGTCCCAGCTACTCGGGAGGCTGAGGCCGGAGAATGGCGTGAACCCGGGAGGCGGAGCTTGCAGTGAGCTGTGATCCGGCCACTGCACTCCAGCCTGGGCGACAGAGCGAGACTCCGTCTCAAAAAAAAAAAAAAAAGTCCATGCTATAATAATTTGATAACCTTGTATGTTGTATACAAACTTCTTTGATCTTTTTTCCCTATTTTTATTTCTAATTGTCCACAACTCTTTTGTTTCATAATTCTTTATTTATTAAGCTGCAATCAATATATTAAAAAAAGACATGCTGTTGAAATTCAAGCAAATAGAGTGTACCTCAGTGAAGTGCTACTATTTGCAGTAGTTTCCACACCAGTACTGATCTCTGTCATCAGCTCTGAGAGGGGAAAGTTTTCTGGAAGAAAATAATAGCATTATAATTAATATCTCCCTCATTTTCCCAAACAGATAACAGGAAATCTTATTTTCTAATCTCTTCACATAAATGAGTGGCAAATATATGGATTGTGCTGTCCTGAAATATCATCTTAATTATTCTCTACAAATTAAAAAAATCATCTCTCATTTTTTTAGCTAATTTCATCTAAAGCAAAGAGTTTTTAGAAAATACATTCTGTGATCTTTGAGGGCTTTGTTGAAAAGTAACTATCACATTTTCCCAAAAACTCTGGGCTGGATGGGATTTTAGGCAAAGTATATAATTCTAATGCTCAATGTTGCTTACGTAAAAATCATGAGAAACTTACCCAGAGGGCAACTCTTAAGGACAAACTAAGCTTTATACTAAAACGAGACAGTAGAGCATGTGGGTGGAGAGAGGGTAAGCGAAGCGTTTCCCCTTCCCCTTTCCAAAGGTCCTGGGATGGCTGAGACCAACTGGCAACAAACCACTGACTGTGATGCCAACAGGAATAACTAAAAGCTTTGTATCTACTAGTCTCATCAAATCTTCACAACTATGAAAAAAGTAACAGGATTTAACAGAGGAGTAATCTAAGGCTTAAAGAAACTGAGTAGTGGAGCTGGGGTGCAAACCCAGGCTTGCTGAACTCCAGGACTAGCTCCTGGCCACACCGTGCTTATATGCCCATTCCCTGTAGACATTTAGCAAGTCATTGTCATATATTGTCATTTTATTTATGGACAAAGTCCTCATACAGTACCTATATCATCATAGCGTTCCACCCAGACTACAGAAACTCTTGTCTCAGGTCCAAGGGGAGGAACAGGGCGACCCTGAGGCAGCTTCCTCATTCTGGAACTGGGACTGAGCTATATGAAGAAGAAGACAGAGAGCGGGAAAAACAACAGCAACAAAAAACTGGCTTAATAAAACTACCCAGTCATTCATTTGTCAAGGTGCTCAGTGATATAAGTATCAGGTCATGGAAAATCACTTTAGGAAAACATGTATACATTTGCAACAAAGCACTTCTTTGGCTCCTGTTCATCAGTCTTAACCTAGGACAAGAAAATGAAGGCTTAAAATTGTCAAAGAAAAAACAAGGAAGGAATACTGAATAATAATAATTTGCATTAATAAAAACAAAATTTACACGCAGTATCTTAATGAGGGCTTAAAGGATTTGAGTCTATCTCTATTAGGGCCAGAAAGCAGTATGCTTCCCCATCACAGCAACATCACTACTTGTCTGGGGATCCTCATCTCTAAAATGTCCCATCAGCAAGTTATTCCCAGATCCCAGAACAAATGTCTCCTACTGCAATTTATGCTTAATTCCTTTTTCTCATCAGTAGAAAGAAAAACAAGTTGTCTGGGCCTTCATTATCATGCAGTGTGCTTCTGGCTTCCCACCACCCTAATCAACTCTAAGTTTCACTGCAAGGTTAACAGGACTGTGTGGCTCCCCTTTAGCAAACTGGTACCCTGAGTTGCACTTCTTTTGAGGCATGCAGCAGAGCTAAGTTGTGCTAAAGCCCTAAACAAAGCTCATGTGTACAGAGCGGAGAATCTCATACTTGAGGTGAATTTTAAAATTAAAACTGCTTTATTAGCACAGAAATATACATGTCTTTACCAGATGACCAGAGTCCATGGCAAGTCCCCCGGATGCTTGTATCCACTCTGACATTCACAGAAAATGGCCAGACCAAGAGATTTCTCCCAAACTAGTGACAGATATCTGGCCATATTCACAGACTACTTTCTTAGCATCAAGGCCCCTAATTAGCTTTGACTCTGACTTCTTCCATGTCTGACGTCTAGCCCTAGATTTAAAGAGCTCCTGTGATTAGGTCAGGTCTACTTGGAAAATCTCCCTTTTGATTAACTCAAAGTAACGCAATTAAACCCACAAGATCCCTTTGCCAAATAATGTAACATAATCACGGTTATCCTATCATATTCACAGGTTCTACCCACATGCAAGGAGAGGACATTGTACGCAGGCAAATGTTGCTGGGGGTTATCTTAAAATTTTGCCCAACACCCTGACGTTTTCCCTGCAGTCTTGCTAAACTCACCTCAATAGTTCTAGTGAATTTAAAAAAAGATTCCTCAGGGTTTCCTACTTACATGACCATGTCATCTGCAAATACATACAGTTTTACTTCTTTGTTTCTAATCTCTATGTACTGTGTTTCCTTTTGTCTTATTTCTCTATGTAGGTCCCTCCTCTACCATGTTGAATGTAAGTGGTGAGAACAGGCATCCTTGCCTTGTCCTCCATCTCAGAGGAAAAGCATTCAAGAATAATGTATAATGCGTAAGTATAATGTTCGCTGTAGGTTTTTAGTAGATGCTCTGTATCAAGTTGAGAAAGTTCTATTCATAGTTTGCTGAGAACTTTTCTCATAATGAGTACGGAATTTTTGTCAACTGTGTTTTCTCCATGTATTGAGATAACCATATGGTTTTGCTTTTTTGTTTGTTTGTTTTTTTAGCTTGTTAGTGTCTGCAAAGTATACTATAAGTGAGAAACAAAAACATGGTGCTTTATCTGGGTTCTAAGGAATAACTATGCTGGCATTCAGAAAATATAGGCAGCTCACCACTGAATTCTAGTTCTGTTCACAAATCTCAAACAAAAAAATTTTTTAAAGTATTAGATTTGGCTAAAATCTTGCATTGCCATGCAATACTGACTGCTCATCTCTAAATTGTATTCTGTAAAACCTTTAAAAAACTCCTGATTTTCAAATCAGTCTACTCCAGGGACTATTAGACCACCTGGCCTTTTTTTCCTAAATCAATTTTAAAGGTAAAAACCTCCCCATATTCTCTTTTAAGTATATACTTACATTAAAAGTAATTTTCACTGTGGAAGGAAGCCAACCTAAACTCTTGTACAATGGAGGAACACCTTTAAGTCAAGCTGACACTTCTGTCTTTGTTATGATTTGTTCTAAGTCAATCTTCCTACACTTCTGACCTGATCACAGATAAAGAAGTAATATTCGCTGTTAAGGTAAAAAAAAAAAAAAAAAGATAAAAGCAAAAAGCTCCTCTTGTAGTAAGTGCTGTGTTCCTCACTCAGAATATTTATCCATACACTGAGTTATTCTCCACAATGTTCCTATATTTATATGGTCAGACTTGTTTAAGATGAACATTGCAAGATTAAAGATAAAAAACATGTAGTTACTGCAGTAACTTTAGTGGATATTTCAGAGACAAAATTAAAACCTTGGTTTAAAAAGGAACAGATGAGAGAATCAAGTATGGGATCAGAATAGTGAAATCAAGAGAATCCACAAAGGCTGTCTCAGAATAAACTATCTGTTGCAGGCTGAAAAAGAGAAAATCATGAGAATTTTATTTTAAAAAATTAAGTTACTAAGGAATCAGTACTCTGATATAATTACTCTCTGGGTTAAAAGCTTTTCAGGCAGGATTCTATAATTACCCTGATTTCACTACAAAATTTTGGAGACCTATCAACAAAGTAACTTACCCTCTGTGAGGAATTAAGATTGTCTGTATGATTGGGGAAAAGCTCAAGTGTCAGGGATGGCTGTTTCAGAATTCCTGGCATAAGATCCATATTTGAATCACTATCTTGGTCCGAGATGTTACTTTCCAATGAATCAGCTATGGGGTAAAGGAAAAAAAGCAACTATAATACATACCACTTATTTGGAGCAAGACTGTTAAAACTAATTATGCTCACCAGTCTAACTGAAATCACTTAAAGCATTGCTTCTAGAGCAAGGGCTGACGAACTTTTTCTGTAAAGGATCAAGTACTAAGTATTTTAGGCTTTGCTGGCTATACAGATCTCTCACATATTCCTCTTTGTATTTTATTTATAACCCTTTAAGAATGTAAAAACCATTCTTGGCGGCATTTGGCTTGTGCCACTGTGGTTTGCCAGCTCCTGCTCTAAAGGATAACCAAAATAAGACTAGAAAATATTTGACATTTCAGATGTAGAATATAATACATGCCATTATTACTCTCTGAATCATTTTGATTATATATTCGATCATGTAGCATTGTGCCAAATAGGCACTGGGACATCCAGAAGCTACAGAAGATCTAGTCTCTATGATTAAGAGTAATGTGGTTAGAGATAAGTTCACAAAAAGTTATCCTCCACCCTATCTAAAAAAATCCCCAAATATCAGAAATAGGAGGAAGCTGAGTAGGAGTGGGCACAGTTGGCATAGGAGATGTTTCACAACAGAAGACAAAGACCCAACTGTAGGAGCTTTAGTGTAAGGACAAGGCTCTAGTGCTGGGAGGACTTGTCTGGTACTAACAGGCTGGGCCAGAGAAATTAGGCAGGTATGTCCCCAAAGAGGATGGACAGGTTCTGGCTTCTGGAATTAAAGTAGTAAACCAGAACCTTGACAGGAAGCCCAACAGCCGCTATAATTCAAACCTAAACCGTAGAAGGTCCAACCTTCCAGCGACACAGCTGGCCCCAGAGAATAAGACAGGGAGGGGCCTAGAGTGGGAAATCAAGGGTCCAAGGACAGAAGTTAGGCAGCTACCAAGGTAGGGCACAACAAAAGTTGTTAGTCTGGAAATGAGACTGTGAAATCGTGATGTACAGTATCCCATCCTAAAAATGATCTCAAAGAAGAAGGTGAAGTTTTCTATCTACTGCCTGACCACCTACTCGGTCAGGCTTGAACAAACAGGCTTAACTTGCAAAAAGCAAAGGTTCTGGGCAAAATAAAACTGTGAGTTCAGACTAAGAAGTAATAATTACTCCCAATTCTTAAAAAGAAAAGTCTTGGACCACCATCTTTTCTAGGCTGCTTAAGTTTCTCTTGCTCAGAAGAATGGCCAGATGCTATCATGAGATCCTTCCCGTTGTAGGATTCTATGTGGTTCCATGCAAAGGCTCTCAAAAAGTAAGTGAGGGATCACTCGTAATTATAGAAAGAAATGAACTGGAAAATAAGCCTATGTACTGATTAATTAAATTAAAGAAAGCATATCAGTTGAAATGGGATTCCTTCACTATTTAAAGATTATCAGAGGGTCAGTCTGCTTGTCTTTAACTACTTTCCTTAAAAAGTTAAGAGAAGATACCTTGTGCTTCTGCATATTCTGTTATAATGCCTTAGAAGCTAAAGAATGCCTTAGATCACTTCAAAATCTCTTCCAAAGCAGTAATATCACACAACCCAGGAATATAAATATAGATCCTAAAACAGGACCATGCAAAATGGTCTTACTTAAGGACTCCACAGGAGAAGGAACCACAAAAGCAATTTCCGTAAGGGCATCAGCATAATACAGCACCTTCTTCTGTCCATTGAAAATGCTAGCTCCAATATCTTCAGAGGAAATCACTTCTTCTGGGAAAAAGAAACACCACATTACAGCTTCAAAAAGTAGAAAAAAACCAGTATCATCTTGCTACACGAAATGTTAACTGGTTAATAAAGTGATAAATAGAATATATGTTTCCAGCAAGAACCAATTAGTATGAAAGAATAAAATATAATGCTTATTAGATGTCTTTATTTTTAAATCATAAAATCTTAATTTCATAATTTCTCAAATGACTATATATCAGACCACTTCTGATTAGCAGGGCTTTTAATTCATGTGTATGAAGCAGATTAAGGGAGCAGTCCTTTGGATCCGGTGAATAAATAATCAAAAGGAAGACCATCCCAGTACCTCAGAAGGGAGTTGGGCCAGAGAGACAGGCAGGCAGAGAGAGAGAGAGAGAGAGAGAGAGAGAGAGAGACAGAAAGAGAGAGAGAAAGAAGGAGGAGGAGGAAAAGAAGAGGAGGAGGAGGAGGAGGAGGAGGGAGGAAGAGACAGAGAGAGAGAAGAGAGAGAGTACACATGTGCGTTATCTCTGGACTCTGGCTTTTAAGGCATTTCTATCCCTGGTCTCTCTCTATGGCTCCTCAAGTTGGCCTATGTTCCACCTTCCTCAATGGTCAGTGACATTGTATAAAAATGTACAGCCAGTTTTAGTAATAGCATCTGCTCTCAGCCAGGAAGACTGAATTAACAAAAGAAACACCCATGAGAGCTATATAGTTCTCAATTAAAATGAACTCAGTGTCCTACCAGCAGTACATAAAAGACCAACAATCTGACCAAAAATTGGACAGGGGAAATGAACAAGTACTTCTCAGGAAAGAAATAAAAATATGGTAAGATATGCTCAAGCATTATTAAAAATGAAAAATTTCTCACTTAAAAAACTGGAAGATACCTAATGCTGGTGAAGATTTGGCAAATAGGGAGCTTAGACAAGAGGTTAGCAAACTTTTTCTGTAAAGGACCAGACAGATAACATTTTCGGCTTTGTAGGCCATAGGATCTTTGCCACAACTACTCGATTCTGTCATTGTAGCATGAAAGCTGTCATAGACAATGTGTAATCTAGAGTGTGACCGAGTTCCAATAAAACTTTATTTTCAAAAACTGGGCTTTCGTTTTCTGACTCCTGGTGTGGGCTCCGGGCAGGGACTTTGTATCTGCTGTAGTAGATGCTGTGGTTACTATCCCAACAGCCACTCTATCCACCCCTATTCTGCAGCAGGCAAAATGTGCATGTGGGACTGACCTCTGATACTAGTTCTATCTTGTCTGTATCTCTCTACCAGAGTCATTCTTTCTTGCCACAAGGACAGGCTTGGGATAGTCTAATCACCATATAGTTCCGTATTCGGGGAGTAGGGGGTTCTGAGATCTGGCTAATCTCTCCTCTTCAGGCTGCTGTGGTATGTGAATGTAAAGCCTGGAATTGCCTTTCTGCACTATTAGAGAAGCCAGGCTGGTGACAAAGCCAAAATATGGAGAGCAACGCTAAAGGAAAATTGTAAAGAAATAAAACAGGAATGCTGATCAAATGACACCAAAGCTTAACCAACCTCTAGAATTTTCAGTTACATGGGCAATAAATTATCTTCAAAATCTAAGGCAGTTTGGGTCACGTTTTCTGATACTTGCAACCATTAAGTATCCAACTGATATATTTATCAAAATGAAAAATGTGCACTGGGCATAGGCATTATCCACTTTAGAGAGGTAATACTAACTTTCCAGTGACCTCAGGAGCCCAGGAACACAAAGCACTAGCCAGGTGGGGCAAAGGTCTTAAGTTTAAATTTATACTTGCTCTGGTACTTGTTATCCTGATTACAGTTCCTCAGAGGATCTGAGGGGATGGGCAAGAATCCTCAGAGATGGTCAGCTGTTTACTACAAAGCTTTTGGTATAATATCCCAAGAATCTAACCTTTAAGTATGACTCTTCTGATAGCCACAGTTGATAAAACACACTGGTTAACAGAAAACTACTTATCAGACAAAACATGCTTGTTAGGAAGCTGTATTGTTTGTATGGATGACCTATATTTATTATACCATTTGTATAGAAAATTGAATCTTATGCATATTATAAAAAAGGAACTTATCAGCATTGTAATAAGCCAGTCATTTTGTATTAATTAACTCTATCATTATGTGTATATATTTCATATACACTGAAAATGTCTAGAAGAATATATAAACTAGTATTAAGTTACCCTGTCAGGACTGGGATTAGGGGAAGGATACTTTTCCTCTATATACCTCTGTTTGTTTTTTAGAGTCAGGGAGTTGCTCTGTCACTCAGGCTGGAATGCAGTGGCATGATCACAGCTCCAAATCTTGGCCTCAAGTGATCCTCCCACCTCAGCCTCCTGAGCAGGCAGGACTACAAATACGTGGCCCTCAAGCCTAGAAAATTTTTTCATCTTTTGTAGAGACGGTGTCTTGCTATGTTGCCCAGGTTGGTCTTGAACTCCTAGCCTCAGTCGATCCTCCCACCTGGCTTCTCAAAGGCAGGCATGCACCACTGCACCCAGCCTGGTTTTGTATTTTTAATAAGACTATAAATCATAGTAAAGGGGGAAAAAAAACAAGACTAACAAAACAAGCAACAACTGACATTTGAAGCACTGTGAGTTTTACCTTGTTGAGATCCTTCACCATCATCACAACAATTAATAGACCAACTGGTAGAAACATGCCCAGTCCAACCAGGGTGTCTGCCCACATCTACTGACCAGCCAAGGGAAAGCAAAAATTCTAGGAAATGTGGCTGAACAGTTCTGGAAGACTCCACATTCTTCAAAATCTGAAATACATACCAATCATCAGCTATAATGAAGGAAGAAAAATAATGTATCAAAATAAATCTTCATAAAAATTGGTTAGCTTTGAAGCTTCTGACAAATCATGTCCAAGCTCAGAATACATTTGAGGATATATCACTATAGAGAAAATGCATTCTCCAGAGTTAGACAGATTTGGATTGGCTGAGCCTTGGGCAAGTTTCTTAACCCCACTGCCTCAGTTTCTTAATCCATAGAGTAGAGATAATAACAATGGTTATGAAATAATGCAAGAAAAGCTATGAGCTCTCTTCCTAGCAAAACAATTACTGAACCAGGCATGTTTACTAAAAGATACTATGTCCTTACCTTCATGAAGTTTACTGTCTGGTTAATGAGAAACATTACATAGGGATGCAACTATTTAACCATAAATCTTGACAAAGGCTATAAAACCTACTAAAATTCAATAAACATCAGGTGTAATTAATAAATGAGTATGAAAATATCCTTTTCTTAGGTCAAAGAAGAGAATTTCAGGAAAAATGAAGTGGCCACAAAGTTCTCTCCTCTTCACTAAGCACTAAATGTAAGGCGTGCGCTTTCTACTGGCCTCACAAAGCGTCCCTCACTCTAAAACAGTGCTTCTCATCTAGGGATGATTTTGCTTTTCAGCGGACATCCAACATTTGGAGACATTTTTGGTTGTCATAACTGGTGACGCACACTACAAACATCTAGTAGTAGAGGCCAAAGATGCTGCTAAATGTTCTAAAATACATAGGACAGCCCTCATAACAAAGAACTTATCTGGCCCAAGATGGTAATAGTGCTACTCTTGAAAAACTCATTTCTAAAGGAAGGAAAACAAGAAATTCCTTTGCAAATGAAAAACGAAAGGGGGAGGGTGGAGAGCAGAGTGTAACAAAATCACCTGGGAAATCGCGTAAAAATAAGGTTCTCTTCGCCTGCCCTAGACCTTCTACATTAAAATCAGCGAATGCAGAATCCTGGAATCACTATTTCTAAAAATTCCTCCAAATAACTATGATGCAGCCAGTCCACAGATCACTGATGTCATTCATACAATGCTAATCTATACCAAGATCATATAGAGGCCTGTGAAAGTCAAAATGTAAGAAGTTACATCCATTACATCTGACCCATTGCAAATCATCTCAAAGTCATTACCTCTTAAGCACAAAACCAGTCTATTTTTTTTTTTTTCTTTTGAGACGTAGTCTTGCTCTGTCACCCAGGCTGGAGTGCAGTGGCGCAATCTCTGCTCACTGCAAGCTCCACCTCCTGGGTTCATGCCATTCTTCTGCCTCAGCTTCCCGAGTAGTTGGGACTACAGGTGCCTGCCACCACACTCGGCTAATTTTTTGTATTTTTAGTAAAAATGGGTTTTACTGTGTTAGCCAGGATGGTCTCGATCTCCTGACCTCATGATCCGCCCACCTCAGCCTCCCAAAGTGCTGGGATTACAGGTGTGAGTCACCGTGCCCGGCCTAAAACCAGTCTCTTTAGAAGTGAACCTATTTAGTTTACCCATATCCCTTCACATTCTTATGGGTGCCAAGAAACTGACTTAACAACCATTTCTAGTTTTTGCAATTCAAATTTTTATCTAGAAGTAAAACTTTTAAATAAAAAATTTTTGAAAATTTAGTCAAGAAGCAATAAGTGAATCCAATTCAACTTGCATGGATTCTGGCAGACAGAAATTAATCTTAATCTACCCTGTGGCTAGGGAAGACAGGTCTCAGACATTCCAAAGGAGGTCTCAGGAAATCTTCATTAATTCCTAGTTACCCTCAGCTTCTAAACAGCTAGGGAAACTGGACTGGGTTAGGAGGTGCCTCAAGGGTTTGTGTCTTCTTGTACAGGCAGGAGAAAGTGGCTTCATTATTCTCAAAGAATGCGCTGACTTCCTTCAAAACAGATCCCCACCTCCAGAATTAATCCAATTTTACTGAGGTTCTTCTAAAACACTTGAGTCCATCGGTCTCATCTCTGGCTACCACCAGCCCACTTTCTCTTAAGCTCCAAGTATATTAGACCCCATAATGAATTTTATGAAGATAAAATACTCTCTTTACCCTGAAGAATTTATACATTATTATTACTTTGTCAGTGACAATCTGCTTCTGCCTCCTTACCTACAGTTAATGCATACCTTAAATACCAGCTAGAGTATCTTTCCCTCCAGGCCACCTTAAAACCAGATTAGGTTTTCCCGCTACTGCTCCTAGAACGTGCTTTAATGACCCTATTAGCACCCTTTACAACAGTTGGTTGCTTATTTAATCATCTGTCTTCGCCTCTATGCAGTTTTAGGGGGCCAGAAATCTTACAGATTTTGTACACCTAACAACAGACACTTATTAACTTTATTGACTCAGTAACAAAAAAATAACTTTCTCATAAATCAGCATTCTTTTCTAGGAGCTCACAAATCATTTGAAACAGTGCTTCTAAACATTTGGAAACTTTGGTAAATTTCTTTAGGCATGCTAATTTGATTAGCTGATGGTCTTAAAATGACTACTACAGTAAAACTCCTGGATCATGCAGTCACAGTGCCCTACACATCTGAATACTACATTTTACAAGTCTTCCTTCAGTTTTTTCCTAGTTATAGTCAGTAACTTCCTGCCTATTCTATATTTCAATTATTCCTTTTCAAAAAACACTTCAAGTTTCCTGCCATTTTGCTCTCAGTTTTCCATTCTCACCTATCTTACGTTTTTCTTCATCCTTCTCCTAGTCTCTTTGTTACACGTATCCAGCTATGTTTTACTTAGTCCCTCTGTTTTGTTTTGTTTTTGAGACGGAGTCTCGCTCTGTCGCCCAGGCTGGAATGCAATGGTGCAATCTCGGCTCACTGCAACCTCCGCTTTCTGGGTTCAAGCAGTTCCCCTGCCTCAGCCTCCCAAGTAGCTGGGACTACAGGTGCCTGCCACCACACCAGCTAATTTTTGTATTTTTAGTAGAGACAGGGTTCTACCATGTTGGCCAGGCTTGTCTTGAACTCCTGACCTCAGGTGATCCACCCACCTCGGCCTCCCAAAGTGCTGGGATTACAGGCGTGAGCCACCACACCCGGCCAGTCCTTCTGTTTTTCTCCTTTATTTCAGCTGTTATTTCCCCCACTGCACACCACGCATTCCTCAACTGAAATGATTTGTTTCTGAAATTACTAGGAAGGTGAGCTGCTTCTCAAAAGGGAAACTGTTACTCGTTTCTATATCCTGGCATGCTGAGCCACAGGGAAGATGTTCAATAAATATTTGTTGCTGTTGTTTTATTCTTCTTGAGCCTTACTTTAACTTTTTATGACTACCCTTCTTTATTTCAGTTTATTTTGTCTTATGAATCTGAATTCCTGAGGGGGAAGAAAGATACCCTACAGCTCCTATTTAAATCACATTTCTTAAGGGTCAAAAGACTCAGGACTCCAAGTATCATAGTTTTGGTTAATTCTGTTTTCAAACTGGTTCATAGCAAGTCTTTAGGCATTGAGTATAAAACACTTCTTGCCATAGACAAGTACATACCACGTAAAATTTTGTATATGAAAATGAAACTTTTTAAGGAATGCGAGTCTCCCTCAAATTATCATGCCCAGAAAGGCACTGAAATGTGATAGCAGTCGCATCTCACTCCTGCTTGAGCTAACTAATAATTTTGAAGCTGTGTGCTATATGGACTCTAGACTGCATGTCACCACCAATAGTTCATAAACTAATCTAACAGTGCTGGACACCACAGCTCATATCCTACAGTTCAATAATTTATATCTACTCACTAATCAATGTTATTTCTGTAAACCAATGAGAATTCCTGAAAAACAACTTTTGTAATCATCTGTTCTCCTGGCTCATCCTTTTTATCTTTAAAAACTTGAGACTCTCCTTTGTTCCTGGGAGAACTTTCCAGCATTTCCCATTTCCTCAACTCTGGCCCAAATAAACTCTCCATATTAATTTTGCCTCAATTTTTTTTTCTAGATGTGTATTTATAGCACAAAAATATACCAAAAAAAAAAATTCATAACTCTTACCTCTTGGTTCGTTTTCTGACCTGGCTTCATATAGAAAATAAAAACTGTGTCAAAAGGACGACATGGCAAGAGATCCAGATACCCTATGTCATCAAAAAATCCAGGTATCGTGGAATCAAGTGCAATAAGGTGAGGAGGTAGACGACTATTTGCAGGTTCCTGCCACCAAAAGAAGAAAGCAGCAATTATTACCTATTCTCTTGCACTGTTATAATTATAAAAACAATACTTGCTCATGGTTTAATAAAAATTAAATTTAAAAATGTAGAATGGTAGGAATAAACACAACCATAATCCTAAAGAAATTATTTAACATACTTCCTTTTAGTTCTTTTATTTGCCTCTTTTTAAATTAAAGACAACTGAGATTATATTGTGTATATAATTTTGGATCCTGTTTTCTCTATAATATTGTGCTTTCTAGAACTTACCTTTAATGTACTTTTTTCCTCATTCATTAATGGTGAAATGTGAAATGGTACAGCTACTTTGGAAGACAGTTTGGCAGTTTCTTACAAAGCCAAACATACTCTTACCATGCGATGCAGCAACTGCACACCTTGGTATTTTCCCACACACATCCACACAAAAGCCTGCACACAAATGTTTATAGCAGCTTTATTCATAATAACCAAAATGTGGAAGCAACCAAGATGTCTTTCAACAGATGAAGGGATAAATCAACTGTGGTACATCCATACAATGGAGTATTATTCGGCAATAAAAAGAAATAAACCATCAAGTCAAAAAGACACATTAAATGCATACTGAATGAAGAAACGTTAAATGCATATTGATAAAAGTGAAAAAAGCCAGTGTGACAGGACTACGTACTGTATGATTCCAACTATATGACATTCTGAAAAAGGTAAAACTATAGAGAAACAGTACAAAGACCAGTGGCTGCTAGGTTTTGAGTGAGGAGTGAAGAGGGAGGAATGAATAAGTGGAGTACAGTGGATTTTTAGGGCAGTAAAACTATTTGTACAATTGTAATGGTGGACACATGTCATTATACACTTGTCAAACCCCAGAGACCTGTAGAGCACAAAGTGAACTCTATTGTAAATCACCAGCTTCGGTTAGTAATGCACCAATATAAGTTCATCAATCATAACAAATGCACCACATGAATGCAAGATGTTGATAACAGGGGAAACTGGGCTGTGGGGAAGGTATATGACAGCTCTCTACCCTTTCTGCTCAATTGTTCTGAAAACCTAAATCTTCTATAAAAAAATTAAGTCTACAAATTTTTCAGAAATGCATGTTTGTTTTGTTTTCCTCTTAATCCCCTATCTTCTTTGAGATTTTGATCTTGCCAAACAAGGTTCTGCTAACCACAGCATATCTTTCAGGAAAGCTCCCTCCAGAGAAAGCAAGAATGACTGTCTTTCACACTGGCAAGGATTGAGTCTAGCCTTCTAGTCATTTATATAACATTCCTAGCAAGGTCTAGGGCAATATTCTATAATCAAAGACATTAATATTTCTGTAGTCAAACAGAAGTGTATTCACACTAAGTGACATAAAACTACAAACAGCCTCATGTCAATTCAGGTCCAATTTTGTCACTAAATGAATTTACTACAAATATATAAAAAATTTTCCAGTTTTCAGTTTTTACTTTGAAATCATGGATAAGGAATTGTGGACCTGAAGCATGTTGTAATACACCTTGTAGACCAGAATGTCCTCATTCTTCTTTTTTTTTTTAAAAGTAAGGTATTTCCTCAGCTTGTTCTTCTGTATGATCTTCTAATCTAGGAACATAACATTTACATATTTTATATCTCTTAATAATTTTTAAAAGTTTCTTCCTCTAGGTCTTGTAAATACTTTGTTAGGGTAACTTTTGTCAATATCACGGCTGTAAATGGGGCATTTTTGCATTGTATTTTTAACTGAATATCACAGGCATAATTACTAATTTTTGTACTTTTGTGTACGGCAATCTTAATTCTCATTTATTTTAAACATTTTATTGATTGTCTTATGGTTGTCAAACTAGAAGACATATTACCTACAAACTGTCTTCTCATTTCCAATGATTTTTACCTCTTAGTTTAACATTTCATTGACTTTCCTCATTTTTATACTGTACTGTAGTTACATAAGAATTTATCATCGCAGGAAGGTTCTCATATCTTTATTTTGCAATTTCCTGCTAATCTATAATTATTTAAAACTAGAAAGTTTAAAAAACGTCATTGACTAAAAAATTCTCGTTGTTAAATAGTAGTCAAGGTAGATAATTTTTACCTCTGATTTTAACAAAAGATTCCTCTAGTTTGCTCCTGGGTTGTCATTTAGATAAATCTTTTAAAATAAGAACCTACACTAGTAGTGCTGGCTTAGTTTGTTATTTTTTTAAAAATCAGAATATGATTCTAGTAAATACTGACTTACTGTTTCACTGACTGAACTGCTAATGGGACCAAATTATTTTCTTAATAGCTTTATTAATATTTCCTGATAATTAATTGCTAAGTTCCTGGGATAAACCTTACTTGATCATGAAAGACCATTTACTTAACATGCTATTAATTCAGAACTAAGTCTGCTTAGCATTCCCTTTAATACTTTTGTAAATATATTCATAAGTAAAACTGGTTTGTAGTTTTGTATGTATGAGTTGTCAAGTTTTAGTTATTAGAAATATTCTAAGGTTCATAAAATAAACCAGGTAACTTTATTTTTCCTATGTTCTCATACAGATGAGAAAGCATGAGAATTATTTTCTTAAAAGCTTAAAGTTTCAGCTAGAATAGATAACAGAAGTGGAAAACTATAATCTCAGAGACAAGGCTATTATGGCCTTTCTTGTGTCCCTGAAGTCTATAGGAAGCATTAATTTTCTTCTAGTATATTTTTATTTACTGCTTCTACTCTGTTCAATTTTCTCCACTAGGAATATCACTAATGATTTGTAAGATGCATCTTTTTTCCTTCCCTTCCATATTTACCACTATATTTCTTATAATTTTCCTCTCTCTGCTCTTCTATTCTGCATTTTAAGTTTTTATGTTCATATTGCTGCATCAAACTCAATTTTCTACAAAAAAAAATAATGCAAAAAACATTTTCCCTCTATATGCTGAAATACAAAACCAAATAGCAATGTCCCTATTACTTTCCTACAAAGCTAAATGGCCTATAACCAGGTAGTTCCTAGGGAGTAAGGGCAGGGGACAACTTATGCAATAAGCAACTTCTTGCTTGGCAATCTTCAGTTGTACTTTTCAAAACAAACAGGACTTAGAATAAATTCCAAGTCCACCTCCAGACAAGTTATTTCACATTTTTGAGCCTCTATGTCCACATCTATAAAACAGGAATAGCATCACTTGTCAATTTTTTTTTTCCAAGAGACAGGGTCTCACTCTATTAACGAGGTTGGAGTATAGTGGAGTGACCATAATTCACTGTAACCTTGAACTCTCAGGCTCAAGCAATCCTCTTGCCTCAGACTCCTGAGAAGCTAGTATTACAGGCGTGCCATCACACCCAGCTAATCTTTAAAAACAATTTTTTGGAGAGATGGGGGTCTCACTATGTTGTCCAGGCTGGTCTTGAACTCCTGGCCTCATATGATCCTCCTGCCTTGGGCTCCCAAAGTGCTGGGACTATAGGCATGAGCCACCGCACCTGGCTGTAAAATTGTTTTAAGGCTAATGGAATTAAGAAGAATGGCAATATTTACCTTATAGGCTGGCTTACTTTGTGCTAAGTACTATATATACCAAGTATCTTCCACGAGTGAACACATTTAATCTTCACATGATCAATGAGATGGATACTTTTATCACTCTCACTTTATAGATGATGAGGAACTAAGACAAGATAAGAAACTCACCAAAGACCACATAGCTGGCAAGCAGTGATTCCAGGACATAAAGCCAGACAGTTTGATCTTATAAACTGGACAATATAAGAAGTGCTTGACTTACAAATACTACAGTATTAACTTCATTCTTTTCTAAAAGTGGCATGAAAGAGCAAAGTTAATTGTAGCTTATATTTTTAGTAATAATGCTTAGTAGGGGAAGATTTTTAACATTCTTTTTCTAATTATCTATAGATTTCATTAACATGGGTACTGCGTTATCTAGGAAAATTCAGAGTTAGGTGTATTATCAAACTAGTCCCCTCAGACTCAGAACTCTGAATGCATTCATGGGGTGACCTGTCCTGGAGCACAAACTACAACCTACAGCAGCACAGAATTTCATTTATTTGTATGCAAGGTAAAATTTTAACCTGGTTTTTTTTTTTTTAATTTGCTTATATCCTTATAAAAATATTTTAGCTATTGTCAGCTGATTGTTAACTTGTGAATATATTTATTCATAAAAGTTCATGAAAATTACCTTCAATGCTTCTAAGGACAAAAATCCAAAGTGTGAGAGGAAAAGGCGGGCTGTTTGGAATTCCTGGGCAGGAGGCGGGGGCTTGCAATCCGTAACTGGGTCAGGAAAGCTTCTCTTTTGCAATTCCTCCTCACTCTGTTGCTCAAGGTGTATTTCATAAGCAATCTGCTGGGCCATGCCACTCCTTAATTTTTCATGTCTCTCTTCTAACTGAAATAAACCAAATATTTCATTTTTTGAAAATGTTTTGAAACTAATAAGGCCAATCTTAATTTTTTTTTTTTTTTTTTTTGAGACTGAGGTCTCTCTATGTTGACCAAGCTGGTCCTGAACTCCTGGGCTCAAGTGATCCTCCTGCCTTAGGTTCCCAAAGTGCTGGGATTACAGGCATGAGTCCCACTATACCTGGCTAAGTCAATCTTAATTTTAAAATGAAAATAAAGCTACAAGCAACAAAGAAAATGAAGATACTTTTCAACGATCAACACTGATTCAGTTCAATACAGAGTATGCCATTAAACAAACATGGGTCAAGGTTAAAACAAACACCAAAAAAACTTCCCTATACCTTCAACAATTGCTTCTTCATGTTCTCACTGTAAATGAAAACATTCAGTCTCTGGTTCCCTTCAAATAGGCAAGAAAGAGGATAGAGTTGTCACTCTCACCCCTCACTTCCAGATCACTGTCCATCTTTACCCTGACATGCTCCCTGTGTTTGGAATTCCTCATCCATATGGATGACATGACTGTACTCTTAGAAACTTCTCCCACCTTTTCTTCTGATCAATCCTTGTTTAAAATTCCATCCCCTGGTGAGTGACAATCCTTCTAACAACCTGGCTCAGGATTCTACAAGCTCCTCAACCTTCACAACTTTGGCCATCCATGAAAACAAACTTTAACCTGAGATGTGCCCTGCTTTCCAGGGCTGTAAGTCTGAAATTCCCTCTCCAATCATAAGCCCCTTGTGCAGCTCCTATCCCTTCACTTCCCTGAGCTCGTGCTCTACTTTTGCTGTGGGGCACTCAACCCCTCCCCCTGCTTTCCCACTCCATTAGCATCCTTCTGGCTTTATCTGCTTCCCAACTAAGCTGAAGCCCCCACATCTAACAGCTAAATACCTTCTCCTTAAGCACATTAAACGGCTGTGTTGAACCTTCTCCTTCCAAATTTCCACACCTGTCAATTTCCACACCAGTCAAATTCTTATGCTTCCAGATCCTAAGGACTTTTGAAGAAAGTCGGCAGAGTGAGTTAAATAACTTCACTGTAGATAATGCTACTTAACCTCAGCTGGACTGCCTGGCAATTTTTAAGAACTGTCTTGGATCCCCTATTACATTGCCAAGAACCAGGATTAAAATTTTCATAAACTTCTTCAATTTCCCTCCTTTCCTCTCTAAATGTCTCTGAACCTTCACCTACTCTCTCCTGTCTTAGAAGTATCTGTTTTTTAGACTACACTCTTGACCCTACTGCATCTATTACTTGTAAGTCCCAATGCCCATCTTACAATGTTAGCCAGACCCCTCTCTCCTGGTTTCTTCCTTCAATCTATAAGCATGTTCATAATCCTCACATCCTTGAAAAAAATATTTAAAAATTAGCCTTTTCTGGCCGGGTGCGATGGCTCACGCCTATAATTCCCAGCATTTTGGGAGGCAAAGGCAGGTGGATCACCTGAGGTCAGGAGCTCGAGACCGGCTTGGCCAAATGGTGAAACCCCGTCTCTACTAAAAATACAAAAATTGGCTGGATGTGGTGGCGTGCACCTGTAATCACAGCTACTCAGGAGGCTGAGGCAAGACAATCACTTGAACCCGGGAGGCAGAGATTGCAGTGAGCTGAGAATGCACAACTGCACTCCAGTCTGGGCAACAAGAGCAAAACTCCATCTCAAAAAAAAAAAAAAAAAAAAACAACAAAAAAAACTAGCCTTTTCTTTCCTTAACGAGGCCATTTCCTTATATAATATTACCCATTCTGTACCCTTCCCTTTACTGTTAACAGTGTGGTTTCTATTCACTGCCTCTTCCTCAATACATTCACTCCCCAGCCCTTTGAACTCTCCCTCCTACTGTACACACCTGTTCTCAAAGGTCACCTAAATTTCATGCCAAAATCCAGGGAACTTTTTCTATTCTTTCTTCTCCCTGGTCTCTCCAGCACTGGCTAGTGTAGCTCTTCCTCCATTCCTGCTCTTCTGTTCTCTCATGTCCTGATACACTTCTGTCCCCGACTTCTTAAAATTCTTCTCCCTTGACCTAAGAGCCAGTTATCTTAATTAACTCTCTAAATTAATCTAAAGCCAAATACATTTTCCCCATCTTCTCAAACCTATCCTCTTCCTAATGTCTATATTTCTGTAAATGGCACTGATATTTGTCACTCAAGCTCAAAATCTAAAATTCTTTGGTTCTTTTCCTTCCCTCATCAATTCAAGACTGCTTGGACCTGCCTCCACAATACATTTTATATATTAAACTTCCCTATCAGTGAAATAGTCCTTCCTTTCTTATAAGGACTTGGATTGTCATAATAGTCTCTGAACTGGTCTTCCTTCTCCAAATAACTCTACTAACAGAGTCTGATCATGTCACTACACTACTGAAACCTACCATGAACAGCCAGGCAGCCCAGTGACAGCTCTAAGAGATGTGCAGTTCCTTTCGATCAGCCACAATCTATATTCGTCTTAAACATGGCAACCTCCTGGATGATGGAGACCCATGTCATCTTATAAATCATCTCCAACAACACTAAAAGCATTGGCTTGACCATGGAAGTTGTAAGAATGTTTCTATTCGTCCCCTTGATGACAGCTAAAAATAATGTACTTACTTCTTCAGTGACTATTTCATGCAAATCTGGAATGCTGAGATCTGCTTTCACAAAAGGAATCTTGTCCACCTCTTCAGGAAATGGCCGATGTTTCACAGAATATTTAAATCCAACATCATTTTTAGGAACTGGGCGAGGTTCAGGCACAAAAAGCTGTTAAAACAAGTAACATTTTGTTTATTATATAGGGTCCAACACCCATCTGTAATGACATGGATTTCCCTGGTCTCTTAGATGGCTGTGTTTCCCTAGGATTACATGTCACAAAAACTCACCCAGAACCTGCAAATACTACAGATAACAGTAAAGGGAAGTAACTTGTGCCCCTATGTACTCTATTTTTCTAAAAATATTCACCGACTTCTTATAGATCTCATGACTGACAAATGGGCTGTGGACCTCTACTGCTGCAGGCCCGAATCTCCCACATTCAGCGGTAATCCAGTGGGTAAAGCATTTTGGAGCTTTAAGACTCAAACTTTCTTCCCCAGGGGCTCTCACATCATTCCACATAATTAAAGACAAGTTTGGCTTCACTGGGCATCTCTAGAAAGTGATTTTAACAAGAACCTTAATATGGCTTGAGAGTATGGGTACCAAATCTAGGTCTTCATAGCTCCAAATCCATGCTTTAATATATACATGGTGAACCCTAAACAAATTTTAGCTCCTTTCCTGGTCCCCTTCCTCTTCAGTCTTCAATGCTAACTTATTAAATTACAGAGTTGTTGACAGAATGTGATCTGTACCCCCAAGAAAAAATAGACAAGTGTTCCTTACTGGGTGAAAAACACATCTCATCTAACAGAGACATCTAAGATATTAAATGATTTTAGGCACATGCTCCAATTTTGTGGTGTCTCTTAAATGCTGGTGAAATATTAAGTCATATTTAAAATTTTTAGTAGCAGAAGTAAAAGCTTACAATGTTATAAGTGAAAAGAGCAGTACACAAAATTACTCAAATTCTATTCAAGTGTTATTGTTTATGAAAAGAAAAAAATGGGAAGGAAATCCAGTAAAATATTAGCAGTGGTTATATTCCTCTGGGTAGTGAGTAAAGGTGATTTAAAATTTCTTCGTTATCTGAATTTTCCAACTTTTCAAGTATTATTCACATAATTACAAATGTAATAAAATAAACTGCACCCCAAAAGATTTCATTAAATTATACACAGCATATATGTGTGTGTCTGTGTGTGTGTGTGTGTGTGTGTGTGTGTATATATATATATATATTTTTTTTTTTTTTAATTAGGCTGGGTGTGACAGCTCACATCTGTAATCCTAACACTTTGGGAAGCTGAGGTGGAAAGATCACTTGAAGACAGGAGTTTGGGATCAGCCTGGGCAACAAAGCAAGACCTTGTCTCTACAAAAAATTTTAAAAATGCGCTGGGTGCAATGGCATGTGCCTATAGTCTCAGCTACTCAGGAGGTTGAGGCAAGAGGATCACTGGAGCCCAGGAGTTTAGGCTGCAGTGAGCCATGATTACACCACTGCACTCCAGCCTGGGCAACAAACAAGACGCTGACTCTTTAAAAAAAAAAAAAAAGTATACACTATATTACCAATTACTATATAAGAACAAATCATATAAAACAATGTGAAACTAAGTCCTGTTGCTGGACACATCAGAAGTCCCGCCAAATTTTTTTCACATATGGTATATACCTGACTTTTATTATATGTAAAATTACATGGAAAAAAACTGGGGCCATTGTCCACAACAGTAATTACTCCTAAGTAGATGCCAGAATGACCTGCAAAGCTTTTTGAAAAGACATCTGCCTTGAAGATGTCTTTAAAGAGTAATTGAGTAGATCTGGAATTCTAGGTTCCTAGATGATTCTGATATGAACCCACTGACTGAGAATCTGGTTAGGGATCAAAAATATTTATTTGATCTGTGTTTTCTGTTGGAATGTTATCTAACCTTGAAATTACAAAACACACACACACTTCCCTGTAACTTCTGATGAATACCTTCTGATTTGCTTTTGCTCCTCTGGGTAAAAGACAAAGCTGTTGTGCCCAAGCAAGTCTTCCAGACATCCCCCGGACCAGCACAGTGACAGAGGGGAAAAAATCATCTAGAATAAAATATGTATATAAAAGTTTTAATTTCAGACAACAACCATTTAAAATAAACTTGTTATCAACTGCAGAGCTTCTCACAATCAAAGGCCCAACAGTGTTTCCTAAGCTTTGATCTTTTGTGTACCACCTCTGTGGTTTCTGCCATACCCATGTACTCTAAGTACTATTACTTTACATCAACCACTACTGTGCGTCTCTAAATGGAAAATCATGAATTTTGGCATGCTAATTATATAATTTTAAAGCATATGCTTAAAAAAACATAAAATTATGTTCACTAATATATCAACTAAGATCATCTCACATACCTCCAGTGATACATGTACACATTTGTGGGAAACACTGTCCCAGTAAATACTCTTAACCTCCCAATGTTGGGAACACTTTAAGTGCAGAAAGATAGACTGGATGTTTGCAGTGTTAGTGTTGTATTTGCCCATGCCTTTGTGTACCACTGCCCACCATAGGCAGACACTGTTCCATCTCAGCAGAAGTTCAGGGGCATGGTGGGGGTTAAAAAACACCAGAATGGACTTCCTGAGTGACCCAGAACCTTCTTTTTATTATTCCGTCTCAGGTGTGGGAGTCAAACGTCTTCAAATTTCTCTATAATTTCTTATTATTACAATAAACTACTAAAATGTCCTTGTAAATCTATACAATTCCAACTGCTTATATTTTTTGTAAACTTCCTATGCAATGAAATTATTTGGAATGAAAGTAGGAGAGTCTTTAAAAAGCTGGAAAAAGGCCAGGAAGCCTGAAGGGGACACTGGGATTTTGCAGACTCCTCAGCAGATGGCTTGGGAGTAGGAGGCTGGAGGAATCATGAATAGGCACAGGCTAGGAAAGAAACTCAAGCAAGCTCCAGGTCTAGGGTAGAAAAGGATGAAATGCCTGTAGAAAAGACTTGGGAGTAGCACTTCTGAAGTTAGGCAGTAATAAAACGCACCATTCTATTTGATATTAATGTCACGGCATCTCACCACAACACAACAGAAGGTTATGATGGTATTCTTTTCATCTCAAACTACAGGGAAATGTCTCACTTTCACTTTATGGATTTATGAGCTCCTACTCATATAATCAACAAAATTAGCACAGGACTCTTCACCTTTACAAAGGCAAGAAGGCAAATCTTTAATCACTGAGCAAGTCCTATCACTGCACAACAACAATAACAGAAAGGGTTTAGAAAATCTGGGCTCTAGTCCCAAGTAACCCTGGGCAAGTCATACACCCTCTGTGAGCCTGAGTTTTTCACTCATAACTAAGGGAACTGTGTACCAAGTGATTCCATGGGTCACTTTATACCCACATATTCTGTAACCTTCACTCTCCTTCCCCTTCCCAGCAACAAGGGTCTGAGAACATGCTTCTTTTACATACTGGCTGATGCCAATTATCATCAGAAAAAAAAAAATGTACTTGTGGATAGTTTGGGTCGCAGTTTTTATCACATATTGTGAGATGGCTTATAACTGAGGGGGAGGGAAAGGAGGAAAACAGTGCATGTTGTGTTGATGGAAAATCATTGCAGGGTTTTCAGTAGGGCACTGCATGGTCATTTGTAGTTGAGGATGAATACCATGGTGGCAGCAAGTACGATGGAAGTAGGGAAAACACATGTTAGAACTGGCAAGGGGTTTGGGGGTTGGAGGAATCACAGTAGGTAGGAAACAACTGTAATAATCTAGGTGAGAAATATTAAGGACCTGCACTTGGATGTATCGGGAAAATACAGAGGAAAGGAAAGATCCAAGGGTCCCTGGGAAGATGGAAACTTAGAAACTAATTACATAAGTGAGTAACAGGAAGGAGCAGGTAAAGATAACTCCTCAAATTTCTAGCCTATGTAGGTGGCACCAACAATTGATATAGAACATGAGGAGTGAGAGGAAGGGGAGCAGAGGGGCAGGATCCAAAGTTTAAAGGGGAAGAAAAAGTGACAAAGATAAACAACACAATGGATCCCACTAAAACATCACCTTCTATAAAACTACAGAGCTAGTTCAGATGCACATCAAGAGCCTTTAAAAGACTCTATCTAATATGTATATTCTATTTTTTGGCCTCCTATTTTTCAGGTGCTATCGTCCCACAGCTAGAAGTCTTTCTGACCTACTTTGAATCTGTAGGCTGTCCTTCCCAGATCCTGGAAACAGCTTCATGGTACTGGTAACACTGATTAAGCAGTAGAGAAGGCTCAAAGTACTAAAACTTACTCTGCTCATTTCCAAGAGGTTGTTCCAGCATTGCCAGGATGACACTGTTATCCAAGACAAAGTACCGGAAACTATGCTTGTTTATGGTTGGCAGCCTGGAGTATTTAATCAAAGTGGTCTCATTCACAAGACTACAAGGAGAGGCAGGACCACTAGGTGAAGGAAATGCGCCGAGCAACTGCATAATGCTACGGAGAATGGAAAAGATAACAGTTAATTCCCAAAGCAAAATCTTCAGTTTACCTTGTGCATCAATGTGTCCCCTTTCACTCTTCTGAATTTTAATGGACCACAGCCATGCTTCTCGACAGGTCAGATTTACTCCTTGTAGTGAATGCCATGGCATACTGTCCAGACTCTCCCCTCCAAGATTAAAAAGCCCTTTACCCCAGATGCATATTTCTATGTCTATTTCAGAGACATTTAATCTCACTTTCCAGTCTGGTCCATATCCAGAAGAGAAAATACGGTTAAGCTGGTATAATTTGATCTCAGTGACCTACTCCCTTACAGGCAACCTATTTGATTTGACATCTTAGAATCTTGCATGGAATACAGCAAGCTCATATTACACATGCTTTTTTTTTTTTTTTGAGGCAGTCTCGCTCTGTCACCCAGGCTGGAGTGCAGTGGTGCGATCTTGGCTCACTGCAAGCTTCGCCCTGGGTTCATGCTATTCTCTTGCCTCAGCCTCCCGAGTGGCTGGGACTACAGGCGCCCGCCACCATGCCTGGCTAATTTTTTGTATTTTTAGTAGAGACAGGGCTTCACCGTGTTAGCTAAGATGGTCTCGATCTCCTGACCTCGTGATCCGTCCGCCTCAGTCTCCCAAAGTGCAGGGAATGCAGGCGTGAGCTACCGTGCCTGGCTCCATATGTTTTGTGACAACCATCTCTATCCCATTTTAGAAAACCAAAGCCATATTTTCTCATTATTGATCTCCTGGTGTTTAAAAGCCATATTTTTCTCATCATTGATCTCCTGGTGTTTCTCCTATTTTCTGCAAACCATTAGAGGCCTGAACTAATGCCAAGTTCTCCTGGTCCCTGAAGTTCTGAGGCAGTCTTCCTTTTAGGAGGAGAGGAAATGGAAGAAAAATAATCTGTTGAGCAATGTTCCTTTCCATTGTTAGAGATCTTTGGGTTCACACCTTAGAGTGAAAGAGGAGAGGCCATTCAAGCTGAGATTTGAGATGACAAATGCGTTGTGGAATACTGGTTTTCCAAATGAGATGCATATGAAGGGGTGGATGATATTAGAATCACAAGATAAAATCTTTGTTTCAAGATACTTTCTTTCTGTGCTACAGTTCCTTCATTACAAAATGGGAATAATAATGGTACCTATCTGATGGAATTGTTATAATATTATGTGATACAATATCATATCACAACAATTCACATAATATCCTAACAATCCTATTCTCATAGGTACCACTATTATTCCCATATACCATTATTACTCCCATTTCATATTATATGAAATGCTGTTTCATATAATATCATGAACTTGTAGATAGATTTAAAAATCCCTGTGGACTTGAAGGAAATGTTCTGACAATGTGCTTTGGGAGTCTATCTGTTCAATATTTTTATCAATGTATTTAGAACACATAGGGTATGCTCATTAAATGTGCAGTTGACCAAAAGCTGAGCTGCAGAGATAACATACCATAGAAACAGTTGAGATCCAAAAGAATCTTAAAGACTAAAAATAATGAGGTAAATCTTAGGTGAAGAAATTTCAGGTTTAAATGTAAAGTTCTGCGCATTACTTTCAAACATTCCCAAACAAGTACAGGATGAGAAAAACAGATGAAAGGTAAACGTGTGAAAAAAAAACTCAAGGATTTTAGTTGACTTAATGCAAATCACCAAGTTCTCAAAAATGCAATGCAGTCTGAGTACATTTTAATGAAAACGTAATATTATACAGAGTTTAAAGATCATTAAAACATATCTAGAATATTGTACTCTGCTGGGTGCAAGTGGCTCACACCTATAATCCCAGCACTTTGGGACGCCGAGGCGGGTGGATCACCTGAGGTCAGAAGTTCGAGACCAGCTTGGCCAACATGGTGAAATCCCATCTCTACTAAAAACACAAAAATCAGCAGGGTGTGGTGGCACGCCCCTGTAGTCCCAGGTACTCGGGAAGCTGAGGCAGGAGAATTGCTTGACTCTGGGAGGCAGCAGTTGCAGTGAGCCAACATCATGACATTGCACTCCAGCCTGCATGACAGGGCGAGACTCTGTCTCAAGAAAAAAATAATAATAATAGAGTATTATACTCTGTAAACCACCTGTAAGAGGCGCATAGTCAAACCTATGCCAGTTGAGAATAACCAGGATGATAAAGGTACTTGAATCTTTGTAATATTTAAAAAAAACAAACAAAACAAAACAAAAAAACTGAAGGTAATGGTGGAAGTGAACCAGAGAGAACATGAGGACTGCTTTTGGATACTGCTACTGCCTGGACAAAAAGGATTTAATGATCAAAAGTATGAATCAGAACCAACGCATAGAAGTGGGAGAGATTTTAGCTTGATGTAAAGTATCAAGTCTTTAACAAAATGAAATAGGCAAGCTTGGGGGTTAGAAAATCTCCAAATTAGAGGCTAAATAACTTGGTACACATGTCTTAAAGGTGACAGGAAAAGGGACTGTTGAAATGACTTCCAAGAGCCCTAATCCTGAATTTGTATTAGTGTACACAGAGGGGAAAAAAAACCTAACCAGCTAATCTGTACTCCATAATTTTCTACTATGTGTTCAGCATTGTGTTGGCAAAGAGGCCAACGTGCTCTCTACCAAGACTGGGGAGACAACACTAGCACGCATCACACATAACCAGGTACAATCATGACAGTGTAAAATTCCACGCTGTGCATTAGGGTCAGAGAGAATGAGCACAGAAGTGCAGAAAAGAGTCATCTTTAGAAGCGGAATAACCAAAGGCCCCATGGAGGTAGCCTGATTTGCTATAAGCACCGAACAGTGGAAGATGTAGCCAAAGGAAGAAAAAAGAGGTCCTGAAACCCAGGGGAAGAGCATAAACAGGTGTAAGCACAGCCAGTTCATAGCCACAGTGCTCTGTCAGGCCTGACAACGGCAGAAGAGACAAGCTGCAAAGCAGTGGTGGAAAAGATCAGATGGTGCCCTTGAAAACCAAATCGAGGAGTTTAGACAAGGAAGGAAACAGATCTACTCAAGGTTTTCAATCATTCAAGCAGTAGAATCAAAATTGTGCTTAAGGATGATGAGTTTTGCAATAGAATAAAAGATGAACAAGAAGGGCTAAGAGATCAAAAATAGGGCAACTGGGCAAGAAGTGAGGAGGGCCTGGACTAGGATGCTATCCAGGTTGGAGAGAATGGAGGAAATACTTTACAAAAATAAAATCTGTTTAACTCAGTCACTGGCTTTACATGGGGAATGACAGAAAGACAAATCAGACAAACAGCCAAAGTTCTGTGTTTGCATAACTGGCAAACAGCAATGATACTAACACAAAGCAGCAATTGTGAGAGAACACAGAAATCTGGTTAGGGACACGTTTCATGACGACAGTTAAGACTGAAAACTGGAGATACCATTTGTCGAGTTGCTAGCAGAGACAAGACAGCTGAAGAGAAACAGATAAGCCATCTAGCTTACTGGTGAGGTTGAGAAGAAGCATCCCAAGACTCTACTCACCCTGAGCACATATGCAATCCTCACTGCCAGTCATGCACTCATAGAACACCCCGTCCAGGCTAGGATGGAGCAAGCTTATTTTTGCATAATGAGAAATGTCCCCTCCTTTCTCTCCATATCCTTCTTACTCTTCAAGACATACGTCAAGTTTTAGTTCCATGACAACTTTTTTTTTTTTTTTTTTTTTTCTGAGATGGAAGCTCACTCTGTCATCAGGATGAAGCATAGCGGTGTGATCTTGGCTCACTGCAACCTCCGTGTCCTGGGTTCAAGCGATTCTCCTGCCTCAGCCTCCTGAATACCTGGGACTACTACCACGCCCAGCTAATTTTTGTATTTTTAGTAGAGGCGGGGTTTCACCATGTTGGCCAGGATGGTCTCGATCTCTTGACCTTGTGATCTGCCCTCCTCGGCCTCCCAAAGTGCAGGGATTACAGGCATGAGCCACTGTGCCCGGGCCTATGACACTTTTAAGGCTCCCCTGGCCCACATATGGTCTTCTTTCTGAACTTGTATTACTTCTAGTATTCATCATCAGCATAAGCGCATGTTTCAGTAGCTGTATTCACATTTTTTTAAATATTATTTTCTAGCTATTTGCCAAACCTCCATAAAGTCACCGAAAGTCCAGTATTTGCATAGTAAGCAGGACTAAATGACAGGAAGCACTCTTCTAAAACTTCACTGAATGACTTAAGCCCACAGGAACAGAAACAAATCCAACTTCATTGTGCATGTCCCAAGTAAGCAACAGGCCACTAAACTCATAGAAGATGCTGGGATCTTGGTAACGGCTGACTTACACACAAATTTTCAAGCGGTTTTGCCTGCTTTACTAAGACCAAGACGCCCCAGCCCAGACTGACTTGCCACTTCTCCTTTCTGCTTTTACATTTTCTGAGCCTTCATCTGCACATGTCCTTTCATGAGCCTCATCTTTCCATGTGTACTATGGTTCCACCTAATCTTCACTAACTGTTCCATTTAGTCCACAAATGTGACTAAGCTGCCTTCCTTCCCTCTTTCCACTATGCTCACTTACAAGCCAAACATAAACTCTCTCAACTTTCTCTGCTACTCTTTTTCAAGATACCAAACTCCCTGTTTTTACTCCTTTACTACACCAAAATGCTCAAAACAGCAGTCTTGGTGCCTTCTTACCCACCCTGTACTCTGGCTTGCGGCTCAAACTTGACCCATCCTCTCAGAGTCAGGTCCAATGTCATTTTCCCTAAGAATGTTACTCTGACTTCCCCTTATCTGGAAGTATTCATTTCTTCCTTCCAACTCCCTAGCATTTTATTTATACCTCTTCTCTTGGAGCACTTATTTTCCACCTAATATTATAGCTATTTGTGTTCATATTTTATCTTCCCTACCAGACAAGATGGTAGACATAATGGTGACTAAATCAGATTTATCTTTATGATCCTATTCTCAGTTCTTAGGAGAGTTCATAAATCTTGGTTGAATGAACCTATACTATGTAATATAAATGGTATAGCAGAGAATACAGACCACTGAGCTGTAAAGCAGATCTAATAGTGTAACCACAGAGAGACAGACACCATCTCTGGACTTAGCATCAAAGTGAGGGGGTACAGTAAGTCTAGCTCTAACACGGTATGACTTGAATTAACATCAAATAGTATAGAAAAAGAAGAACTCAAACTCTCAATCCCAAGTTCCTAGTTTCTTTTGGTCTAAAAAACAGGTAAAAAAATATATATAGATTTTCTTTCCATTTTGTTTCTGGAGAACAAGTATCCTAAAGGGGCTGCATAATGCAATGCTGAACAATCGGGAAGGAAAGGAAACAACATGGATCACTGCTAACCCCATCTAGTTCCTAGGCACAATCCCTGTGCGGTCACTTCCATACCATGTTAGGGTGGCTTCAGCAGCATCCTTTACCCTCATAGATGCAGGGTTTGGCTCCTTATCTCCTTTGTACTTGACCTCTTGCTCGCTGTTCCTGGACTTACTTCCTGAGATACCCAGTTCCACAATCTCCAGTACTTCCTTAAGGCAGTCCTAAAAGCAGGAAAGGCAGATCAATTTTTGTAACACATCTTTCTCATGAGAAGACAAGAAAATCCATCCACATGCTAGCAGTGGTTGTGTTTTGGTGGAAGGGCTCCAGATTCTTGCTAATTTCTTTAATGAGTATATATTAACTTCATAGTAATACAATAAACTTTACACCCCCACCCCCCAATTTCTCTTTAAAGAACTAAATTTTGGTGTTTAGAGTGTTAGATAAATAAATTCAATTCAACTTTCTTGTTAAATTACCAAAGACTGTAAATCACAAAAGCACAAACCAAAGAGATTAATAATTCAGTTAAGCCTGGGATAGTGTAACCACAGAGAGACAGACAGCATCTCTGGACTTAGCTATCAAAGTGAGGGGGATGGTTTAAGACATATTATTAATATCCAAAGGAAATCTTGTCATTGACATTTTTAGGTAATTTCTGGTATTATAACTTCAGAAGCCATAATGAAAATGACTAAGATTTAATCAACAATATTATTCCTTAAACTACATAAAGGTCTCCATAAATATCGAATGATCTCTCCTTTTATTTGCACTGTAAATTCCTTATAACACTTGCTTCCCTATAAGGAAGACATTACATGGAACAATGGTAGGGAACGTGGACTAGTTATCTGCGTCCACTTGAGAGTGAAGAAATGAGTATGGAGTAACATATTTCCATAGAAGCAACCTTTAGGACGAGCTGTGCTCTAGGTTTGCAGCCTGGCAATCATCTGCCCTTCTTTGTTTGGTGAAGGGTGACCGAAGTGCCTACTAGCTATCTCCAGGCTACCATCCTTTCAAGAAACAACAGTCTTGATAGTTCAGATAAATTAGTCAAGGTCCCATCTTTCTAAAGAATTTCTCTATGACTTAATTTGCAACCAAATGTAAGCAAAATGAACAGTTTTCAAGTTGTACCCAAAAGGAAAAGGGTTTCACTGTAATCTAACAAGTATTTTCAGTTTATAAAGTGTACAATACTGTATTTAAATTTAGATATTCTCTTTCAAAAGGCATTTTGCTAGCACACATTTTTGTTTTTACTTAATGGTTTAAAATAAAATAAACTCACCTTTTCATCAAGCATATCAGGGTGCTCTGTCAGCCAGACACAGAGACACTGAAAAGCTGCCACTATCATGGAGTGCAGATCCCTAGAGTGAAAAGGAGCTGGCCGACTACACTGATACACAATGTAGCTGCACACAGAACTGATGGCTCGCTTCCGGTCTCCTGAGTCAACCATCACCTTTACCTAAGCATATTCATTTGGAGAACAAAAACAATCAGCCAGGAATTACTGTACCAATTTCAAAGCATTTGCACTGAAGCTTGACCTATTTGACAATGTGATACACTACAGGAAGCCTTGCTTTTTTTATATTATGTATATATAGGAACAGATTATTTCAGATGTATTGTAATACTCCCCCCAAAATAGTGGCATTTTTCAAGTGCTGAAACAGTATTTCATTTTAGCATAGTTTTTCATGCCCTAAAACCCAAACCCATTGGGTACACCTGTCCATCATTGCCAGAGACTGAAAGAACATGGGCACATTTTTAAACCCCTAACCCAACCTCACAGTGATGCTCTAGGTTCTGCAGAAAGTTCTGTGCAGCTGCTCAGAGGCATAACTGTCATACAGTAAACTGCCCAATATTTCAGGTATACAACTGGTCAATTCTGACGTAAGTATGCACCTGTGAGGTATCACCACGATCGACAGTGGATATATCTATCACCTCCAAATCTCTTCATGCACCTTTGTAATCCTTCCTCCTACTCCTCTTTGCCCCTCTCCCTAAGCAACTGCTGATCTGCTGTCACTATAGATTAGCTTGCGTTTTCTAGAGTTTAAAGAAATAAAATCATTTAAAAGTCATACAATATGTACCTTTTTTTGGTCTGGTTTCTTTCACTCAGCATAATTATTTTCAGATTTAGCTACACTTTTGGGTGTATCAATTGTTCATTCATTTATATTGCTGAACAGTAGTCCATTACATGGATATACCACAATTTATCTAGTTACCTATGAACGGACATTGGGTTATTTCCAGCTTCTGGATATTATAATTACAGCTGCTATAAACATTCATGTACAAGGTATTTGTATCGACATATGTTCTCTTACCTCCTAGGAGTGGAATTATTGGGTCATATGTAGGTGTATGCTTACCTTTTTAAGGAACAGCCAAGCTGTTTTCCAAAATGGTGGTTCCATTTAACATTCCCATCAACAGTTCCTCCACATCCTCACCAACATTTGGTATGGCCAGTCTTTTATACTTCAGCCATTCTAAGAGATTTGCAGTGGTATCTCATCATGGTTTTAACTGCATTTCCCTAATAATTAATGATATTGAGTATTTTTTCATATGCTTATTTGTCATCTGTATATCGTCTCTGATAAAACATCTATTCAAATCTTTTGCCCAATTTTTTTTTTTTTTTTTTTTTTTGAGACGGAGTCTCGCTCTGTCCCCCAGGCTGGAGTGCAGTGGCCGGATCTCAGCTCACTGCAAGCTCTACCTCCCGGGTTCACGCCATTCTCCTGCCTCAGCCTCCCGAGTAGCTGGGACTACAGGCGCCCGCCACCGCTCCCGGCTAATTTTTGTATTTTTTTAGTAGAGACGGGGTTTCACGTGTTAGCCAGGATGGTCTCGATCTCCTGACCTCGTGATCCACCCACCTCGGCCTCCCAAAGTGCTGGGATTACAGGCTTGAGCCACCGCGCCCGGCCTTGCCCAATTTTTAATTGGGTTGTTTGTTGTATTATTAAGGGCTTTTGTTGTTGTGTTTTGTCTTCTTAAAAGATTTTATTAAAAGTCTTTACAAGGCAACATCCAGACTCCAGATCCAGCTGCCAAGGAGACCCTATTACGCAGCTGGGGCTGGGTAGAGCATGGCTTCCTAATCTGTCCTGAGATGGGCATGGCGAATAGTATCTCATTTTTAGGGTCCACAGTGCTCACGTGGTCAGGCAGGGGATTCTTAAGGCCAATCTTACCACTTGGGCACAGAACGTATGAGCTTCACTCTGACGCGCAGCAAACCCTGTCTTATCAGCACATGGTAGATGGTGGTATCAATGTAGCAGTTAACAGGGTCCCTGCTATGGATCATCAGATGACACACAAAGTTCATGGATTCAGTTCTCTGTCCTTAGAGTTTCCCTGACACCATGAACTCGCAGCCCTTGCCCCACTCTCCATAATGAACCATAGCACGCTACAGAAGGCTCTCCTCACAGCAAACCCTAATAGTGGTTTACAGTACAGACTCTGTCTGGGCAACGGCACAGAGAATTCTTTTAGGCCACCTTTTCAGCATAAAGCTTTACCTGCCCTCAAGGAAGCCAAACCTCTTCTGAACTACCTCGGCCAATTCACAGATTCGGTGGTTCTTTTCACGAAGAACATTCTGCATCCTGGAAGCTAAGGTAGTGATTTCTATCCTGGTTGTTACAACTTGGACCTTAACCCCAGAGTAGTCACCTTCTGCAAGCTTCTGAGTGAAGAACTCGCTCAGTTTATTTCTTAAGATGCTATCAAACTTCCTCTTCTTAGAAATTTTCACCGCCATATTGCTGCTGTGCACCACCAAAAGGAAAGGCTATTATTGAGTTCTGAGAGTTCTTTATGTAATCTGAATACAAATCTTTCATCAAATATATGCTTTGTAAACATTTCCTCCCAGCCTGTGATCTGTCATCTCATTCTTTTAACAGTGTTTACTAAAGAACAGCAGTTTCGGCTGGGCGCGGTGGCTCAAGCCTGTAATCCCAGCACTTTGGGAGGCCGAGACGGGCGGATCACGAGGTCAGGAGATCGAGACCATCCTGGCTAACCCGGTGAAACCCCGTCTCTAGTAAAAAAATACAAAAAAATAGCCGGGCGAGGTGGCGAGCGTCTGTAGTCCCAGCTACTCAGGAGGCTGAGGCAGGAGAATGGCGTAAACCCGGGAGGCGGAGCTTGCAGTGAGCCGAGATCCGGCCACTGCACTCCAGGCTGGGCGACAGAGCGAGACTCCGTCTCAAAAAAAAAAAAAAAAAAAAAAAGAACAGCAGTTTTAAATTTTGAAGTCCAACATATCAGTTTGTTCTTCCACAGCGTAAATTAAGAAATCTAAAAAAAAAAAATGCGGGGGGGGGGGGTGGGGGGGGGGGGGGGGGGGGGGGGTGCTAAGCTAGATCGGCTACTCCCTGGGCACAGAAGACTCCTAAAAAAAAAAAAAAAAAGAAATCTATCCCAAGGTCACAAAGATTTTCTCCTGTTTTCTTCTGGAAGTTGTATAGTTTAGTTTATACATATATATTTATGTAATAGAGACAAAGTCTCACTATGTTGCCCAGACTGATCTCATCTTGCCTCAGCCTCCCAAAGTGCTGGGATTATAGGCATGAACCACCGTGCCCAGCCAGTCTGAGTTAATTTTTGTTCATAGTGCAAGGTATGAATCAAAATTTTTTGTTTTTTGTATATGAATATCCAATTGTTTTATAGTACCTCTGGTTGAAAAGACTATCCTTTCTCCTTTGAATTACCTTTGCACCAAAAATCAGATGACCACTTATGTATGGATATACTATTTTCTTCCACCAATCCATTTGTGGATTGCCAATACCAGGCTGTTTTGATTTACTGTAGCCTTACAGGAAATCATGAAATCAGGAAGTGTTAGCCCTTTATGAATTGTTAGGCAAGTCCAGAGCAGTGCTCCGTCTAGGACTAATTATTCCTTACTACTGAGTGTACTAAAGGTCACAGGAAACAGTACCTTGCTCTCAAAGACAGCAGTGCGGTCCTGTGTGTCTCACAAATGGCTGTTTTTTATTTTCTGTACCAGTAAGTGCTTCTCGCAAAATTATGATGTCCATTCTGGAGGATCTTTGAGGTAAACTCTAAGTGGTGGTAAGAACACCTTAGGTTTTATCACTTATTTTGTTTCTTATGGCTTAGGTAAGTCACAGCCTCTGACACCTATTCCCACAACTGAAAAACGAGGATTTGAACCGTATCATCCCAGACAGTAGCACCTGTTCATCAACTTTTTGTTCACAAAATATTTTCTATATTTCCTCAATTATATATTATATGTAAGATAATCCTGCTCATCTTACTGATAAGAAAACACTTAGACGTTAGAGAAAATGCAAAGAAAGTGAAACTCTCATACATTGGGAATGTAAAATGATTCAGTCACTATGAAAAACAGTTTGGCAGTTCCTCAAAAAGTTAAACATAGGGTTACCATATGACCCAGTAATTCTGCTCCTAGGTGTACATTCAAAAGAATTGAAAACTGGTATTCAAACAAATACATGTACATACATGTTCACAGCAGCACTACCTGACAACAGCCTAAAGATTAAAACAACCCAAATGTCCATCAACTGATAAACGGAAAAACTGGGGTATATACACACAATGAAATATTATCCAATCATAAAAGGGAATACAGTTGTGACACATTCTACAACATAAATGAAACTTGAAAACATTACGCTTAGTGAAAGAAACCAGACACAAAAGGTCAAACATTGTATGATTCCATTTATATGAAATGTCCAGAATAGGTGGATCCATTGAGACGAAATGCAGACTGGTGGTTGTCAGAGGAGTAGGGTGGGTAGACTGAAGCAAAAGTGCTTCATGGGTATGGGGCTTCCTTTAGGGATGATAAAAACATCTTAGACCTATAAGTAGAAGTTGCTTAACACTGTGAATGTGTCAAGTCACTGAATTGTTTGTTTTTAAATGGCTAATTTTATATTATACAAATTTCATCTCAAAAGAAAGAATACACTTAGAGAAGCACAAATGACCACCAAGTTCTAAGTTTCCACAAAACTGAAATAATGGCTGTGAAAGAAATCTGAAAAGTGTAGCTAAGGCTGGGTGCAGTGGCTCACACCTGTAATCCTATTACTTTGGGAGGCCAAGGCGGGTGGATCACTTGAGGTCAGAAGTTCGAGATCAGTCTGACCAACATGGTGAAACTCCATCTCTACTAAAAGTACAAAAATTAGCTAGCTGTGATGGCGTATGCCTGTAATCCCAGCTAGTCAGGAGGCTGAGGCAGGGGAATTGCTTGGAAGCAGAGGCTGCAGTGAGCCGAGTTTGTACCATTGCACTACAGCCTGGGCGACAGAGTAAGACTCTGTCTCAAAAAAAAAAAAAAAAAAAAGTGTAGCCAATTTTCACTTATCTCTGATAATGGAGGATGGCAGAGCCACAGGTAATCCCAAATGGTATACATTAGGATAACCATTTTTTACAAAATCAATATGTATTTTATTATCATATGCAAATAAATGACAAGTATTGAAATGTTTCCTATAATTTAACAGTAAAAATCTCATTCATACTCTTTGAATCTATTTTAAAAAGTAAAGTTCAGTTCATAGAATATCACTTGGAGGCTTAACTTTGCACACTTTGGATATAAACTATGTTTGAGTATGATCAACATTAAAATACCCACACAAGGGGTCAAGAGATACAGAAAAAAGAACCACGGCCCAAGGCTGTTGGGTTAAAATAAAAGGACTGTCTTCCTCACCTTTGCAAGGCCAGAGAGGAGCTCTAAAGCTGCCAGTGATATGCTCATGTCTTGGCGCCACTGGGAGTTGAGTCTTTGGGTGACGAGATGAATGCTGCGAATCAGGAGCCCAGCAGCTGAATCTGTATTAAGAGCTAGGATATAACCCCAATGCCACATCCCACAGGGAGGGAAAACAACTAAGCATTAGTAACGAGAAGCACAGCATCCACTAGGCACAGACCACAGCAGCCACAGTGAGAACGACGGGCACCCACACAGTGCTACGTTCCCCACCCCACTGGATTGAGTGCCAAGCCCAACTACACAGTGCACAGGCATATGTGCTAGACCAGAGCAGCTTCTAGCTCCTGGTTCATGCACTTTCACACAACTGTGGGATTTGGCAGTTTCAGTGTCATTTTTATAACAACGTAAATCTTAAAGTTTCTAAATTATCAACTCATAGAGAGGTACATTTTCAAAAAGAGTGATGAAAAGGCTATCAATCATTTCCTTCAAACTTTATAGAGGAAAGAATTCTAATTTTACAGCCTCCTCAGATGCTGGGAAGTACTCTAAAGCAAGCATCTGTTGAAATTACTTACAGGGTTTAAGCCATCAAAACTCACATGCAATGCCTTTTCAAACACACTTTAACATTTAATTCTCCAGGATTACTTTAATACTTCTAAAAAAATTAAATAACCAAGCCACACGTATTTTTATTTGGGCTCCAATCTATATTTAAAAGCAATCACTAGTTAGCTAGTAGGAAATTAGGAAAAATTAAATAAGGACAAATTAAACTGAATTTATAAAGGAAGCTTTAGGGACATTATACCTGTCAATCCTATCAGAAAGAGGGCAGTGACAACAGAAAAAGGAATGATCATTAAAGAGAGACACTCATGCGACACTAACACAAATCAGGATTTCTTAGTAAAAAATAGTTTACGACATTACAAGCAGAGCTCACTAACACCAGTTCAAAATGCTAAAACAAACAATAATCACTTAAAACATTTATATTAGAACACATGCAGTAATGAAAAATTTCTTTTTTTCTTTGTTTTTGTTTTGTTTTGTTTTGAGATGGAGTCTTGCTCTGTTGCCCAGGCTGGAATAGAGTGATGCAATCTCGGCTCACGGCAACCTCTGCCTCCCGGGTTCAAGCGAGCCTCCTGCCCTGACCTCCCGAGTAACTGGGATTACAGTTGCCTGCCACCATCCCCAGCTAATTTTTGTATTTTTAGTAGAGATAGGGTTTCACAGGCTGGTCTCGAATCCCTGACCTCAGGTGATCCGCCCACCTTGGCCTCCCAAAGTGCTGGGATCACAGGCGTGAGGCACTGCGCCCAGCTAGTACTGAAAAATTTATTTAGCTTAAACATGTTTTAGAAAGCATGAAAAATAATTTTCAACCTATAGAACGCCTAAATCTACATACACAGTGAATAAGATAATTTAAATAACTTCTTCACAAATATAATATTTAAATGTGTCAAATATCCACATAATGGCTTTATATATCTGACATGCTCAAGGATACTTGTTGCAAACTTAAACCATAGAAACATGCCTCATGAATTCATCAACTCACGAACATGGCTCATGACATGCCTCATGAACCTCATGAACATGGCTCATGAACTCTCCAGATGATTAAAAAATTAAACTCACATCTAAGAATCTAGATATCACTCCAATCTAGTTGGATAAGTGCTCACAGATTCAATACACCGTTAGTACTTGTACAGAAAAACATAAAGGTACCCACAAACTCACAGAACCCATAAAACAACTGCCCAAGGTAGGGGACAACCTTGTATAGGATGCTTGGCTGGCAAATGTTTTAGTTGGCAGAACAAAAAATAAAAATGTTTCAGGGCTAATGAATCTAGTGAGCTATAGTAGGGGGTACACAGGTTTTAACATGAAGACACGCTTTCCTCTGGGCTGCTATCTAATACATCCCCCATCACCCTCCTTGCCACACTGCAATAACTGCCTTATTGGACATCTCTGCCACTACACTGTGAGCTCTGAGGCAGAGCCCACATCTTATTTGGTTCTCTACCACCACACATAGGAGAGAATTCAGAAATGTTTCCTGATCACCCATTACCATCAATTATAAAATCTAATATACTACCCCAAATCTAATATACTACCCAAAAGCTATACAGCTAAATTAAAAAGATTTGTTTTCTTTTTCTTAGCTTAAGACTGACATCCTCTCTACTACACTAAGGTACATAAAAAACATGAACATTAAAATTTTTAATGTTTTTGTTTTATAAATGTAAGCATTAAAGTCATTCTATTAAACTTTGAATTTCAAAAGAAACACGACTAACCATAATCTCTTAAGAGAGCTTGAGCAGGTCTCTCACTATCGGGAGTCGTGGGCTCCGTGCTTCCACCACTTGTTGAACTAATACCACTATTGGTGCGACTATGACTCTTCAGGTTATTTTCTCCACCACCCTAGTCAAATGAAAATGAATCAAGTGTTTGAGGGTTACATCACAGTTTACGAGTATAAATAAAGGTCAATTAGAAACCATGTTGATAAAGCAGAATGTGCCAACTGAATAGTACAAACTGACAGTAATAGATAGAAATTGACAAGGGATTAAAACCACTGTGGTATTTTTTTACATAGATACATCTACTGGAGGGTATGAAGGGTTTGACTACTACAGGTGCCCATACTGGGGTCTTCTTTGCCACTATTTACAAAGGGCTGGCCCAGCTTTTTCATCTTTACTAGACTTCACTAGATTCCGGGTCCTTAAAAAAAATACCCTAGTGCCTCCCAAGCAAAACTTCAGAACAGAAATATAAGCTTAAAAAGCATGAATAAACAAACAGCAACTTTCAAATATAGTTATATCAGAAAACACAAACAATAAAATACCAGGGTTAGTATTAACTCCCATATGTATAGGGGCTAATAAACCTATCTGTTAGACTTCCCTCGTTTTTCCCCATATGAACACAGTTCATTATACTCAGATCAGTAAATTATTATTAACCATCTACTGAGACACAAATGTAATTTCCTCAATAATAATTTGATCACCCATCCTATATCTACTCAACTTACTACATATACCCAACTTACCCCAGTATACCCTATTAACCCCCCCATTCTCTTGCCTCTACTCCAAGTATAGGGATGATATATCTTGAAGACAAAGCAGAGAGCACTGGAAGTCTCTGAGAAGCATTTTTGATTTAGAAGCACTGGTGCTTTGAGGGACCTGTAAACTTAGGTCTAGAGGGGTTACAAAGAATTGATGGGAAAGAAAAAGTTAAAGTAGTTGCTTGCTGGCTAGGACTTTTCCTAGGTTATTCCACCAAGTTTGCCACCACAGCAAAACAAGTAAGAGTTTAAGTAGATACTGTTCAGAAATAAAGACTGGATTTAGCTGTAGTTTCTCTCATACAGAATCTCTTGGGAACCTGATGTACAGCTGATGAGGCACTGAAAAGTAAACCTCAAAATATATGCTATTTTTAAAAAGAATCCTTCTGAGCCAATGAGCAGGATTTACAAACTAAGGGCCTTTAAAATTCACAAAGATGGACATTTTGGAATATAATTTACATAAAATCCAAAAGTGATATTCTCTGACAGATTACATGTATGCTTCTTACCATCTCCATCTGGCAACCAATGGCTTCCAAAAGTGCTGAATCTTGAACAATATTTAACATTGCCCCTGCAACAACAACAAAACAGTATTTTATATAAAATACACAAGAACACTAAAACGGCTAAAACATTTTAAATGATTAATAGTAGACATAAGAATATAATTTTGGTTGAGCATTCCTGAAATACCCATGAAAGTACAGTTGGCTCTTAAACAACATGAGCTTGAACTGTACATATGCAGGTGGTTTTTTTTTTTTTTTTTTTTAATAGAGACATGGTTTCACTGTGTTAGCCAGGATGGTCTTGATCTCCTGACCTCGTGATTCGCCCACCTTGGCCTCCCAAAGTGCTGGGATTACAGGCGTGAGTCACTGCGCCTGGCCCATATGCAGATTTCTTCAATAAACATGTTAGAAAGCTTTCTGGAGATCTGTGACAATTTGAAAAAACTCCCAAACTGCATAGCCTAGAAATATTAAAAAAAAAAAAAAAAAAAATGGCCAGGCACAGTGGCTCATGCCTATAATCCCAGCACTTTGGGAGGCCAAGGTGGGGCTGGAGATCAAGAGTTGGAGACTAGCCTGGTCAACATGGTGGAACCCCATCTCTACTAAAAATTACAAAAATTAGCCAGGCGTGGTGGTGTGCACCTGTACTCTCAGCTACACAGGAGGCTGAGGCAGAAGAATTGCTTGAACCTGGGAGGCGGAGGCTGCAGTGAGCCGAGACTGCATCACTGCACTCCAGCTTGGACAACAGAGTCAGACTTCATCCCAAAAAGAAAAAAAAAAAAGGAGAGAGAAAGAAAAGAAATATTTAAAAAATTAGAAAAAGTTAAAATTGGCTGGACATACTAGCTCACGCCTGTAATCCTAGCACTTTGGGAGGCCGAGTCAGGAGGATCGCCTGAAGTCCTAGGAGTTTGAAACCAGAGTGGGCAACAAAGCAAGACCCTGTCTCTAAAAATAAATAAAAAATAAAAAGCTAAAATTTATCAAAAAACTTACGTACACAAACACTTACAGACCATACATGATGCCATTTGCAGTCCAGAGAAATGTAAACTAAGTTGCAGTATTAAATAACTGCATAAAATTAACTGTAGTACATACTGTACTACTGCAATCATTTTGTAGCCTCCTCCTGTTGTTACTGGGGTGAGCTCAAGTGTTAATGAGTATCCTGCTTAAAATATAATGCAATGTTAACCATCTCCATGTGAGTAGTTCATCTCTCTCATAGACTGAATACTGCAGTATCCATGGTTCTCACATATTTTCATCATGTTTACTGCAACACCATGAACCTTGACTAACACCATGGGACCCATAGGAAGTGCCACTAGTGATGTTGGAAGTGCTCCCAAGAAGCAGAGAAAAGTCATGACATTACAAGAAAAAGCTGAGTTGCTTGATATGTACTGTATATTGGGGTCTACAGCTGCAACTGTCCAACAGTTGAGACGATTTATCTTATAAACAATTTATGGTATCAATAAATACAGTACTAAAAATATATTTTCTCTTCCTTATGATTTTCTTTTTTTTGAGACGGAGTCTCACTCTGTCACCCAGGCTGGAGTCCAGTGGCATGATCTCAGCGTACTGCAACCTCCACCTCCCGGGTTCAAGCAAATCTCTGCCTCAGCCTCTGAGTAGCTGGGATTACATACAGGCGCCTGACACCATGCCTGGCCCTTTTTTTTTTTTTTTTTGGTATTTTTAGTAGAGATGGGGTTTCACCATCTTAGCCAGGCTGGTCTTGAACTCCTGACCTCATGATCCACCCACCTCCCACCGGCCTCCCACAGTGCTGGGATTATAGGCATGAGCCACCACGCCCAGCCTTTTTTTTTTTTTTGGAGACGAAGTTTTGTTCTTATTGCCCAGGCTGGAGTGCAATGGCATGATCTCACTGTAACAGCTCACTGTAACCTCCGCCTCCCGGGTTCAAGCATTTTCCTACCTCAGTCTCCCAAGTAGCTGAGATTACAGGCATGTGCTACCACACCCTGTTAATTTTTGTATTTTTAGTAGAGACGGGGTTTTACCATGTTGGCCAGGGTGGTCTCGTGAGCCACCCGCCTCGGCTTCCCAAAGTGCTGGGATTACACCATGTATTTCTTAATAAAATATTCTTTTCTCCAGCATACTTTATTGTAAAAATTTAGTATATATTAATAATATTCATAAAATACAAAATATATGTTAATCAACTGTTATTAGTAAGGTTTCTGGTCAATAGTAGGCTATTTTTAGGGAATCAAAAAGTTACATGTGGATCTCAACAGCTCAGGGAGTTGGCAAAAAACTCCCATTTGTGAGTCTAGAAAATTGTGTCCACAATTAATGGCTTTTGAGACTTATGAAACCCTAAAAAACTTTTTGCCCAGATACAGACAATTCTAGTCACCTATTAATTAGGTGTCTCTGGATAAATATGGTTCTTGGCCACTGTGACCCATCTCTTCAGGATCTCTCTCTCTGTTTTAGAGGCCTTTTAGAAACCATTTCATGGATTGTGTTCCTGTTGGAAGGACATACACCCCACCTCCTCAGGGGCATGAGGGCTTAAACAGAATGTCTGATCCCACTTTTGAACAGATAAAAATCTAAGATGCTAGGAAGGAAGAAGCCTAATTCTTGTCTTGCTAATGAAGGGAAGAAAGCAAGCCTCTAACCACTGCCAAGGTCAAAGCATTCTCAGAGATCAATTGCTCCATAAGTAGGGCGTTCTAACTGCCACCCAGGTTTGTGGGCTGGGATGGTATTTGCATTCACATGGTTCAGTGGGTACTCCTGTTATGTGGTTGAGGAAAGCCCTACTTTCCTAAGAGCTTCCACTGTCAAGGGTGGTGATCTCAATACCCAGGGTTGCACTTCAGTGGCACTGAGACACAGAAGCAACAATTGAAAACCCTTTGCTTGCAAATGTAATACATTGCTGTTTACCCAATTTGAACATCATATTAGAGGAAGAAAAGAAGAATTCCTCTGTTCATCAGGGTCTCTCTGAAGATTTTCAGGGAGATAAGACTATCTGTCCCTTAGTGCTAACAATAGATCTGTCAATCAACAAATACCTTATGATATATTTTGAAAAACATGTAAAAAGGGGGGAGTTCAAGCATTTAAACAAACAAAATAATTTCAGGTTCTGTGCTGTGAAAAAAATTATGAAATAAGATCATCTTTAGCAAAGTCTGTTAGGGAAGCTCTCTCTAAAAAGATGATGAAGAAAAGCTAAACAAAAATCTAGGGAAAGAACATCCCAGCAGGAGGGATACAAAGCAAGGTTCTGAAGAAATCATGAGCTACTATGTTCTAGAGAAAAAGGACTAGGAGGAAAGTACAGACTGACGAGACCTGTAAGTAACGGGCAGGAGGAAGAGGAAGAGGCAGGAAGAAGAGGGGCAGGAGGAAGAGGAAGAGGCAGGAAGAAGAGGAAGAGGCAGGAGGAAGAGGAAGAGGCAGGAGAAAGGAGGGCAGGAAGAAAGGAGGAAAGAAGAGAGGGATGGGAAGGAGAGGCAAAGAGTGGAGAAAGGAGAGAAGGGAAAAGAGAAAGAAAAGCAAAAGCACAAATAAAATGGCCAACCAAGACAACTATAACACTTTACTTCCCTCATCTCACCGCTTTAAATTTTCTTACATTAAAAAACTAACTGTGCCTCTGATTCAGAATAAGTAGAGCTACATTAGGTTTAGGCTCCGGTCACTGACTGCCGACTCTTCATCAGGCCAGCAGTCAACAGTACTGGGTTTCACTTACAACATAATGTGTGAATACAAACCTAATATCATTTGGGTATTGTTGGGGTCCGTTTCTGTTTGCAAGGCACCTATTAATATATTCACAAGTCTCAACTTCAGGGACAGAAAAGTTATTGGTTTATCATAAGTCGAGCTGTCATCATTACTAAACTTTCCTTCCAGGACCACCTATGGAAAAAGCAAATAATATTTAACATCAGCTGTTGCAGCTCATGATGCCCATGTGGGAATAGCCAGAGTGGAGGAACAGATCAGTCTAATGAGAAAGGCTTTCAGTCTAACATTAGCCACTGTGCTAACTCTGTCACTAACACTCAATATGTTAATAGATGTCCTCAGCCTGTAACTGCTTGAAAACTGGTAGAAAAACTGACAGAGAAAAAAAAAAAAAAACAAATCACAAGTCAACTTTGTTAATTCACTTGAAATAACTTGAATGAAATAACTTGAGTTGAAAAATAAAACATCCCCTGTTCCATTTTTAACATTCGATTTGACTTAAATTAGTACACAAAACAGAATATAGAATATAAAAAAACTTTAACAAAACATTACCTCAGATTTGACTGTGCCAAAATGATGAGGGAGGGGCAACAAAGAAAGCAGGATATTAATGGAGGATCTTCGCAATTCTGTTGGATTTACATAGCTTTTGAATTTTGAGAGCTCTCTGCCAAAAAATAAAAAGATATTAGTATTTTTGAACTAAAGTACATTAGCTACTGCCAAATACATATAATGCCAATTTTTCCAAATCCTAGCATTGTGTATATGTGTATTGTGTATTTCTAAGTTAAACTGTTACTGAATTAAACTAGAAGTTGATCGATTTCTTTATCTAAAATGTAAGGCCTACTCTACAAAGGTAAGACCTCTGTGTTGGAGTTGTTCTCACCCTTCTAGACCAGGCCAAAAACAATTCAACAAGCCCACAGACAAATCAGAACTGAAGGAGTTCAGGGATGAGGTGCGTCTGGACACACTACACTCATTAAGTGTGGCCTGGGTTCTCTTGGACTATGAAGACGACTAGACAGGATACATTAGGAAACTGGGGAGGAAGCACCAACAGACCAGGCCAAATCAGACAGTTGATATAACAGCAGAGAATGATAGCTTACCTGTCAGGCAAAATGGTTTCAAGAGCTGAAATAAAGTAAGGAACCACAACATCAATCCCTTTCAAGTCACAGCAGAACAAAGGAGGAGAGTTTAGAATAACGCTGGCCAAGACAGGATGGCACACATAATCATTTATCTGCAAACCTTGAATTAAAAGCATGTAAAATCTAGGAAAGCAAGAAAAAAATTTTAAACAAACTGCTAATCAAAAGTTTTCATAATTATTATTTGCTACATAGTTATCTGAAAGTGTATTTCCACTCTTCACTATTTTTACCCTTTAAAGAAAGGGCATTATTGGAATTACTGGAATTTACTAGAATTTTACCCTTTAAAAGGTATTACTGGAATTACTGGAATTTTACCCTTTAAAGGGTATTACTGGAATTAAAACAATTCTGAATTATATACACTAAGACCCAAATCATCTTTCTTAATGAAGAAAAAAAACCATTCATGTCTATTGCACCTTCTCAAAGTTTAAGTCTTGCAACTCAAAGTTCTAGGGGCCTGCAAATAAGGCAACCAGAACAAAACAAAACAATAGGCTGCAGTACTTTTCAATAAACTGGGGGAATTGCTGAGTTAAATTCCATAACAGAAAAATGTTGCAACATTTAGTAATTCCTAGGGGAAAAAAGTATGTTTTCATTTTTGTCCCTTCCCCATTATTTTTGGGGGGACAACGAAAGAAAGAAACCTGCATTTGATCTTCTGTATTCATCATGAAGGTCACCTGAATAAGATTCCTTTTAGGAATATGCCTGAATATACCTTAGTTTTTAACTCCACCCCCAAACTCTAATCAACTTACTAAGCATTCAATCTCCCATTACTCAAGAGCAACTACACTGTTATACTCTTCTACTGTGAGGCGAGTTTCTCTTCTCTGCAAAACTCTTCAGAAACAACTTCATCACTTACTGGTTATTGCTTAACCCATTTCAATCTCTCTCCCTAGAACTCAACTAAAACCATACTAGCAAATAACCAATGGGCTCTCGATTGCCAAATCCAAGAGACATGATTAATTCTTAACTCACTCTGCCTTTTGAAAGCATTCAACCCTTTGACTACTCCCTTGTCTCCTTGTGCTTCCCTGATTTCTATGACCATTTTCTTTCACAGGTCCTCTTACTCTACCTGCCTCTTAATGATGGTGTTCCTCAGTCTGACAACCTTAGTTCTGGAAGCTCTCTCTTTTACTAACCTGATTTTAAACACTTATTAAGTCACTAAATATAATCAAATCATTCTAACCCACACCTCTCAACTGAACTCCAGATCTGTTAGCCAAAAGCTTACTGGATATCTGGATGTCTACTGATTACTATGGTACTTCTGTGCACAATATCTGGCACAAAGTAGGACTTAATAAATATTTGTTGACAAATACCCCATAGGCACTTCAAATTCAATCGATTCAAAACTAAACCGATCACTTGCCCTCTCATGAATCTATTGTTTTAGTTTGTCCTACTACCATCCATTCAGTCTTATGGCTCAGTCAGAAAGTTCATTGTGATAGCGTTCTCCCCTACTACTAGAGTACCATTTAGGATATCTCCCCCAGCCCAGAGTTCCTGAGAAACGTACCCCCACAACAAGGGGGTGAGCTCCAACACCCTTATGTGACCTACTTACACAACTGTAGCTGACTAGACCAGAGACAGGCAGATTAATCAGATCCTCCTTCCCAGGAGTCTATAATTAAAATTCAGAGATACTAATTGGCCCTGATGGTCACCTAGACCAAGGTCATGAAAGCTGGGTACTTTTTATTTATTTATTTATTTTTGAGACAGAGTCTCACTCTGTCGCCCAGGATGGAGCGCAGTGGCACAATCTTGGCTCACTGCAACCTCTGCCTCCTGGGTTCAAGCGATTCTTCTGCCTCAGTTTCCTGAGTAGCTGGGACTACAGGGGAGTGCCACCATGCCTGGCTAATGAAAACTGGGAACTCAGAAGCACACTACAATATGAGAAAATGATCTGCAGAGATAAGAAGAATGAAGCAGTTCTGGGAGACCAGGAAGACAGAGAGAGAGGAATAAAGTTGTTTTGGTCCTTGAGTATCTGCTCTTCATGAGGTCATACTGCATTTTCTGACCTTAGAATTTAATAAATATAACTAGCTTCTCACAACTTACTCTCCTTTTACTTAAGTCAGATTGAGAAGGTTTCTGTTGCTTAAAGCCAAGTGCCTATAGTTAAGATAACCCTGCCTAGTTGCCTGTATATACCATTCTTTTTCATATTCATAAAATTCTGTACTTAGTTCCCTCTGATAGGGTCAGTTTAATTCTATCTCCTGAGAACCTAACAAGTATGCAGATATCTAAATACTCTGTTGATATTAACCTCATTTCTGCAGCTGTGTGAATGATCAGTAAAGGAAGGCAAAACAGCGTCAAGATGAACGGGAGGCCATTATGAGTTAGTTTAGGAGAAAATGACAAAGTCTAAAGTATAATGGTGGATAGAGTGAAAAGAGCAATCAGAAAGAGGGTTAAGGAGCAGAAAGGCAGGAGTTGGCTGATCAACTAAAGATACAGAAGAAGAGGATTCTAAAATGATTCTTCGTTTCTGCCCTAAGCAACTGAATGGACGGCAGAGGCATTAACAAAGATGGCTGAAGCCATAGATTTGGAGAAGATGACCCTAACCAACTTCCTAACACAGTCTAAACACTAACCATCCTTTAAAAGTCCAGCATAATCATTCAATCCTTTATAACTCTTTCCTGAATCCCCTGGAGTAAATAAATGTGCACTGCTTCTTCCCCTGAATGCCCATACCACATTATCTGTACCTCTCCCATCAATATCCTATTCCTGTTGATCACTGTCACGTGTACACATGGCTTTGTTTGTAGCTCTGCCCAGAAAATAAGCTCCTTGGAAGCAGGATTTACAGCTGACTTATTTCTGGACTGCCTACATGCGAATACTGCGCTAAAAATTTGTTAACAAATTATTGTGGTCCTTCAAAATCTCTCCATATTAAAAAGATTCAAATAAGATGACATAAATAGCACTTCTAAAACAAAAAGGGTCTTAAGGGTCTTTACCAAATCAGACGAGACAGGTAAAATGAAAGATTTCAGGCAAATGTCGATCACTTACAGACATCTGTAGGTATTTCTGACCAACATTCACTCATCGGTTCAGTCGGCCAAGCAACGCTACAATGGCTTCACTATCAAAACTATATAAATGAAAAAACAAACAAAAATTCCAAGACCTGGATAAATAAGCTGGCAGAATCTCTTCTCCAGTCTTCTTGCTACAAAAAATCCTACACAGTGTCCCACAAGCCTCAGCTCTTCCTGCTTCATAGTTATCAGGAAATTCACTTGCATCAAACATAGGATTGGAAACCATGGTGTCTGTGGACATTTGTGACCCTTTCCGTCGAAACTCCATGCTAGCTTGTGTTGTAATGGCTGGGGAGAGAAAAGGAGGGTTTTATTATATTTGCAATATGCCAAGTAGGCTCATGGGACCCTGGACACAAAGATCAAATGTTGGTGTCATTAAATAGCTACTTGAATCCAATAAGTGCTTTTGTTTAGCAACTATGTCTTAATGTTTTTAAAAAGGGCTCTCTGAAATCTTCTTTGAAAATAGGTTACAATTAATTTACAGTGGCATTGTCAGTTTAACAGATTGTACAAGAAGCATTTTTCAACTGATTTTTGATCAGCAGAGTACATTTGTATATATCTGTATCCACATACAGATATATAATACAGAATTTGGCTTTTCTATTATTTCTTTTCTGTTTTTTCTTCCCCCTACACAATGATGCTTAAACGTTAAGAAAAATAGCTACTGCAATTTACACATTACCCTAGATGGACATCCTAATTAAATGGGCAACCCTATACCAGTCTGTATACTTTAGGGAGAGGGCAAAGTAAGGATGAGAAGTGGGCAGGGAGAAAAAGAGAGCATTCCCACAACCCACCCAACTCCAAAACACACACCAAAGAATCGCTCAACCAAGCAAAATGAGAATGAATTTTAACAACCACAGACAGCAGCTAACTTGAGGCTGATAAATCAGAAAATTGGATTGATAAAAAAGATTATCATGGTCATTCGTTATCACTGAAACAGAAGCCCTTTGAAAGTTGCTTTTATTTTTAACAAAAGATTTCACAGTGTATTGAAAATCACTCTGAAATCTTTTATTACTCTACATGAAATGCTTAAATTATTTTATAATAGATTTAATAGAATGCAGAGTCAAGCATAAATCTTTATGCAACTTCCCATGAGCCATTTTTAGTCCTGAATAAGCTATCCAGCAATAATACATTTGAAAAACACTACATGCAGAATGCATACAAATCAAACACTAAATCTGTATAAAAATAAGCTTAAAGCTTTCAAAAAAAAAAAAAAAAGCCAAAACACAGTTAGTGCAAAGTCCTGGAATTCATGACATGACCAGACTAGTATACAGAAATAATGGGACTGATTCAGGCAGATTAATTTGCTTTTGCCAACAATCTTCCCCATTCAAAACACAGAAAAGTATTTTTCTTCCCAAGTGCAAGAACTACAAAAGACAATGACAATCAAATTTTTAATGGAATTATGAAAAAAATAAAAACATGACTGCAATTAAGGAGAAGCTTCTGGTTCCTACTTACAAGATTTATAAGAAAGAAGAATTTGGATAAAAGATGCTGCAAGATAATAGAAATAAATGGAAACAAATCAAAGGACAGTAGTAATTATAAAATACTTTAAAGATGGTGAAATTTTACAATAAATTAAGAAGCTTTTTAGCTTTTTAAAAGTTAAATTAAAAGTTTTACGATACCACAAGCTAGTTCAAAAACACAGGAAATTGTGCATTCAGGTCCAAAATTATGATTTTTGTATCATGCAAAACAATGAACGAAGAAAATTACACAACTACAAAGAATTGAGGTTTTGAAGTGCCCATAACGTGCATTAAAATTTTAGTTCATTAACCCTTCCCAGCTCAATGTTACTTTTACAAAGCACAGTGTACTGTCATGTAAATCTAAAGCTAACCAGTTCAAAGAAGCAAACACTTTAAGTTAGAGGTGAACTGCATGGCAGAATTCCTTGATGGCAGCCAGTACTTAAAAACAGTTAATATACCCAAGCCTCCCACCAGACTTGAGACCTCAAGATTGGCACCTAGCATTCTAACCCCTTTAACTATTTGGATACCTCATATCTCCTGGGTAATGTAACAGCCTTTATCATCTCTGAACACAATGAGGAGAAAAGGAGCTTCTATCCTCTCCTCAGCAAGGAAAAATTTTAAAGTAAGATGTTGTTCATATATGATTTGAAATCTGGTTTTTATCTTCTGGTGCAAGAGGGTGAGCAAAGCTGTTACAAACTCCCTGGAGAGCAAAAAGATCTATAAGTTTCCTTTAAGCAAGCCCACCAACCAAGTAGCAGGTTGAGCCATTCTAGATTCATGGATTTCAGTGTCAACAGCTCTATACCCAAAAGTTACATTGTAAGAATTACATCTTAACAAAAATAAAAAAGAAAAACAGGACTGATTCATTCTAGAAAATGCAAATTAATAAATATAAACATGATACAGAAAACTCAAAATATAAGGTACACGAACATAAAGACAAGCATAACCCAAAAGTCGTCTTTTAAAAGTTTTCACTTATTGTAAGTAAGCACATTTACCTATCCCAGAAGCACTACTTTCAAACTGTGAATAAAATTATAATATGAAAATGGCAGAATATAAAGTGTCTGAATTTGAACAAAATAAAGCAAGCAAAGATATCCCTAAACTCAAACATGGCATTCTCAAATTATATTCCTAGAAATCTTTATATTCACAATTTTTCTAAATTAAAGATTTGTAATAACATTCTAAATAATTACATGTGTATAATGTTCACAGACATAGACCCTGGTTCTGAGATGATAATAATAATAGCTAAGAATTATAATAACAGCTAAGAAACCATTTCTAAGAGAAAGCAGAGACCCTTCTGGCCATTGTATTAGTTTTATCCTTGGAGTTAACAGTCTCCCTAGAGATACATCAACTAATGTAAGTAGACGTCTTTTTGTCTTATTTCCAACCCCAGCAGAAGAGTGCTTTCTTACCAAACAACCAATACACTCATTAATGCATATATCACAGTACCTTGCCCATAGTAATAGCAGCTCAATAAATGTCAGCCATTGTCATTTTTTAGCTAAGGCATATTATAAATATTCAAAACACTGCACTACCCCACCCATCCATCCTGCACCCTATGCCAAATATAATGGTTAAGATGACAAAAAAAAAAAAACACCAGCTCTTATTTAGACAGTTTCCTTTTTATAATAAAATCTAAATGAAGATATCAGGGTTGAGTTATTAATTCTCCACCAATCAATCTTATTAAGTTAAAGAGCAAGTAGTATTTTTGAAAGTGTGCCCTTGAAATAAAGTTCTCTAGACTACAAATCTGAGAGGTTACAGTATAGTGTGAAGCAAAAATTTTCTGATGTTTACATGTACTAATGAGTGAATGGCTGTCAAAATTGAAGAAAACACTTCCTGTAATGTAAATTTCCAGTTCGAATTTTTAATTCTTTATATAAATTGTATTATCCTGGCTGACATGAAGGGAACTTCCAGGTCACCTACTGAAAGAAATCTGATTCAACAAAATGTGGCTAACCTTAAGTATGTCTAAGAAAACCAGACAAAAGGCCAAACCTCATAGAACATACATAAAAAGAACAGGGAGGAAATCTTCTAAAGTTCTGTTACTTCAGCTGGAAGGGGTTAAGCACAAGACATTGCTTGATCAGAAACAGAGAGCTTTTTAAGATACATATTAATCTTGCAGGTAGGAAAGACTAAAAAGAAAAAGAAAAAGGAAAAGGAAAAAAGTGGTAACATATTTCTTGAGTAATATTTACCAGTCATGCTGCTGTCTCTGTTTATCCCATTATGAAGTTTACAGTGAACAAATGCTGCATCAAATAACCACGATCCAAAGAGATTCAAGATGCTGTTAACCTTTGGTCTCCGAGGGGCAGGCAGTGGCCGGGGTTCTGAACTAGTCTGATTTGGACTTGACAGAGGAGAGGTGGAAGACGTCTGGTGCTGAACTTTAGAGGCATGAGCAGTAGTAACCTATTAGACGAACACAGGAACACACCCATACCAATGAAAAGTTTGAGAAAACAGTAAGACTTTATAAGCCAACCTTATATAGCTTAACAATGGTGATATAAACTCTTACTGTGCTTGTCTTCATGGTGGCCTTATTCACAGTAACAGCCCGGTGCCTCCGGTTATGTGGTGGGGTGGTATTGACAGCAGCACTTTGAGGCATACTTAATCTATTCACGGGTGTTGGGGGAGCACTGTCTGATCGGGGTCTAGAAATACCTTAAAAAAAAAAAAAAGGCAAATGAAATTATTCTTCATAGGTCAAAATATGTGATCAGAAAATTTTTCCCAGCAACCTAGTGAAGGCTTGGGACACATAGACTATAGCAGAGATTGCTAGTTGCCTCTCAGTATCTATTCACTGTTTCTTCCTGAGTAACAGAACACAAACTTTAGCTGGACATGGCTACCCAGAAAAAAAATGACACAATTTTCAAGCTCCCTTTGCACCTAGATGTGGCCATATTTTGACCATAAAGAAGTTGGTGACTGTTGGGTAGGTCTTCTAAGAGATCTTCTTAAAGGACCAATTATATGCAGACTCTCCTTCCTAATTCCTGGACAGGATGTTTGGAACTCACTCAACCATCACGGCCCATGAGGCACTGTGCAAAGAACGGAGAGGGCCTTGGATCCCTGCTGGTGATGGAACCATTATACTGGCCCTGTACAGCCTAGCCCTAGATTTAACATATGTGAAAATAAGCTATCTTGTTTGTATTAGGATTTTTGGGTTTTTTTTGTTTTTTTTTTTGGAGACAGAGTCTTGCTCTGTCGCCCAGGCTGGGGTGCAGTGGCCGGATCTCAGCTCACTGCAAGCTCCGCCTCCCGGGTTTAGACCATTCTCCTGCCTCAGCCTCCCGAGTAGCTGGGACTACAGGCGCCCGCCACCTCGCCCGGCTAGTTTTTTGTATTTTTTAGTAGAGACAGGGTTTCACCGTGTTAGCCAGGATGGTCTCGATCTCCTGACCTCGTGATCCGCCCGTCTCGGCCTCCCAAAGTGCTGGGATTACAGGCTTGAGCCACCGCGCCCAGCCGGATTTTTGGTTGTTAAGTGGCAGCCAAACTTAATCGGAGCTAACATATTAACTGTACGTTAATAAGCACACATAAATATTTTAGAAAATGACAGATATTATAAATCACTGCCTTTCAACAGGTTAAAAATTTGACTTTTCATATATCTAAAATAAATGTGAAAAACAGCTTAAAAGAATGGCTCACTAAAGGTATAATTTTGCTTTTTAGAGATATATACGAGAATGGTCCCAAATGCATTTTCATCTGCATTTTCTTGGATAGCTAGTATGCACGAACACTCTTTTCTTTTGCAATCATTTACTCTTATCCTTTGTCCATTTATCTACTAGCCTAATTCTTGTTCTTAGCACCTTGTTTGATGTATCAGGTGGGTGCAAAAGTAATTGCAGTTTTGGCTACATTAAATGGCAAAAACTGCAATTACTTTTGCACCAACCTAAATATTTACATAAAAACGATAACCCTCTGGCTATTTTATTTGTTGCAAATAATTTTTCTTCGCTTGTTATTTGTCATCAAATCTGTTCATCTTTTCCTTTGGATGTTTTCTAATAACTCGTAGGGTTAGCCTCTAGAGTTATCTAAATGAAGCTCTTCATACATCTAGCAACATACACAAAATTCACCTAAGAATGCATCCACCAGACAGCTGATTCCACGCATGGCACGAAAAAATATTTGAGGCAGATGTTTAAGGCAGGGATACTGATTCAATTCTTGCGGCATTCCGCTCACATTCAAGAACTGTTCCTGAAATTTGGGAGTAGAGCTTATAATAGCTGGGTTACTCAAATCCACAGGATTACTATTAAAAGAGAGAAAAGAATTAATCACAAATTTAGAAATTTCTATAGCAATAAAATACATGTAATCTAATTTAAGAACAGGACTGTTTGTGCCTATTTCTTTGATTCAGAGAAGAGACTGATTTGTATTTAATGGGTTAGTGATTCAAATATCATCACTTCTTTACAGAAGATCTGCAGAGTGGTTACATGAACATTGCCTATTCAGAGCATAAGAATCAAAGTAAGACTAGAAAAAGTTTTAATTTTTTAAGAGTATACATAGACACTTTTCCTAATATGTTTAGAATTAAGCAATAGAAGATGGACATGGTGGCACGTGCCTATGGTCCCAGCTACTCGGAAGGCTGAGGCAGATCACTTGAGCCCAGGATTTCAAGGCCGAGGCTGCAGTGAGCTATGATCATGCCAATGCACTCCAGCCTGAGCAACACAGCAACACGCCATCTCAGGGGAAAAGAAAGAAAGAAAGAAAGAAAGAAAAAAAAGAAAAGAAAGAAAAGAAAGAAAAGAAAGAAAGAAAGAAAGAAAGAAAGAAAGAAAGAAAGAAAGAAAGAAAGAAAGAAAGAAAGAAAGAAAGAAAGAAAGAAAAAAAAAATTAAGCAATGGAATGGTAAAGCTATGTCAACAAGAACTCCAAGGAGAAAATTTTACTTTAATATTAACATTTCCAATTTAAAAAAAAACCTATATTTGAAAATCAGGATTAGTGTTATAGTTTTATGCTGTGTTCATGTGTATGTACTAAAGCCATACATTTCAAAACAATGTATTTGTGTTTAATTACATTTTATGTACAGTTTGAAATATTTCCATTAAAAACAGATTACAATTTTTCACTCAAATGGTTTGCTTAGCATTCCATTAAGAAGCCTCTCCAATTCAAAGTAATACTGATAATCTAAAGCAGGTGAACAGAATTTCCACTACCTACAAGGCAAAAGAACTAGCTGAGAAATAGGAATCAGTGATCTATACATGCTCTGCCTTTGAAAACCTCTTTTTCCACCCACCAAAAGAATTTCAAGTAACTGTAATTGGGGAAAGGGGAATGTGTATGCATATAAGAAAAATGGGCTTCCAAGCATACTGTTTCCACAGAACTGTACTAGTCCATCAAGTAAGACAGAGGAGGGGAGATTCGTCTCTACCAGCAGTGCCTGCTGGGGGCTGTAGTTCAACTATTCAGAAATTAGAAGAACAAGGAGTAAAGCTGAAATGGAACTACACCTAAGTCCAGCAGAGCTTGGTTAAATTCGTGTCTACGATACATCAAAAACTGGAGAGAGAAAGGTTCATACCAGTTTCTCCAAAGGTAAACCAGGAATGATTTTATTGGCACCCAAATATTTAGAGAACAGATTCAAGAAAGTAAGTAAAACTTGAAATGAGAATAGGTAACAAAGGATACGAAAAACTAAAAGAAACTGCATTCCAGCAGTTCCAAATGCCCTGTGTACCTGATGCATTTGGGGAACCTGTTAAAAATCCAGATTTCACCTAAATGTACTGAAACAATCTCCAGATGGGGCCTAAAGGGCAGGTGGGCATACACAAGTCCAAAGACAAGCATTTGAGAACACTATGGGAAACAAAAATGAAAAATATTTTTTTGTTTTCCTGGAAAAAGATAAATCACTAACATACAACACAAAATATTGATGCCTATCTCCCCATCATATACAACCTTCATCCTAGGAAATGTGCCAACAATCACAAATAATCACAATCATAAATAATCCTCACGACCTGCCACTCACAGCTTAAGAAAGGAGGTAAAATTGTCCTAAAGGAGGTATCCAGATGTCTGCCATAGACCTAATTAATGAAGATAATTTGATCCAATTTTCCCTTTGGAGAAACTAAGCAAAGGGAAAGCCCCCATGAACTGAAAGGACAAGCACTGAAGTCAAGCAGTATCACAGCTATTTACACGACTGGGCAGTTATCAAGAGACTGCATGTCCCCCTCTCAAAGGCAGGAGGGAACAGGGACTCAGGAGGAAGCCTGCTGGAGAAAGCGAACAATGCGCATGCACAAGAGAATCAAAAGAGCAAAGAGAAGCAAATGACAGTGATTTGTCCCGAGGCTGCCTTGATTCCTCCCCAACATGAGAAAGGGTTGCTCGCTGCTTCATAGAGCCTGGTAAGACTGCTCTGTTTTCACATAATCTCTTTTTCTCACCTGCATTTGCTTAAGTAGGCTCCTATTTTTGCCACTGAAAATAACTCTAACTAAAATACCACAGTCAGCTCAAGAAGAATATCTAAGAACTACCTCTAAAAAAGACTCTAGAACTAGAGTTTTGCTGTTCATTTATTTCAAACTTTTAAGGAACATAAAACTTTGACACAACAGACCATAAAAAAGTATAGGAAGTTTTCCTATCCAATTCATCAAAAAAGATAGAACTACAGACAATTCAGAAAAACACTAAAAGCAAAGCATTCCATAACCAAGCAAAACTTTTCTTTCAGGAATGATAGATGGTTCAACACTGGGAAATTAATTAATATTTCACATCAACAGATGAAAGAAGAAAAACCACTTAATTGTTTAAATGGATCCAAAAATATTATTTGAAACAATTCAGTACTACTCCTGACTTTATTTATATTTTAATTTTATTTATTTATTTTTTGAGACAGTTTTGCTCTGTTGCCCAGGCTACAGTGCAGTATGTATGATCTTGGCTCACTGCAAATCTGCCTCCCAGGTTCAAGCAATTCTTGTTCCTCAGCCTCCTGAGTAGCTAGGATTACAGGTGCACCACTATACTTGACTAATTTGTTTTTTGCTGTTTTTTTTTTTTTTTGGAGATGGAGTCTCGCTCTGTCGCCCGGGCTGGAGTGCAACCTCTGCTTCCCAGTTCAAGTGATTCTCCTGCCTCAGCCTCCCAAGTAGCAGGGATTACAGGCATGCGCCACCACACCCAGCTAATTTTTGTATTTTTAGTAGAGATAGGGTTTCACCAAGTTGACCAGGCTGGTCTCAAACTCCTGACCTCAAGGGATCCGCCCACCTCGGCCTCCCAAAGTGCTGGGATTGCTGGCATGAGCAACCATGCCCAGCCCGTTTTTTGTATTTTTAGTAGAGATGGGTTTCACCATGTTGCCCAGGCTGGTCTCGAACTCCTAAGTTTGCCACCCGCATTGGCCTCCCAAAGGGCTATTATTTACAGGCGTGAGTCACCACGCCCAGCCTTTATTTTCAAAAATTTTTAATTGCCTCCCAGCACTTTGGGAGGCCGAGGTAGGCGGATCACGAGGTCAGGAGATTGAGACCATTCTGGCTAACACAGTGAAACCCCGTCTCTACTAAAAAATACAAAAAATTAGCTGAGCATGGTGGCGGGCGCCTGTAGTCCCAGCTACTCAGGAGGCTGAGGCAGGAGAATGGCGTGTATCCGGGAGGCGCAGCTTGCAGTGAGCAGAGATAGCACCACTGCACTCCAGCCTGGGCAACAAAGCGAGACTCTATCTCAAAAAAAAAAAATTAAAAAATAAATAAATAAAATTTTTGATTGTTTAGGAAAGCAGGAGCATAAAAAAGAACATCTAGCATCGACAACCAACATCCTACTCAAAATTCTATATATTAGAGGCATTCTGAAGAAAATCAGAACCAAAAAAGGTGCCAAAACAGTATCACTTTAATTCAACAGTGTTCTAGAAGTTCTGATGGATACAGTAAAATAATATGCAGAAATAACTGTAATAATAGCAACTTTCAAGGACCTACCATGCCCTAGGCATCATACCATTTTACATGCTTTTTCTTCTTCAATTCTTATAACGAGATGGTACAATCATTATTCCCATTATGTAGATTAAAAAGAAACTGAGGCACAGGGAGAATAAATTGTTCAAGTTCACAAAGAAAAAACTAGCAGAATTTGAACTCAAGTCCAAGTCTTACTGCATCCAAAGTATTTTTAATTAGTCACCAAAACAAGTATGAATTATCAGAAAAGAGACACTTCTTATTTGCAGGTATGTGTCCATATCTCAGAAGAATCAGTGAAATACTCAGAGCTCTTTTAAATGCCATATATAATATACAAAATAACATGAAGTAAAAAATGTTCTTTACAGCAGTAATAACCATCTAGAAGACAGAATAGCAGAAAAGAGTTAGCTTTTCACAGCATCAGCAACAAATACCTAGAAATAATGGTAAAGAAAATATTAAAAATATTTGTGAAGAAAACTGTAAAACATTTCAATAAGATATGCAAAATTCTGAAAAAGAAAAAGACATGCTTTTAGAAAGGCGGACTCAATATCAGATATCAGCGTTTCCTAAATATAAATGCAGGCTTAATACCAGTCTCATCTTTGGCAGAGTCTGGATAGCTGTTCACAACTTTCTTTTATTCTCTGTTCTCTTGCAATTAAGTGTGATGTGTGTCTGAGTTCTGGCTAATGGAATATGAGTAACAGTGATTTATATTACTTCAAGGCCTGACACATAAAACCCTCCCACAAAATTTTCCTTGCTCTCTGTTCCCCATCTGCTAGCCAGATACGAAACTCCTGCTTATAACACTGAGATCCTAATGGAGTCATCTGTTGAAGATGAAAGAGCCTCTGCCAGCTGGGTCCCTGAACGACTATGTGAACAGAGCCAGTCCTGATTCCAGACTTTATAAAAGATTTTCAGGTTCATTTGCTAAAGCAGAACATATTCCTTACCCTAATTAATACACAATCCAAACCCCAGAAGATTTCATTGAGGTTTTTCCTTCTGTTTGCTTATGTTTTGTAACTTGAAAAATTGGTCTAAAATTGATCTGAAATGTTAAACAGGCAAGAAGAGATAAATACTCTAAGAGAAGGAAAAAGAGAAAAAGACATTAGACCTACTAAATATCAATAATATTATAAAGTTAAAATAATTAAGAGTGTGACTCTGACATAAAAATAAATGAAGAAATTAATGAAGTAATATGTGAACTAAAGATGAATTCCAGGCTGGGCACGGTGGCTCGATGCCTGCAATCCTAGCACTCTGGAAGGCTGAAGCGGGTGGACTGCTTAAGTCTAGGAGTTTGAGACCAGCCTGGGCAATGTAGGAAGACCCTATCTCTGCAAATTACGTGCGTGCATGCGTGTGTGTGTGTGTGTGTGTGTGTGTATATATATATAAAGACAGATCCTGAGGTATATAAAAGAACTTACTATTACAAAGGAAACAACATTGGAAGAAATCATAGGTGACTATCTGATCAAAGAACACAAAAGAAATAGAAAATGATCACAGAAAGACATTTAAAAACTAAGATCAGTGACAGCTGAAAAACACAAACTAGAACTACAAAATGGGAAGAAATGATACAAAATGATTAACATACCTAACTTATAAAAAGGTCATAAAGAGTAATTCAGAATCACTGATACACAAATAGAAAAATTAGGCTAGTCAAACCAGAAAGAGAAGAGATGCAAGGAAAAACTTTAAGAATCAGTTTACAACAGAATAAATGTCCCACAGAGCACATAGATGTGGCTGGAAGAGGGACAAGTAAAAAGTAATGAAGCTGAACTGAAAAGAATTACTATATAAAAGACAGGGACAGCAGGATGTAGCAGTATACCCCTCTGCAAAATTTTAGGGTGTATCTCCCACTGAAACTTTAAACAGGTGCTTGGAGGAGGGCTCTGAGAGGCAGACTGACCAGTCAGTGCTGGACACAGAGAGGAGCAAAGCAACTTCCAGTCCCCAAAGAATGTGACAAAATCCCAAGAGAAAGATCATCAGCCAGGCTGCAGCAACAGGCAAGAGAACAAGTGCGGCATCTACCACAGGGAACACGTTCCTAGAGAGTGTAAACCAAGAGCGGCTGAGGACAGCCTAACCCTGCTGGGACAGGGAGAGCAGGAGGCACAGGATAGAAACGTGCTTGTTGTCCAACAGGGTTCCATTTGATGAATGGTGCTTAGCGTCCACATTCTGAATTCAAACAAGAGACTTACAGCATGGTTCCTGCCCTAAGACACTTTGATGAATGCTGCTTAGCGTCCACATTCTGAATTCAGACAACAGACTTACAGCATGGTTCCTGCCCTAAGACACTTACTGGGTAAATAGCACATGAAATAATAAAATAACAATACCTTAGCATGTGTAAAAAGCGAAACCATGTCTGTGCAACACACTCATTATCCATTTCTGGAGGGATCAGACTGGCATCTTCATCGGGAACTTTAAATGGAGGAAATGAAGGCCCATATGTAAAGCGTAGCAATCTAGAAAATAAATGCACACCACTGAGTCCATTTCTTAACAGATTGAAAAATACACTCAAGCACAGAAACATGAAAGAAAATAGATGAAACGTGTGTACCTCACATAAGTGAACAAGACATATGGAAACTCTCATTCATAAAACAGACAAACTGAAAGAGGATTTCTAGTTTTTTATGTTTGGGATGAGGAATATGCTAATTACTCTGATCAATCACTATACATTTTTAATACATACATCAAAACATCACTATGTAATCCAAAAATATGTACAACTATTGTGTTCATTTAAAAAAAAAATTTCACATTGAAAACAAACTGGAGACTTCCAAGATGATTTCTAATGGAAAGAAGCTGGGAAGAAGAGAGTATATGCTGGTATATATATTTTATATGTAATACACATGTGTTATTATTAGCGTCTTCTTTACAAGATACACGAGTTTTTGGGTAAAATAAACAAGTATACCAAAAAAAGAATGTTTTAAATTATTTAAGATACTTAAAGTATTTATAGATAATAAATTTAATAATTTAAGATACTAATTTATAGAAAATTATTTAAGATACTTAAATTATAAAATAATAATTATTAAAATACTGCTACTTCCTGCTGTCCTTGTCTTTTATATAGTAATTCTTTTCAGTTCAGCTTCATCACTTTTTACTTGTCCCTCTTCCAGCCCCATTCGTGTGCTCTGTGGGACATTTATTCTGTTGTAAACTGATTCTTAAAGTTTTTCCTTGCATCTCTTCTCTTTCTGGTTTGACTAGCCTAATTTTTCTATTTGTGTATCAGTGATTCTGAATTATTATTTATGACCTTTTTATAAGTTAGGTATGTTAATCATTTTGTATCATTTCTTCCCATTTTGTAGTTCTAGTTTGTGTTTTTCAGCTGTCAGTGATCTTAGTTTTTAACTGTCTTTCTGTGACATATATTTATATATATGTTTCACATGTATACATTACATATTACTTATAAATCATAGCTATTTATATACAATACTTGTATAATTATATAATCATACAATATTTAAATTTTTTAAAACATTCATCTCACTGCAAATTTCTGCAATATAACTAAGTTATAATAGTTTTACATGAAGTTTAGAATTTCTGATATACCATAAAAATAACTCAACCACTCAATTACTTAATAGTAATATTCTAAATGTATTAAAACTATTCAAAGCCCTTTAACTCAATTATTCTCTATCTAAAGATAATATAATCAGAATACATATAAAGACTATGTATAAAGCATTCATATCACCAATATTTTTTAAATAAAATCATGGGAACAACATAAATATCAAAACAGCAGGGGAAGATGGCAGGATTGCTTGAGGTCAGGAGTTTGAGTCTGCAAAGAGCCATGACTGCACCACTGCACTCCACCCTGGGGAACAGAGCAAGACCATATTTCAAAAAAAAAGAAAAGAAAAAAAAAAACGGCCGGGCGCGGTGGCTCAAGCCTGTAATCCCAGCACTTTGGGAGGCCGAGACGGGCGGATCACGAGGTCAGGAGATCGAGACCATCCTGGCTAACACAATGAAACCCCGTCTCTACTAAAAATACAAAAAAATTAGCCGGGCGAGGTGGCGGGCGCCTGTAGTCCCAGCTACTCGGGAGGCTGAGGCAGGAGAATGGCGTAAACCCGGGAGGCGGAGCTTGCAGTGAGCCGAGATAGCGCCACTGCACTCCAGCCTGGGCGACAGAGCGAGACTCCATCTCAAAAAAAAAAAAAAAAAAAAAAAAAAAAAAAACCACGCTGGCACAGTGGCTCATGCCTGCAATCCCAGCACTCTGGGAGGCCAAGTCTAGTGGATCACTTGAGTCCAGGGGCTTGAGGCCTGCTTGACCAATATGCAAAACCTCATCTTTACAAAAATTATCTGGGCATGGTGGCATGCACCTGTAGCTCCCAGCTGCCCCGGGAGGCTGAGGTAAGAGGATAGCTTGAGCCTGGGGAGGTTGAGGCTGCTATGAGTCCTGATCACACCACTGCACTCCAGCCTGGGCAACAGAGCAAGACCTTGCCTCAAAAAAACAAAAATAACAACAACAATAACAAGGCAATTATTAAATGAATTATATTCCAATTACATAATGGAAAACTACAAAACCATTAAAAATATGATCTCAACAGCTATTTAATGAGAAAAAGTATGTGTAACTAAAAGTGACAAGAATCAGACATCAAATGAAACAAGCAGACAATATTATATAGAATAATTTCAAACTGGTATTTTTAAAAAGGGAACTAAATGGAAAAAATACATTAAAACGTTAACATGGGTTGGCTCTAAATGATAGGTATTTGTCCCTACATTTTCCAAATTTTCTATTATAAGCATGTAATGTTATCACAATTAAGATAAAAGCATTACTTAAAAACAGATTCATAATTTTTTTAAAGCAATTGTCCTGCCTCAGCCTCCCAAAGTGCTGGGATTACAGATGTGAGCCACCACTCATGGCTATATTCATAATATTGATGTTGTCTGTGATATATGAGAATCAACAAAATATTCCAAAGTTTCATTTTTTAGTTTAAATAATAATAAAGATCTAAACATTTTATTAACTCAGAAAAAGAGAAGTCTACCTTCTGATACATAATACTACCTACAAAGTTTTTGTTCCTGTCACCCCTTCTCTTTGCCCCCAGTCAAACTGGAATGAGATCAAGACTCTAGATCTAACTACCAGTTTACAGGAAATACAGTGGGGCAGAGGAATATGTTAAATTAACAATGTGGACGTAATTGGAAAAATCCAGAATGTGAAACACTCTGTAAGACAACCCAGTTTCTTCAACAAAAAAATTGCAAAGAAAAATAAAGCAGAAACCTAGGCCTGGTGTGGTGGCTCAGGCCTGTAATACCAGCACTTTGGGAGGCCAAGGCAAGAGGACTACTTGAGCCCAGGAGTTCAAGGCCAGCCTGGACAACATGGAGGATCCCCATTGTGATCAGAAATATAAAAATTAGCCAAGCATGGTGGTGCACGCCTGCAGTCCCAGCTACTCAGGTGGCTGAAGCAGGAGGATCACTTGAGCCTAGGAGATTAAGGCTGCAGTAAGCTGTGATTGCACCATTGCATTCCAGCCTGGGTGACAGAGTAAGAAACTGTCAAAAAAAGAGAAAGAAAGACAGCAGAAACCTATACAGTTGTCCTTCAGTATTATGGGGGATTGATGCAGGACACCCCTCAGATGCCAAAATCCATGGATGCTCAAGTCCCCTTACATAAAATAATTTAGTATTTGCATATAACCTACACACATCTTCTTATATACTTTAAATCATCTCAAGATTACTTATAATACCTAATACAATGCATACACATCCCTTCATTCGCACAGATTCAATGCAGTACTCAGTAGAAGGCAAATTCAATTTTTACTCTTTGGAATTTTGTGAAATTTTTTGCCAAATATTTTTGATTTCTGAATGGCTGTGTCCATGGATACAGAACCCACAGAGGACCAACTGCACCTGAAAATTTGAACACCGATTGGCTAACTGATATTAAAGAATTGTCAACTTTTTTAGGTGTGATAAAGGTATTATATTTTTTAAAGAACCCTTATCTATATCTAGAGTTATACCGGTATACCTTGGAGATCTTGCAGGTTGTTTCACACTACCCTAATAAAACAAATATTGCAAAAAGCAAGTCATGCACGTTTTTTTGGTTTCTCAATGCATATAAAAGCTATGTTTGGACTATACTGCAGTCGATTAAGTATGCAATAGGATTATATCTTTATAAATCAATGTACATCCTTAATTTAAAAATATTAATATTTTACTGCTGAAAGATGCTAATAATCATCTGTGCCTTCAGCAAGTCATAATTTTTTCCCTTTTTAAAACTTTCCAACTTTTATTTTAGATTCAGGAGGTACATGTGCAGATTATCTGGGTATACTGCATGATGCTGAGGCTTGGGGTACAAATAATCCCATCATCTGGGCTTTTCAACACTGCTCCTCTTCCCCCATCAGTAGTCCTCAGTTTCTAATGTTGTCATCTTTATGTCCATGAGTTTTACGTCCAATGTTTAGCTCCCACTTATAAGTGAGAACATGTGATACTTGGTTTTCTGTTCCTGTGTTAATTCACTTAGGATAATGGCTTCAAGCTGCATCCATGTTGCTGCAAAGGACATAATTAATTCTTTTTCATGGCTGCACAGTATGCCATGGTGCATATGTGCCACATTTTCTTTACCCAGTCTACCACCGACGGGCATCTACGTTGATTCCATGTCCTTGCTATTGTGAATCGTGCTGCAATATATAAGACTGCATGTGTCTTTTTGGTATAATCATTTGTTTTCTTTTGGATATATACCCAGCAACGGGGTGGCTGGGTTGAGTGGTAGTCGTATTTTAAGTTCTTTGAGAAATCTTCCAATTGCTTTCCACAGTAGCTGGAACTAATTTACATTCCCACCAGCAAAGTTTATAACCATTCCCTTTTCTCTGCAGTCTTGCCAGCATCTACTGTTTTTCTGACATTTTAATAATACCCATTCTGCCTAGTGTGAGATAGTATCTCACTGTGATTTTGATTTGCATTTGTTTGATGATTAGTAATATGGAGCATTTTTTCATATGTTTGTTGGCCACTTGTATGTCTTCTTTTGATAAGTGTCTGTTCATGTCTTTTGCCTGTTTTTTGATGGGGTTGTTTTTTGCTTGTTCAATTGTTTTAAGTTCCTTGTAGATTCTGGATATTGGATCTCTGTCAGATGTATAATTTGTGAATATTTTCTCTCATTCTGTAGGTTTTCCGTTTACTCTGTTGATAGTTTCTTTTACGTGCAGAAACTCTTTTGTTTAATTAGGTACCACTTGTCAACTGTTTTTGTTGCAATTACTTTTGAGGACTGAGTCATAAATTCCTTCCCAAGGCAAATGTCCAGAATAGTGTTTCCTAGGTTTTCTTCTCGTATTCTTATAGTTTGAGGCATTACATTTAAATCTTTAATCCATCTTGAGTTAATTTTTATATATGGTGAAAGGCAGGAGTCCAGTTTCATTCTTCTGCATATGGTTAGCCAGCTAACCCTGCACTATTTTTATTGAACAGAGAGTCCTTTTCCCATTGCTTGTTTTTATTGACTCTGTCAAAGATCAGATGGCTGTAGTTATGAAGCTTTACTTCTGGGTTCTCTATTCTGTTCCATTAGTTTATGTATCTGTTTTTGTACTAGTACCATGCTGTTTTGGGGATTGTAGCCCTGTAGTATAGTTTGAAGTTGGGTAATGTGATGCCTCTAGCTTTATTCTTTTTGCTTTAGGATTGCTTTGGCTATTAAAGCTCTTTTTTGGTTCCAATATGAATTTTAGAATAGGTTTTTTCCTAGTTATGTGAAAAAATGGCACTGGTAGTTTGATAGGAATAGTGTTGAATCTATAGATTGCTATGGGCAGTATGGTCATTTTAATGATATTGATTCTTCTAAACCATGAACATGGAATGTTTTTCCATTTGTTTGTGTCATCTAGAGTCATCTTTTCACTGGTAGAGGGTATGGCTGCAGACTGATCAGGATGTTGATTGTTGATGGCTGGGGTGGCTGTGGCAGTTTAAAAAACTAAAACAATGAAGTGTGCCACATGGACTGACTCTTCTTTTCACAAGAAAATTTATCTGTGGCATGCAATGCCATTTCATAGCATTTTACCCACAGTAAAACTTATTTCAAAATCGGAGTGAATCCTCTCAAACTCTGCCATTACTTTACCAATTAAGCTTATATAATACTCTATATACTTTGCTGTCATTTCAACAATGTTCATGGCATCTATACCAGGAGTAGATTCCACCTCAGGAAACTACTTTCTTTGTTCATCCATAAGACATCTCATCATTAGTTTTATCATGACATTGCAGCAATTAGTCATCTCTTTGGGCTATACTTCTAATTGTAGTTCTCTTGCTACTTCTCCACCTCATCTGCAGTGACTTCTTCCACTAAAGCTTTGAACCCCTCATAATCATTCATTAGGGTTGGAATCAACTTCTTCCAAAGTCCTTTTAATGCTGATATGGCAGCTATAGCCTTACAAAACGTACAGTTGACCCTTGAACAACAAAGGAACTAGAGGTACTGGCCCCTCATACAGTTGAAAACTCTATGTATAATGTTTGAGTCCCCAAAAAATTAACACTAATCTAATCAGAAGCCTTACCAATAGCAAACAATTAACACATATTTTGTATGTGTATTATATATGGTATTCTTACAATAAAGAAAGCTAAATAAAATGTTACAAAGAAAATCATAAGGAAAATCAGATGCAGTGGCACACTCATAGTCCCAGCTACTTGGAAGGCTTGAGGCAGAAGATACTGTGTCGGTACAAAAGTAATTAAAATATGGCAAAAGCTGCAATTACTTTTGAACCAACCTAAATAGCTTGAGCCCAGGACCTTAAGAGTGTAGTGCACTATGATCACACCTATGAACAGCCATTACACTCTAGCCTGGGCAACCCAGCAAGACCCCGTCTTTAAAAAATTATTAAAAAGGGCCATGCACAGTGGCTCATGCCTGTAATCCCAGCACTTTGGAAGGCAGAGGCGGGAAGGCTCACATGAGGCCTGGAGTTAGAGACCAGCCTGGCCAACATGGAGAAATCCTGACTCTACTAAAAATACCAAAAAATTAGCTGGGCATGGTGGCTCACGCCTGTAATCCCAGCTACTCAGGAGGCTGAGGCACGAGAATCACTTGAGCCTGGGAGGCAGAGGCTGCAGTGAGGCGGAGGTTGCAGTGAGCTGAGATCATACCACTGCACTGCAGACTAGGTGACAAAGTGAGACTCTGTTTCAAAAAAAAAAAAAGTCGTATAAAAGAGAAAATACATTTACAACACTGTACTGTGTTTACTGACACCATAAGTTTACGTCATCTTTTCACAAAATCAATTGTCTGCCTGAAATGGCAGGTGACCACAGCTGCAGACCTCAAACGACAGAACACATCAAGCAATTCAACTTTTTTTTGTAATGTCATGAGTTTTCTCTGCTTCTTGGGAGCACTTCCAGCACCACTAATGGCACTTCGTATGGGTCCCATGGTATTATTTATTCCAGGTTTACAGTATTGTATTAAATATGATGAAAAATGAAAACTGAGACATCACTTTTTACTGAGATACACTATTTACTGGAGAGATTAACTGCTCAAGCAGAGATGATTAGTGTCACATGGGGTTTTAGGTGAATATTCACAACACTTGAGCTCATTGCAATAGCAACAGGAAGTGGCTACAAAATTATTACAGTAGTATAGTATGTACCACAGTTAATTTTATGCAATTACGATTTATACTGTAGCTTTTATGTTTACATTTCTTTACCTGTTGTTTACATCACTGCAAATGGTATCATGTATAGTCTATAAGCATTTGTATGCATAAGTTTTAATAAATTTTAATTTAGTATAACACATTTGTGTATATTTTATGGTAGTAAACAATATAAGACTAGCATGTACATATATTTAATGCACATGACATACCTTTATTTTCTTTTTTCAATATATCTAGGCTACATGGTGCACATTTTTTCAAACTGTCTCAAATCTCAAAAAAAAGTTTCCACTACATATAAGTGGACCCACACAGTTCAAAAACATGTTGCTCAAGGGTCAACTCTATTTCTTAAACAAGATTTGAAAGTCAGGCTGGGCGCAGTGGATCATGCCTGTAATCCAAGCACTTTGGGAGGCTGAGATGGGTGGACTGTTTTGAGGCCAGGAATTTGAGACCAACATGGTGAAACCCCATCTCTACTAAAAATACAATAACTAGCAGGGTGTGGTGGCATACCTCTGTAATCCCAGCTACTCGGGGGGCTAAGGCACAAGAATCACTTGAACCTTGGAGGCGGGTTCTACAGGCACAAGCCACCATACCTGGATTTTATTTTTATTTTTTATAGAGACGGGGTTTGTCAAGTTGCCCAGGGTGGTCTCAAACTCCTGAGCTCAAGTAATCTGCCCATGTCTTACCCCCAAAGTGCTGGGATTACAGGCATGAGCCATTTGCACACAGCCAGAATAAATGTAACATCATTCTTAGTATACGGGCTGCCAAGGCGAGCACAAATTTAACATCATTCTTAAGGGCCCTAGGATTTTCCAAATGGTGAATGAGCACTGGCTTCAGCTTGCCAGGCACTGACTTCTCTCTAGCTATAGAAGTCCTAGATGGTGTCTTCTTCCAATACAAGACTGTTCAATGCACGCACACTGAAAATCTGTTGTTTGGTGACGCCACCTTCATCTATGATCTTAGCTAGATCATCGGGATCAATTGCTGCAGCTTCTCCATCACACTCGCTGCTTCAGCTTGCACTTTCATGTTATAGACATGGTTTCTTTCCTTAAACCTCATGAACCAACCTCAGCCTGTTCCTAAGCTTTCTTCTGCAGCTTCCTCACCTCTCACAGCCTTCACAGAACTGAAGACAGTCAGGCCTTGCTCTGAATTAGGCTTTGGGTTAAGAAAATGTTGTGACTGGTTTGATCTCCCATCTAGACCACTCAAACTTTCTCTATATCATAAATAAGCCTGTTTTGCTTTCTTATCATTCCTGTGTTCAGTGGTATAGCATGTTTAATTTCCTTCAAGAACTTTTCCTTTGCATTCACAACTTGGCTAAACATTTGGTGCAAGAGTCCTAGCTTTCAGCCTATTTTGGCTTTCAACACACCTTCCTAACTAAATCATTTCTAGCTTTTGATTTAAAGTGAGAGACATGCAACTATTCCTTTCACTCGAACACTTTGAGGCCATATTAGTTACTAATTGGCCTAATTTTAGTATTATTGTGTCTCAAGAGTGGGAAAGAGACGGGGAACAGCTGGTCAGTGGAGCTGTGAGAACACAAACAACATTGATAGATAAAGTTCACCATTTTATATAGGTGTAGTACGTGGCACTCTGTAACAACGACAATGGTAATATCAAAGATCACTGATCACAGGTCACCATAACAGATAATTGTAATTTAAAAGTCTGAAATACGCAAGAATTACCAACATACGACAGAGGCACAAAGTGAGCACATGCTGTTGGAAAAATGGCACCAAAAGACTTACTTGATGCAGGGTTGCCACAACCTTTCAATTTGAAAAAAAAAAAAAAAACAAAAAACACATGGTACCTGTGAAGCTCAACACAGTGAAGTACAATAAAACAAGGTATGCCTGCATATTAAAATAGGATTTAAATGAAAAAATAAGTGTGAAAAAAATGAACCTAAGAGTGTACTTACAAAACAGTGATGGTATTATACATAAATGGCAAAAAAGTAAAATTATTATTATAAAAAAACTACCTACTTTGGTTACAAAGTAGCATTTATAGTATGGTCCCATTTCTGTAAAATTATATATAAATATACATGGTAGGATTTCAGGAGAACTTTTCTATTATACCTTTCTATGGTTTGTTTCTTTAAAATAATGATTATGCATATTTTAGTAATCAAAATAAGAGTGGAATTTTTTTTTGTGGGGGAAGTAGGGTATAACATTTATCTGTTTCTCAAGAATACTTGATTATTCTGAAAGGTTTTAAATGGGCACTAGCCAAACTGTTATATCTATGTTTAAAAAGTGGCTCAATTCTGTATCTAAAGTACAGTAACAAAAGACCCAGCCTTTGTTACAATGTATTCCATGAATGCCAGAAAGCTGCCTAAGGTCAGACAGGGATTGAAGGAAGGTAGGGCAGTGACAATAACCTACCTGGAAGTGAGCGCACAAATGACCTTGCTCCACTGCTCCACCACTGCTGGGTGATGCCTCCAGTTAGCCACCATCTCCTTGGCTGTTTTCCAATAAGGAGGTGTTGGGAAGCACCGAGTACAAGCTAGTAACCACACCTCAAAGAGAACACCAATCAACTTCTCTGCTAGATTCTCAGCAATGCCACCTTACCAATGAAAAGAAAACACATCTTTGGCAAACTTATTTTTAAAGCAGAATCTTTTAAGTCACTGATGTGGGAGAACTGGTCAAAAAATTAAAGTAAGTGCAATGTTAAGTTTTGACTTTCAAATAATCATTTAATAGTAAAAATGAAAAGTAATGCTTAGGAGTTCCTGTGCCCAAAATCATAGATACATCAAAAAATTTCTACTTTGAAAGATTTCAAGTTGTCCTGTTCAATTCTTATTGAAGGCCTTAATCTTTTAGCAAGGGGGACAGGCGGACACAAGGGTGAAGGTAAAGGATGACTGACTATGATGACTGACTACTATGAGTCAGTTTCTATGCCAAATAGTTCATACAAATGACCTCATATAATCCTCACATTAATTCTGCAGGACAGGTATCTGTAATACCCAATACCAACTACTAATTATACCCATTTTGAAGATGAGAAAACTTAGATTCGGAGAGTTTAAGCAACTTCTTCAACTTCATGCAGCCAGTAAGTGAAGGAATCACAACAAAAACCCATGTCTTTTTACCTCCAAACTTTGCCATACAATGCTCCAAGTATCTGAAAGCCACCCTTCAAGGTGGGGGGAGAGAGAGAGACACAAATAATGGAGCAAAAGGACTGGTGTTGGGAAGGACAGAGCCTTAACCATGAAAATGGGCTGTTCCCCTGTTCTAAGTCCTGGAACCAGGTAGAAAAATAGCAGTGGTCTTTACACTGCACAGCTCCAGAAGGCAAAGTTGGGACTCACAGGAAAAGTTATAAGAATGTGTGTTTCAAATGAGCAAAACCAAAGTTTCAACAACAAAGAGCCCAAGAAGGGGATGAATTGTCTGCCTCATGCTGTTGAGATCCCTGGCATGAGGAGTAAGCAATAGAGAGCTGATGAATCAATGACTGGCCAGCTATTGTCAATACCAGACAGAGTATTCCTATCATCGCATCCCTTCCCACACTGAAATTCCATGCTTCCTTTTAGCTATTTCCCTGAACACTGCATCTGTGTGAGAACACAAGCACAGTCACGTGTGTTAGTAAACAGAGTATACCGATGAATAAGCAACAAGAGAACTTGGAACTAGATGATCAACTTATAGTTTATATACATTGTGCTATATACAAAGCAGGGATTCTGAAATACACTGTAAAGTCATAAAACTGGAGGCATTTTAATGGCTAGCTAATGAATGGCAAACTGGCACACTTCCAAATAGAACAGTTAGAAGACTTTGGAAGTTTCATTTGCTGAGTAAAATATCTTCTGTCACTATCAAGTTTTCAGACTCTACTTTGATAACTACTTTGTAATACATTATCTATAGGCTCTAATTTAATTGGTTAGTTGTTTCTTTTTTTTCTTTTTCTTTTTTTTTTTTTAGACGGTGTCTTACTCGTCGCCCAGGCTGGAGTGCAGTGACACGATCTTGGCTCACTACAACCTCCGCTTCCCAGGTTCAAGCAATTCTCCTGCCTCCGCCTCCTGAATAACTGGGATTACAGGCGCCCACCACCACACCTGGCTAATTTTTGTACTTTTAGAAGGGATGGGGTTTCACCATGTTGGCCAGGCTGGTCTCGAACTCATGACCTCAGGTGATCCGCCTGCCTCGGCCTCTCAAAGTTCTGGGATTACAGGTGTGAGTCACCACGCCTGGCCAGTTGTTTCTTATATAGGCTCTATCCTAACTTTTTTTTTTTTTTTTTTGAGACAGAGTTTTGCTCTGGTTGCCCAGGCTGGAGTACAACAGCATGATCTTGGCTCACTGCAACCTCTGCCTCCTGGGTTCAAGTGATTCTCCTGTCTCAGCCTCCCAAGTAGCTGGGATTACAGGCGTCCACCACCACGCCCGGCTACTTTTGGTATTTTTAGTAGAGATGAGGTTTCACTATGTTGGCCAGGCTGGTCTCAAACTCCTGACCTCAGGTGATCCACCCACCTTGGCCTCCCAAAGTGCTGGAATTATAGGCGTGAGCCACTGCGCCCGGCCTATCCTATTAAATGAGCTACTGTTCCCACCATTATCAAACATGCATAATTCACTGAGTCCCTCCCTGTATTAGCAAAATTATTACTGAAGGTAAAATAACTTCATTAGCGCTAAAGTTATATTGTGCCTGAGGGTTTCCATTCTAAGAACTGTTCATTTTCGTTTGTAAACCGTTATGCCAAAATTTAAATCCCCAATGAGTCTACCACTCACTGAGTTTAAAGATGAACTGTATTTGGAGCTCAGAAATAAATCAGAAAAATAAATAAATAAATAAACAAACCTTGAACAGTTGGTGGGGCCAGAAGTATGTCATTAATCTGCAGAAGAAACAACAGTAAGACTTCCCAGGTTTCTCGGGCCATGAGAGATGACTCACGGGCCAGTTTCTGAATGGCTCTCAGGACCTGTAAGCATAGTCGAATCTGACTGGAACCCTGTTCCTGTCTGAAGAAGAGAGACAGATATCACTGGCAAGCCTGAAGAAGAGACAGCAACAGCTTCAGGACAGGTGACTTATGGATGTGGCAAGCAGTGGTCCAGTGAAGCTCCCTAATATTATCAGCAGAGAGGGCTAGGCATACCATCTTCAGTTTAAAGCTACTTCTTACTCATCGTCAAGTTCAGCACTTTGGGTTCTAAACCTACCACTCCTATGAGAACTGGAAAGCTTCTGGGAGGAAGGCGGGAATACTAGAATATAAACTTCACTTCTGGATTTTCTATGTCTAACACATGCCTAACATATAATAGCAGGCACTCAATAGGTTTTTGTTGAATTAACAAGTAAATACCCACAGCCACCCTTGCTGCTTACATTTAAGCAGAACGACCTTGGTATTCTTGTTTAATTTTTAAAAACACATATTTGCAAGAATTCTACATGTGATTTTACAGTGCTCATAGTCCCTCTGAAGCTAAGGTATATTAGAGAAGGGCCTAAGGGCCAGAAGGAATAGCCTAATAGGTCCCCAAAATTGATGAGGTATGTAGGCATTGCTTCAGAAATAAATACCTGCTACTGCTGCTCTAATTTTAGAAAAAGACACATAGCCAGAGATAGAGGCTCCAAGGTTCCCAGGATACCCTGGAACAACAGTTTTAAAACTCACTGCAGGACTGTTTTTTCCAAGGGAAATCTCATAAAGAAGAATTATCTATATAACAGATCAAAGTATTTTGGCTAGGACTGAGGATGAAGATAGAGGTCCAGGCCCGAGCCCTTACCCTCACTTTCCAAAGTAGAACAGTGAGAATTTTGAGAATAGCAGGAAATCCACTGTATTAGCAAGTGGTAAGCTGGCCTCCAGATCTCCTATGGGAAACCCAAAAAAAGTATCTAATATTACTGAAATAAGTCTTGAGGCCAAGTTTCTACATATTGTCATTTGTCACAAAGAACTGATAGAAACATATCTGAATCAGATTGGGGAGTTTCCTCAAGAAATTCCAGAAAATGAAGTGAGTTTCCTTAGAACTGTCAACCCAACCTTAGAATAGAGATTCTCAGATTCTGGGCCATGATGCGGAAAACCGGTCACTTACCCTGGAGTTGAAAGCAAATGACACCACTAAGTTTTCCCTAAAGAAGTCAGACCTAAAGCAAAATGATGAGAAAATTGCCTAGGAAGAGCCAAGCACCCTCAGGAGTGGGGAGATGTTCCACATTCAGCTAAAGGTGGATCTAGTCCAGGTAAAGCCCTAAGGTTCAAGCTTGTGTCTACTGCTCTGGCTTACTTGAAGAAGAATAAAAAACTAGGGCCAGGCGTGGTGGCTCAAGCCTGTAATCCCAGCACTTTGGGAGGCCGAGACGGGCAGATCACGAGGTCAGGAGATCGAGACTATCCTGGCTAACATGGTGAAACCCCATCTCTACTAAAAAATACAAAAAACTAGCTGGGCAAGGTGGCAGGCGCCTGTAGTCCCAGCTACTGGGGAGGCTGAGGCAGGAGAATGGCGTAAACCCGGGAGGTGGAGCTTGCAGTGAGCTGAGATCTGGCCACTGCACTCCAGCCTGGGTGACAGAGCGAGACTCCATCTCAAAAAAAAAAAAAAAAAAACTATATCATAGCCCCAAACCTAATCAAGTAATGTAAGAGGAAGTCCAGAATAAGAAATAAAAATGCCACTAATGGCCCTGGAACTGACACTCTTCCAAGAGTGCATGCCTCCTACATGGTAATTTAGGCCTACCTACCATTTCCTGTCCAATGACAGGAAAGGAAATACCTGTTCCTCAGGTACTGAGGCTCCTCCTCACTCAGAAGGCCTAAATTCAGATGCAGGGTCCAAAGTTCTAAAGCTAACAAGGTAACCTTTACATAAAAACAAACAGAAGAGCTAAACACCAGAGATCTCCTTTTCAAAAATATCAAGTTACTTTTTAAAAAGTAACTTGTGATCTTCAGAAAAACTGCTTTAGAACAGTCAGTGGTGGTGAATGATGGCCAATGGGTCAAATCTGGCCTGCTATCTTTTATTGTAAATAGAGTTTACAAATCTGGCCTACTATCTATATTGTAAGTGAAGCTGTATTGGAACACAGTAATGATCATTCATTCACATACTGCCTATGGCTGCTTTCATGCCATACCAGCAGAACTGAGTAATTACAACACTATATGACCCACAAAACCTAAAATGCTATCTGGCTCTTTGTTAACCCTGCTTTAGAACAATAATATGTTTTTTTAAAGTACAGTATAGTATATGTGAGCAATTAAAACCTTAATCACCTTTAAAAGGTGATTTACTCTTCGCTCAATCATAAAAAAAAAAAATCAAACTGATGGGCAAAAGAGAACGGTTACATTCATTCTGACATAATCTCTAGCAAAATGGTACAGGCAGTTCCCTCTATTTTGAGTGTCAGTTTTTATAAAAACAACTAATTAAGTAAACTTAGATGACAGTTTTGTGAACTATCAGAATCAAATAAACAACTAAAACTTCAAATAATGGGAGATGAGATCGTAACACCAATACTTAGCATTGAAAATATTCAGCTAAGTTTCCTAAAACATTAGCCAGGAAGAGAACTCTAATTCTCAGTTGAGTAGCCTCTCAGAATTTACTAACACTTATGCATGCACACTTTTGAGAAAACAAGGTAATTACCAAATAGCAAAACCATTTATAAGGTAGTCATGTATCTCAAAAGAGAAAAAGCAAAGGCACAAGCCTAATTAACTCAAATGCCATTAATTTTTTTTCATCAATACAAATTAGCTGAGCACTGAGAGGTAGCAGGCTTACAAAGAGGAAAGAGACACAGTGACAATACTACTCATGAGACTATCGCAGGCATGAAGAAAAAGCCCAGTAGTCTCCTAAAAAGATAACAAGAAAGTATTAAAACTATTATATCATTTTAGAAGAACCTGCTTATAAACAATATTCTAAGTACTCCCAACTGTTTCCTGTTTTTTTTTGTTGTTGTTGTTGTTTGTTTGTTTTGTTTGAGACAGAGTCTCGCTCTGTTACCCAGGATGGAGTGCAGTGGTGCGATCTTGGCTCACTGCAACCTCCGCCTCCCAGATTCAAGCGGTTCTCCTGCCTCAGCCTCCCATGTAGCTGGGATTATAGGCACATGCCACCACGCCCGGCTACGTTTTGTATTTTTAGTAGAGACGGGGTTTTGCCATGTTGGCTAGGCTGGTCTCGAACTCCTGACCTCAGGTGATCCACCTGCCTCAGCCTCCAAACGTGCTGGGATTACAGGCATGAGCCACTGTGCCCAGCCTATTTCCTGTTTTTAATTCCATTTGAAATCAATAAATACAAGCAACACGCATTTAATTCACACCTAAGGTAAGTATTAAGTACTAAAATACCAGTACTGCACCAGATACTGTGGAAGCCTAAAATAGAGACAACACAGTTCCTGCCTTCAAGTTGGTTAGATGGGGAAAGGAGACACACATTTTAAAAGATAAGCAACAAAACAGCAAGAGATACAAGAGTGATACAGAAAGTATCACATAGGTTCAGAGAAGGTGTGAGCGCTGTGGGCCTGAGTGGTTAGGTAGGACTTCTCCTCACAAGGCGGAACTAAAGAACCGACAAGAATGAGATGTGGTGATGGAGAGAAGGAGGAGGAAGAAGACAAAAAGACATCATGATGGGAAAGATCTTTAAGAGGTCTTAGAGGAATGTCTGACTTATGAGTCTGACTAAACAGCAGCATTCATGCAGAATTAAGAACAGCTAGTTTGGTTAGGGGCCAGACTACACCAGGCATTTCATGCATGGTATGCTGTTTACACCTGAGCCAACAGACCAGAGTTCCGGAGAGTTCTCTTTTTTAATTCAGATTTTCCAAAGTAATCTTCCTTCTATATTTAGAAAGTTAAAAACTTACAGAGCTGGTTTTCAAAGTCCCTCACTGTATGACAGAGCAAAAGCTCTAACCAGAACTTTACCAAAGGGAGATTGCCCTACTGCTCCTTGAAGGTATCCTACATTATGATATTAAGGCCTTTGCCTAAGAAGATGGAAAAAAAGTTAGAAACAAACTATCAAGAGTAATCTTTTGGCTTACTATAAAGTTGCCCATAATTGTTTCAAGTGTCTTCATTCTCTCATAGGAAAGATGCCTCTTAAGGTAGATACATCTCCCTTAGTTGTGTTTAGCCTAAATGGAAACAAGAATTGTGACAGGCAAAAGTATATATTTTTTTGAGTAGAAGGGAAAGATGTTACAGTATTTTAATATCTAAGAGGTATGAGATTTTAGAAGCAAAGCCAAAAACTTGTAAAGAGCACATACCTGTTAAAAACGCCTAGTAAACATTACATAAGCCCATCTTTCCTAACATTCACATTAATACAATCTTTAATTGAACACACGAAGTCACTGTTCAGAGGACTAACAATGAAATCAGCTCCTATACTACAGTAACATTTATGAATATTTTACTATGCCCCTGATAATGGGCCAGATAGACAGGTACAGCTTACCTTGGTACAAAAAGATTCTGTAGGTGTTTTAGTATACTTTGAACATATTGATTAGGCTCTTTAATAACTGGCAATGGAATAGAATCTTTCGGCAACACTAAAGCCATAATCCAGTCTGTATATACATCAACGCAATATTTTACAGTCTCTCCATCCAATGGAAGGGTCAGTCCATAGCAAATTACTTCCATGGTCCATTTTACCTAGACAAAAGAAAATATCCATACAGAATTATTATACATGCCTATCTCAGTAGACTGATTTAAAATGTCAATCTCTTTTACTGCCAAAAGCCTCTAAATTGATATTCATCTCAATGTAAGTATCAGATTTATTTTAGATAATGCATTTTTCACATATCAAACATACAATTTCCCAAGCAAAAGATTTAAGAAGAAAATAAATTACTTATTTTTGACTATCAATCCTAGGCTGGTTTTTGCCCTTTAGATATTATTATTATTTGCTCTGTGAATTAAAAAGTAAATACAGGTCACTTCAATTTTCCAGAGATTAGAGACACAAAAATAGAACATTTTAGAGTTTTTTCTCCACTTAATTTATGTGTAGCATTTAGAAAATCATATAAAGTCAGTCACATTCCATCTCCAGATTATGCAAATGAACAAACAAGAAGAAAGATGAACTGTTTGACTCTTATTTTACAACTGTTTCCTCTGCCCAAAAAAAAAAAAATACTTAAAATGAAGAACAAACACAGCTGAGAAAGGACTAAAGCTGGGTAAGATCTTAGCAAGGCATTTAGCCGCACTGAATGAGTCCCTGCCTCCTGACCTAGCTGAAACACATCCTAAGGACTGAGAGAACTTGCCTAAGAGACTGCTGAACCACTAGGCTGCCTGCAGTCGTAACTGTAGAGATTAAATAATCTGGCCCAAGTCACTGGTTTATAAAAGGTAGAGCTGAAAACTTGAATCCTGGTCTTCCAACTAGAAGGTACCACTGGGCAACTTTTTCCAAAATGACTTTGGCACATTAGTCTACTATTATTCTGTCATGTGGTATCTGGACCAGTTATAAATCCAGCCATTCTACCATCATCTGAGCTATATGTCACCATCTATGAGAAACCCCAATTTGCAAAAAAAAAAAAAAAGGAGGAAACTGTATTCCAGACATTGCAAACTGGAAAGTTTAAATGAATTCCAGACAAAACTTTGAGACAAATTACTAAGCAATCAGTGAACACTTACAAAAGAGAAGCATGATTACCAAGACCCAGCCTGCTCAAAAAAATCAAGTCATGCCAAATGAGCTTCATTCCTTTATTAACAGGGTTACTATTTAGAGGGCTGACAATGGTGTAGTCCTTGCAGTTTACAAAGCACTTTCATAAATATCATCTAGCCATCACAATAACCCTGTGTAGACAGGGTAAACTATCCTTACTTTATACATAAGAAAACAGAAGCTTAGCAAGATTATGCAATTTGGCACAAGTCACTGGTTTATAAAAGGTGGAGCTGAAAACTTGAACCCTGGTCTTCCAACTAGAAATTTGAAGCTATTCTCACCATGCCATTAACAGAGTTCTCCAGCAAATGGGTATCTGGGTGTTAGCAAGAAATCTGGGCAGACCCAGGATCTCCTTGTGGACAAGATGGAGACATATGGCCCAGAGGATGGTAGAATGGCTAGATTTACAACTGGTCAAGATACCACATTACAGAGTAACAACAGATTAATGTGCCAAGATCATTTTGGTAAAAGGTGCTCAGTGGCATGCCAAAGGCTCTGCCAAGATTTTAACTTAGGGGGAAAAAAAAGAAAAACAGTGCATGCTGATCATCTGTAGATATCACAAAGCTAAAAAGGATGGCCAACTTGCTGGACAGAAATTCAGGATTCAAAAAGACTTCAACGGCTTAAAACCAAAGTTAAATCTAACAAGATAAATATATATATTACATTTTTTAAGCTCAAAAGCAACTACAAAGGTTAAGGGTAGGAAATATATGGTTTAACTGCAATAAGTGTTAAAGAAGCCTATAACAGCACAGTGAAGCTGTGACAAATTTGGAGCAGGGTGTAGCAAGATTTAGCCACATAATAGAAGAGATTCTAAAAGACATTGCAGGTCCCTGATTATCAGATGAAAAACCAAGAAGATATCTTTGGTGGCATCTTCACACAATCGTTTAATTTTATAATTCTAGGCCGGACATAGTGGCTCACACCTGTAATCCCAGCACTTTGGGAGGCCGAGGCGGGTGGATCACCTGAGGTCAGGAGTTCAACACCAGCCTGGCCAACATGTCAAAACCCTGTCCCTACCAAAAATACAAAAATTGGCCAGGTGCAGTGGCTCACACCTGTAATCTCAGCACTTTGGGAGGCCAAGGTGGGCGGATCACCTGAGGTTGGGAGTTCAAGACCAGTCTGGTCAACACAGAGAAACCCCCATCTCTACTAAAAAAAAAAATACAAAATTAGCCGGGCATGGTGGCGCATGCCTGCAATCCCAACTACTCGGGTGGCTGAGGCAGGAGAACTGCTTGAACCTGGGAGGCAGAGGTTGCGGTAAGCCAAGATCACGCCTTTGCACTCCAGCCTGGGCAACAAGAGTGAGACTCTGTCTCAAAAAATAAATAAATAGGCCGGGCTCGGTGGCTCACGCCTGTAATCCCAGCACTTTGGGAGGCTGAGGTGGGCAGATAACAAGGTCAGGAGATCAAAACCATCCTGGTAACACGGTGAAACCCTGTCTCTACTAAAAATACAAAAAATTGCCAGGCATGGTAGCAGGGCGCCTGTAGTCTCAGCTACTTGGGAGACTGAGGCAGGAGAATGGTGTGAACCCGGGAGGTGGAGCTTGCAGTGAGCCGAGGTCATGCCACTGCACTCCCGCCTGGGTGACAGAGCAAGACTCTGTGTCAAAAAAACAAAACAAAAAAAGGTGTAATTCTAGAGGACACAGGAATTCTCATCTCTTTTCAAGGGTGAGAAAGGAGAAAAATAAGGGCTACACCAGAGCACCTCCATCTACTCATGTACCATCTCATCCCAGGAGAAGGCAACAAGTGATCACAAACACACCAGGAGGAGAAGCACTAGGGTCTGTGCTAGTCCTCAGGGATAAATCTAGGGTCCTTTGAAGAGAGAAAAATGTTCCTCAGACTGAAGACCTTCACTCTTCAGAGACCCATGGCTGAGGGAGGATAACTGCCCCTAGAGCTACAAGTTTTAGTCTTATATCTAAGTCTAATCTCTCCTTCACAGGAAACCAAAAACCAAACAGAAAAAAAGGGTCTGAGACATAGGGTACAGGTTTTGCTAAACGTGAAGCCTGAAGGTTACATGAGCTTCTTCAAGACAAGGGACAAAGTTTTAATCCTGCGTCTTAGCCAGAATTTATACTAGCAAGCTCCTCTACCACTCCATTCTCAGGGCCCCTTCACGACTTCCCAATAGCAACTTTTTAACTTCAGCCTATGCCGCTGAACCCAAGAACAAAGGGCCAGCTTCAGGGCAAGCCATTCCAAGAGCCCCTATCTTTAGAAACAGTAAACACCCAGCCTGGGCAACATAGTAAGAACATCCCTATAAAAAAATTTTTTTTAATTAGCCTGGCGTGGTGGCATGTGTCTGTAATTCCAGCTACTTGGGACTCACTGGGATGGAAAAATCATTTGAGCCCAGAGAGACCGAGGCTGCAGCGAGCTGTGGTCATGCCACTGCACACTAGCCTGAGTAACAAAGCAAGACTCTGTGTCAAAAAAAAAAAACACCAAACACAACCCCAATTCCAACCACCTAGGCTTAGGCCAGAAGGGCTTGGCTTCTCTGCAGCACTCTTAAACCTGGAAGTCAGAAAGGGGTAGGTAGGTATGGGGACAAGGGAGAGCTTAAGCACAGCATACGCATAGCCTGAAAACTCGACATGAGTCTTCAGTCAGGGGCCATCTAGAGGTAGGCATGAGGTCTTCCAACCACACTCTAAATGGAAATCAGAAGACTAAGCCTAGAGCTTTGGGGAAAGGGTTTGACATTCAAGTCTCTGTCTTGGCCTTTAGCTTAAGTGGAGAATTCACCATAACTAGTAAAAAGTCCCAACAGCAAAACAGTACAACTCATTCCTTACAACCTCCACAAACTCCGAGTCCCAGCCCTCAACTCAAACAAGATCAAAATTGAGAAGTCATACTACGTTGGGCAGAAATCCATTAAAAAGCTGACGTTATTCTACTACAGCTCTTTTCAAAGAAAAAAGAACAAAAAAGTTAACATTAAACAAATTCTTCAAGAACAAATGTACATTTTCATATAAGAGAATGAAATTTAGAAACACTTACTTCTTTGTCAGTTTTTAACAAACTCTCACTACCAGCCACTGAAGGGGTACCTAACACCTGCCCAAGAGGACGGACTACAGCATTTGCCACCTCTCGTCCAACACTCTCTGGATAGCTGTGCAGCACACTGGTATGGCCTTGATCATTCTGAATCACCAAATGCAGTGACCTCCACTCAGAGTACATCGTGCCACTAAAGTACAATCCAAATGGCACCTGAAAAGACAAAACAGAAATGCATGTCAAATTATACTACTGGAAATTAACAGAAATAAATAGAACAGATGTATAGACTTTCGGCATGATAAAGAATGCTGCAAACATCTTGCCTCTGAAGACAGAAAAAATATATCTAAATGTTTTGAGAATATCCCAGAACCTCAGGGTAAGATTAGGTAGGAAGGCAGAACCTGCAGCTCTCTGAGCACCTCCCCAAAAGAGCCCTCGGAAGCCCTGGGGCAGAGCTGGAGAAGATGGCCATTGGGCAGGGGAATAACATGATCAGATATGGGACATTCACAGCATGAGGGAACCCTCCACATGGTTCCAGGACAGAAAAACATGGGAGAATGGAATGTCCTAAGTAGGAAGGGGAGACAACGGAGAACTTACTAAGACCCAGGTTTTCAGTCAACAGTTTCAGAGTACCTACTATCTGCTGAATATATATCCCTACAATTTCTCAGCACTGTCCTCAAATTACACTTAAAAATTCTTTGAGACTGTTTCATTCTCTGAAACAGTGGTGCTGAAACTACCAGTACTGGAACACTGGGAAGTCACAGTGTTCTTTAGGAAACATATTAAGAGCTGCCACTTATTAAGCATTTAATACATACTACTCATATAATCACTAAAACAACCCTATGAATATTCAGTAACACTATCCCTATTTCACAGATGAAAAACTGGAGCATAGAGAGGTTTGCTTCTTACCTGAAGCTTTAAAGTTATAACATGGTAGAGCTGGGTTTTTTTGTTTTTGTTTTTTTTGAGAAGGAGTCTTGCTCTGTTGCCCAGGCACACTGGAATGCAGTGGCGGCCATCTCAGCTCATTGCAACCTCCGCCTTCCAGGTTCAAGCAATTCTCCTGCCTCAGCCTCCCAAGTAGCTGGGATTACAGGTGCATGCCACCACGCCCGGCTAATTTTTGTATTTTTAGTAGAGAAGGGGTTTCACCATGTTGGCCAGGCTGGTCTCGAACTCCTGGCCTAAGGTGATCCACTGGCCTTGGCCTCCCAAAGTGCTGGGAATACAGGCGTGGGCCACCGCACCCAGCCAGAGCTAGGTTTTGAACTCACATCTGTTGGGCTCCAGGGCATATGCTCTTAGCCATGATATGTGCTGTCTCTCCCTATTCTAAACACTCTCCAACGCAGGTACTTCTGCCTATTCTGTACACGCTCCATAAAACGATATCTAAGTCTACTGCACATAGGAGGGACATCAGCTGCAGAAAACTTATCTGTATGAATGCAATGTAAATATTACAACCATAAATCCCATACTCATAAAGAGGATAAATGATGGTTAGCCCTCTCCAATTCATTTCTGTTAACTTCCACTTTCTACTTGTTCTGAAATCTGCCCAGCAAGCAGTTTAAGCAAACTCAAGGTTATAATTAATCTTTAAAAAGTTCTATCCCTAAAAGTTACCTTTTCCTCAAACTGGGAAGAGATTAGCATTGTTTAATTTTATCCTGAGAAACCTTATCCCAGCTCACCAAACATCAAGAGCTTATGACATTTTTCTAAGACTAACTCTATTTAAGTATAAAGAAAAACTTTTAAAGAATTTTTTAAAAAAGAAGAGCATATCGCAGGGCACGCTGGCTCATGCCCGTAATCCAAGCACTTTGGGAGGCCAAGGCAGGCAGATCACAAGGTCAGGAGTTTGAGACCAGCCTGACCAATATGGTGAAACCCTGTCTCTACCAAAAATACAAAAATTAGCCGGGTGTGGTGGCGGGCGCCTGTAGTCCCAACTACTTGGGAGTCTGAGGTAGGAGAATGGCGTGAACCCGGGAGGCGGAGATTGCATTGAGCCAAGATTGCGCCACTGCTCTCCAGCCTGGGTGACAGAGCGAGACTCCGTCTCAAACAACAACAAAAAAAGCATATGACATTTGAGAATCACAGAGCTACAGAATGAAAATCAAACTCTTTAGTATGAGAGTCAAAGTCATTCACAGTGTGGTCCCAAACTACCTTTCTTTCTCCTTTCCATACACAGGAATCCATATACTTTCCCTCTCATCCGATTCAATCTACTCAGCTTCCTCTGGAGTCTGAGGGACTCTGGGCCCGGGTACCCTTCAGTGACCCTATAAGGATCCTGTAATCTCCTCCCTCCTTTTCCTCCTCCTCTGGATCTTTCTCTGAAAACGGGAAGGCAGGAGGAATGGGCCATCATCTAATAAGGCACCCACAATTCAAAGGAAGAACAGATACATCTGACTACTAAAATTGCCTCAGTTGCCTCATGATGTATAAGGAATTCCCCCAAGGATATCCTGGTGTCCCCCTGAAATAAGCACTCTCAACAATATAAGGGGGGAAAGGGAAAGTTCTGATAGAGAGCCATCACCATCAAAAGACAACTGATTCCCACACGTTTTTTCCTTGCTTTTTAAATTTAACATATATACACATAAATACTTATGTGTATACTACATATACATATAGTATAAATATATACACACTGTATAGTCTCTTACACAAATGCATAAGAATATTATACTACAGGGGTTTTAGTTTTAGTGTGGTTTTGCACCCTTTTCATTTTTTGTTAGGTGTCATTCCCTGTCCAAATAATTTACTTCATGAACAGACAATCCTGTTAACATCTTAACATTCCCTCCTGTATTTTGTGCCACTCAAAACTTTAATTTGTTTTTGTTTTTTTTTTTTCTTTTTGAGACAGAGTCTCGCTGTCACCCAGACTAGAGTGCAGTGGCACGATCTTGGCTTACTGCAACCTCTGCCTCCCGGGTGCAAGGGATTCTCCTGCCTCTGCCTTCCAAGTAGCTGAGATTACAGGAGCATGTCACCACACACAGCCAATTTTTGTATTTTAGTAGAGATGGGGTTTCACCATGTTGGCCAAGCTAGTTTCAGGCTCCTGACCTCAAGTGATCCACCCATCTTGGCCTCCCAAACTGCTGGGATTTCAGGCGTGGGCCACTGCACCCGGCCCCAATCATATTAAAATAACTTACATACATGCATAGCTAGAGATTGTACAGGTACCTCATGAACATCCTTCTAACTAATAACAGATTCGTTTTAATGGCTAGATAATATTCCATGGCATTTGTGTGGCCTAATTTACTCAACCAGTCTCCTAATGATATGCATTCACTTCATTCCCCATTTTTTTGTCACCAGGAAATAATGATGCAATAAACATACTTGTTAACATACCCTTAAGAAGCAGCAGCCTTTTTACTTCTGTGGAATAAGTTCTCGAGTTAAACTGCTAGATAAAAGGGTACATGTATTTTTAATATTATTAGGTCTTACCAGACTGCTTCCCAAAAAAACCTGTAACAATTCCCGTTTACATTAGGAACAGATAAGAGCCATTCTCTCATTTCACCCCCTCCCTGCTAGAAATCAGCATTATTTATTTATTTGCCAACTTGATAGGTATAAAATAAAATTTCATTGTTCCAGCCAAAGATTTATTTTACAGCTTCCGGTCTTGAGTCTGGCTTAGAAGGTGTTACCCTCCCCTGGGAGGCCGAGACGGGCAGATCACGAGGTCAGGAGATCGAGACCATCCTGGCTAACACGGTGAAACCCCGTCTCTACTAAAAAATACAAAAAACTAGCCGGGCGAAGTGGCGGGCGCCCGTAGTCCCAGCTACTTGGGAGGCTGAGGCAGGAGAATGGCGTAAACCTGGGAGGCGGAGCTTGCAGTGAGCTGAGATCTGGCCACTGCACTCCAGCCTGGGCGACAGAGCGAGACTCCGTCTCAAAAAAAAAAAAAAAGAAGGTTTTACCCTCCCATCCCCTCTATCAATGTTTTTCAAACTGTGGGTCACGAAACTATCAATGTTTTTCAAACATGAAATAAATGTTTGATAATAAATAAATGTTTTTCAAACATGAAATAAATGTGAGTCATGAAATAAATGTTATGGATAACATTTATTTTAAATAGATGGTATACGATATATGATAAAGGCATCACACAGAATAAAGGTAAGCAATGTTTCTGTGAAACTTGATTCCTTTGTAATATATGCATATGTTCTGGATCACAATGGAAAACGCATTTTTTGTTCTTTTTTTCTTTTTGTTTTTTGAGACGAAGTTTCGCTCTTGTTACACAGGCTGGAGTGCAACGGTGCGATCTTGGCTCACCACAACCTTTGCCTCCCGGGTTCAAGCGATTCTCCTGCCTCAGCGTCCTGAGTAGCTGGGATTACAGGCATGCACCACCACACCCGGCTAATTTTGTATTTTTAGTAGAGGCGGGGTTTCTCTATGTTGGTCAGGCTGGTCTCGAACTCCTGACCTCAGGTGATCCGCCCGCCTCAGCCTCCCAAAGTGTTGGGATCACAGGCGTAGCCACCACACCGAGCAGAAAATACATTTCTTACAGGTCTTAGTCCAAAAATTTGAAAACATAACCCTAACGTGAATATGTAGTCTCCTAGATTTTCCTGCAAGATAACTGCATAATTTTTCACACTTAACTTGTATATTCATCTGGAATTTACTTCTGTAAGTGGTGTACAAAAGGTCCGATTTTACTTTCTTCTAAATGCACGGTCAGTTGTGTCAGCGTCACCTCTTAAAAATACATCCTTTATGCACTAAACTGAAATACTAATTCTGTCATATATTAAATTTTCATTTATTCTAGAATCTATGAGACTTCTGTTCTATTCAACTATTTGTCTATTCCCATGCCAACCCATAATGATTTAAGTTCAGTGGTTTTATAGAATGTTTTTTCCAAAACTTTACTGTCTTTTCTAGACATTTATTCTTCAGTATACAATTTATTATTTTATCCAAATCAAAAAATCAACAATAAAGCCTTGCTAGAATTCTAATGGGAACTGCACATACCACCTTGCCAGCCTTGTCTTCTACTGCCACTTTCCCACAAACATCCCAAACAATGGCCACAAAGAACTACTGATTGCACAAGCCCAGCAAATTCTTTCTTACCCTAGGTCACTGGTTATGCTGCTCCCACTGAC